TTAAATTAAAAATCTTTTATATTTAATCTTAAAAATTAATAAAAATATTATATAATCTATATTTATAAACTCTTTCTTTTATTTTTATATTATAAAGTATATTAATTAAAATATTATTATTTAATAAAAAATATTAAATAAATTAATATTCTTTTTATTATATATAAAATATCTTTTAATAAAAATTATTCTAAAAAAGAATTATTATAGTTATTATAATTATTATAGTTTTAAATTTAAAATTCTAATTATTATATAAATTCTAATTATTATTATAAAAGTTATTTTATTATAAAATTTACTATAATATTTATTATAAATTATTATTATTATACTTTTAATTTATAAAATATTAATCTTTTATTAAACTTAATTTTATTTATAATAAATATATAAATTATAAATTATTATAATTTATAAGTTTATAATAAAATATACAAACTTAAATATAAAGTTTTAATTAATATTAAAAATTTATAAAATATTATAATAAATTTTAATATATTTTTAATTATTTATAAAATATTATTTTATATAAGTTAATTATTATAATAATTAAAACTTAATAATATATATTTAATTTATTAATTAATAATTATAATATATTAGTTTTAATTTATTAAAGTTTTTAATATAAATTAATAAAAGTTAATATATTTTAATTAATAAAATAGTTTTAATAAATAATATTATTATTAAATTATATTTTACTTTAAGATAAGTTATTTAAAATAAATTAATTTATTTAATATTATATAAATAAAATATTTTAATAATACTTTTAATATATAAAAAAGTTATATAAAATTATATTAATTAAATATTTAAATTTTTATATATTTAAAAATAAAACTTTATTATTAAATATATTATAAATTTATTTAAAATATATTTTATTATTATAATAATATTTATTAATATTAACTATTATATTTAACTTAAATATTTATTAAAATTCTATTAATAGTAATATATAGTATATTATAAAATTCTATATTTTAAAAGTATTTTTAAAATAATTATATAATAAAAGTTAAAATTAAAATATAATAAAAATAAAAATTTATTAAATAAATTTTTTTAAACTTTATTTTATTATTAAACTTATAATATTATTAATTTTTATTTTTATCCTTTTCTTTTTTATTCTTTTATTCTTTTTTATATTTATTATTATTAAATTTTAAACTTTTATTTAAATTATTATTTTTATATTAAAATAATTTCTTTTTATATTTTATACTTAATAGTTTTATTTTTATTTTTCTTATTATTTATAAATATCTTTTCTTTTTTATTTTTATTTTTATTTTTATTTTTTTAAATTTTAATAATAATAATTTTATTTTTAAAATCTCTACTTTTTAAATTAAATTATAATAAAATATAATTTTAAATAATTTATAATTTTTTAAGTTTATTATTAAATTAATTTAATATTTTTTTATTTTAAAATAAAATTTAATATTAATAAATTTTAATAAATCTTTAAATTAGTTTAAATACTTTTAATATAAAGAGTTATTTTTAATTTTAAAAATCTTTGTTAATAAAATTAAATATTTTATTATTTTATTTTTAAAATCTTTAATAAATTTTATATATCTTTTAATATTAAAATATTTATATATTTATAAAATATTATATAATATATATATAAATATATTATTAAAATCTTTTATTATTTAATAATTCTACTTTAATATTTAAAGTTAATAATATATATATAAATTACTTTAAAATATATATTATTTTAAATTTCTTTAAGTAATAATATTAAATAAATTAAGGAATTTAATAAATTCAAAAACTATTATAAATAATTATTAAAATATTAAAATAATAATTAAAAAATAGATATATTAATAAATTATATTATTTTAAAGAATAAATATAGTTAAATTAAAACTAATAAATCCTATTAATAAAATATAAAAGGATTATTTATTATAATATAATTTAAAAATATATAAATATATTATAAAACTTATTAATTAAAAATTAATAAAAAGTTTAATATTTAATAAAGTTAATTTATAAAATTTAAAGTATTATTAAAATATAAAAAAGTTTAATAATAAAATAAATAAAAAATTAAAGTTTTAATAAAATTCTTATTTATATAAAATATAATAAATATTTATAAAAGTAATTCTAAATAATAATATTAAATTAAATATTAAATATTTAATTAATTATTTAAACTTTATATTTAATAATTATTAAAATATTTATATAAAATTAATTTTTTAAAGAATTTTAACTCTATTTAATTAATTAATTAAAAGTAGTTATATTAAATAAATTATATAAATCTAATAAAATTTAATAACTTTAATATAATTATTTTTAAATATTTAAATTATAAAGTAATAAATTATTTTATTAACTTAATTATTTATAATTACTTTTATAATTATTAATTAATATTAATTAAATTTATATATATAAAAGTAAATAATAATAATATTAAATATAATTAATTATTAATAATTAACTATAAAAAGTTACTTAAAGAGTTTATATAAATAAAGGAAATCTCTACTAACTAAACTTAATAAAGGACTATTATAACTATTATATTAAAAGTAGCTTAATTATTTATTATTAAATTAATATATAATAAATAAAATATTTAAAAATCTTAAATAAAATAGAAGTTTAATATATATAATCTTACTTAGTTTAATTAAGTTGCTTTTTATAAATAACCCTTTATAGTATTATAATTAATTAATTCTTTATAAATATATAACTTACTTTAAAGTACTCTCCTTAAAAGAGTATCTTTTAAATTAGTTCCTTTATACCTATTTAAGATTTTTAAATTATAAAAGTTTAAACTTATAACTTTAGAATTAGTTATAAAAATAGTTTATTTAATTACTATTAATAAATTAAATTATTTAATTAAAGGACTATAATAATTAACTTATTTAAATAATTATTTTAATAGTTTATAAGCTTATATTATTATATTAATATAAAAGTATTTTTAATAATAAATAATATTATAAATATAAAGTATAAAATAATTATAAAAGTTTTATATAATAAATTTAATTAAATTAATTTTAGAAAATATATAATATTTTTTAAACTTTACTTATTTATTTATAATATAATAATAAAATTAGAAAATATAAAAATTATATAACTTTTATAATATTTTAACTATTATTATTATTAAAATAATATCTTTTAATTATATTTATATAAATAATTATATTTTTAATTTTATTATTTAATTAAAAATAAATAATTAAAGTTTTTAAAAATTAAAATATAATATATTCTTTAAAAATATTTTAATTAAATTTATTATATAAATTTATTTATAATATTATTTATTATTAAAAATACTTTTATATTAATATATTAAATTATATTTAATTTATTTAAATTAATATTATAACTATTATAAATTATAAATTAATTTTAATATTATTAAATATTATATATAAAATAATTATATTTTTATTTAAATTTATAATTTTAATAAAATTATAAAAATAATTATTAATAATTAAGTTTATATAACTTTAATTATTTATTTTAATTTAATAATAATAATAATATATATTATTAAGTTTAAATAATTATTTAAAAGTTATAAAACTATTTTAAAAATTAAAAATAAATTTTTAAAAAGTAAAAAATAGAGGTTAAAATAGTAAGTAGGTTTTATAAAGATCCTTATAAATCCTCTTATTAATAAAATTATTATATTATTACTTTTTACTTTAAAACTTAAAGAGTAACCTTTTTTTCTTATTTTTTTCCTTAAATAACCCTACTCTTTAAATCTATACTATTTAATATAAACTTTAAACCTTTATATTATAAAACTTAAGTAATATCTTAAAAGAGTTATAAAAGAAAGAATAGATTTATTTAAAAAGCTCTTTCTTTTTAAGAGACTCTTTCTTAATTCTTTAAGAATAAGTCTCTTACTTAAATATACTAGCTAGTTAAGAGAGAATCCTTTTATTCCCCTTTTTATTAGGCTTTTTTAAGTTTTTAACTTTTAATAACTCTACTTTTAATTATTTCTTTTTAAACTTTTAGATATTATTAATTTAAATTAACTTAAAGGAGAAAATATAGGAATGAAAATAAAAAAAGAAGAAAAAAAGGAAGGAAAAAAAGTATTCTTTTATTTTTTATATAAAAAAAATATATAAAACTTCTTTATAACTATTTCTTTTTTATAATTATTTCTTTTTATTATAATTATCTCTTTTTTTATAACTATTTCTTTTTTTATAAGAATTTCCTTTTTTTATAACTTTTATCTTTATAAAATTATTTAATAAAGAATTAAGTAAAATATTATTAAAAGATTACTTATATTATAAAATTATTATTTACTTTAAGTATTACTTTAATTAATTATATAAAATATAAGCTTTTAATATAAATTATAGCCCTAGTGACTATTTCTAGTACCCACTAATGTATGGTATGGTGTAGCGTGAAATTGTGAAGCTAGTAGCTGTGTGGTTGAGTTCTCAGAGATCTGTGCCAGGAGTAACGAGATCGACCCCTGGAGGTGCTGATCCTGGAGACTCTGCTCATGGCCCGCTGCGCTTGTCCCAACCCGACTTTGCTTCACCAATGACCCCCCCGCTTAGTCTTAATAGTGTGTAAATTTCCATTAGATCGGGCATTTGTACTTCCGCTCGTGCTTGTGCTAAAGATATCTGACACAGGCAAACAGGTCGGAGCAGACTTGCTCCAATTCATTTCTTTCTTGAACACCAACCTCACCTCCTTCTTTCTGCTTACATCCTCCACAGGCACCGGCTGATCCACATGAACTAAGCTGGCCAACTGACACCTTTTATCCCTCTCGCACAACTAACATCTATCAGATCCAATTTATTTCTTTCTCAAACACCCAATCGCCTTCTACCAACTCGCACCATTTTCAGTGATCGGACAGTTCACATGGATTAAGCGAGCCAACTGACACCCCTTGTCCCTATCATCATTTCACCATGTCGGAGCCACCGGGCAACCACCATGCTGGCAAGACCAAGGGGTCGGCGGCAAAGGCATCCCCTTCTGCGAAAAAGCAGTGCACATACCATGGCGCCTTCAAGTTCGTTCCAAACTTGGAGAAACTCAAAGACACAGAAATCCAAGCCAGGTACCCATCTGACCATCCTATCTGGCACAAGGACGACAACGACGATTATGATCGATCCATACCAGCCTCGACATGGCTGAATAACTCCTACGGTCCTTTGCCTTATGAGAAACAACAATTCGGGGAACCCTGGGCCAGGTCAAAAAACAATAAGACGGGGTTGGACGAGTACAAGGGCGAGTGCGAGGGGAATAAAGCTCAAGTCGTTGGCTCGCACCGAATGACGAACATCAAGACGAGCAACGTCGCCGACAAACTGATTGTCCCCTATCTCGCATTTCCAAGCGGGGCAGCTCTGACCTCATTTGCCTTTACCGAAGGTTTGTGTTGTACCCTATTCCATCACAACTTGTCTGTGGTGATTACTGCCTGGGTAGCGGTCGTTGTCGAGTTAATCCGCGTCGTTTAGGAAGCGTATTGCGGTCTCTGCGGAATAACATTCTGACTTGAATACAGGACTGGAGCTTTTCGGACCCCTTCTGGAGCATATTTACGAGGGGGCCAAGAAGGGGAGGTTCCACATGCAGGACACTGCTGCAGTGATCAGCCAACGTAACACAACCGACACTTACCTGATGGAAGTAATGAAGCGTGTTCGCGACGATAAGGACTACATCCCGTTTGTGGTTAACGCGCATGTTGAGGCGAGCATGAGGGACATCTCCCCAGTCAATGGGTTCGCGGGCCCAGCTACTGGTATGGCTTTTGTCTACAAAGTGCTGTGCTGGATGACCCATGGTCAAGGCTGGAACCCGGACAATGCTCGCGCCAAATGGGCAGCGTTCGATGAACAAGAAGACGTCCGTCCAGAGCAGAAGATGGCTGCCTATATGGTCGACCTCAACAGCAACTATCGCTTCCGCCGGCACGACGGCTCGGACCCCCTTTCCCCGGAGCGGTATCTTGAGTTTACATTGGAGGACTGGAACCGCAGTCTTTTCCTTGTTGCGTGGATTTTCAAGTGGATGGACAAGCCATGGGCGAAATTGGGCGACAAGAGGGAAGGTACTGTGGACATTTTGCACTATCACGCGGCATCGGAAGCGACGGAGCAGGCCAGGGAGCACCAGGCCAACCTCGACGAAGACCACGAACGCAGGGAAGACATTTTGAAAGCGTACAACGACATGAAGATTATCGGTAAGCCTGCAGACCTGGCCGATCGAGAGTTTTCGAAATTCGTGAATGATGTCATCGCCGCACGATTTGACACCAAGAGCAAGAAGTTCGAATACGAGAAGCCCATGGTCGAATTGACAAGACAGATCGAGAGATTTGACACGTATGCCGCTATCACGAACAGCCCGGAGATGACAGGCAACCTCAACAAGCCCTCAACGTACGAGGAAATCGATCTTCACAACATCACAAAGACCTAGGAGGTGATTATGGCGCATGTGAAGCCTTTGCTCGGGTGGGTGAGGAACGGCTGGATGGGAGACGAGGCCAGCGACTTCATATCGAATACGAGGCTGGCTGACTTCGTCAACGCCACCGCGGGGACCTACATTGATAATTGTCCTGATACGGTCGATTCACTGAGAAAGGAAATCCAGGCTGCTCAAAAGGACCTCTCCGATGATGATGCCATGGACGAGGCGAAGCGTATGCTAACCGTCACCTATTCACTCTCCACATTCTTTGGGGGCGATCCGCCCGTTGAGCAGCTATGGGAAAAGGTCTTGAAAGCTTGGAATTTCAGCCTGGACACTGACCAATTCGTGTTCAACGAAGACAACACGAGACTCAGTATGAAAGAGGCCCTGAACAGGGACCAGAAGGGGAAGGGTAGGGCATCCGTTGACGCCAGCGAAGGCGACACACAGATAGCCCTTGAGCACATGGTCAGCAACGCATTCGTGTTTGCTCCTCACCAGTTTGTCGGCAAGTCATGTCATCGCGTCCCCAAAACCACTTCCTAACAAATCGTAGATGCTGTTACCCATGTCGACTATCTGGGAATGGTGAAGGCTCACTTCGAAGCCAACCAGATGGGCTGTGGAAAGGCATTTATCATTGCAGGAACCGAGCATCCCCTCGTCAAGTCCATCAAAGAGCGTTCGCCAGGAACACATGGCATCCCGAAAGACGGCCCCTGGGGACCTTGCATTGTGATCTGCCAGGCGGACCTGGTCAAGACACCTGCCAAGACTGTCCACATGGCATTCAAGGGTCTCCGCCGATATTACATTGTTTCATCCGCACCCGACTCATCGATGCCTGAGGGTGTCAACGTTATCCAAACGACAGAGGGATTCCTTGACTTTCTAAAATGGTCTATGAGCGCCGCTTCGATCCAGAGGTAACGTCACTACTATAGCCTTACTTGTCGTTGCGTGTCACGAGACTGACTAAGTTGCATTTTTAAAGGTGATGAACATAACGGTTTTCATGTCATACCAAATAATGGCACAGCGATTCTTGGTAAACTCTACCCTCGTCACCCTCCCCAACCAACTTGAGATCGAGTTAGGACACAGACCTCGGCGCCACAGACCATCGCCCGCGAAAACCCAGTGGGTGTCAATGCCTCCCGGACGGGCCAATGCCGGAGACCATGTCGACGACGACACAGCGGCAGACGATGACGAAAACTCGGAAGGCGGCGACGAGGACGAGCCCGTTGACGATGAGCCCACATGCGTGGAACAAGAACCTGGTTTAGGCGGCGGTGTGGTCAATTTCACAACCGCTGTGAAACGCGTCCGACTGGAAATGGCAAAGAAGGGCGCGATCGATGACGATGACACTCCTGGTTTCTTGATCGGCGGGGACAGTGAGGACCCATACACTTATTGGCCGGGTAATGAGAACGACAAACGTCCATATGTCGAGGAGAAACTCTCAGTGACCCATACGTTGGCTGAGTTCTTCAAGTCAAAGGACATAACGACCGGTCGAGGGGTGTTACAGTTCCACGAACAGTATCCCAATCAGGTCCCTGTGTCGGGCCGCAGACTGACCAGGTTTGGACCAAAATGGTTCAACGAGGCGCTACAGAAGAGTGACGAGGGCCCCACCTACACGCTCGCATCTTTCAACGAAGGCCATATCCTGCGAAACGTGAAGACGACATTCAACATCACTACGAGACTTCTTCCAAAGCAAGCATTACTGCTAGCCTCTAGCACCCCGTTATACGGTGACGCTACTGATCTCTGTTCATATTCATCTCTATTTGCCCACATGTCAGGCATCGACAATCACCTCATACTCGATTATATAGACATTCATAGCCTCAGCCGCGACTTCCAGCGTTCTCAGGACCTTATAGACGATATGTTGGTGTCAAAGAAGGGCGACTATAACAAAGGGTTTGTCCAAGACTTATTCGAATGGGCCGATGAAAACCTCGGCCACCGCAAGTGGTGGTGTCTCCTCGATGGATACCGGCAGCTAATAAGAAGCAAGGACGACCACATCAAAACCATATCCTGCAAGCTGTTCCACTCTTCCTTCGTCAATGAGCGCAAGATATCTACTAGGCTAAAAAACCACAAAGGCCGGGTTGTATACCCCACGAGTAGGCTCTCTCCCATGATCGTTCGCATCGCACGGTGGAGGTCCACCACGAAAAGAAATTCCAGAGCATGCTCGTCTCTTTCACCGACCTTATGCTACAGCAGCTGAGTCGACGGAAGCCGAAACCCAAGAACAAGGATCACGACAGAGGGAAGAAGAGACGAGTCTGGATGCCATCAAGACATGAAGCGATGCTTGGGAACGTGATTGAGGAGCATATCCGTCACGTGCTCAATCTGGGGGATGACGACTCAGAGCCACGGGCTTCGTCGTTCTCCTTTAATTGCATTCTGAACTTAATCGCCGTAGACTGGCACAATTTCCGCCTAGTCTTCGACTCCGATGTCAATCGAAAGGACCCACTGCAGAAAATCTCCAGGGACACCATCAACCAACTAAGGCATCTTGCGGATTCCAAGAGGGACCCAAGAGCAGCAGCCTTGCCCGAAAGGATAGCCAAGGACAAGTCGTCGGATGCTCGTCTTGGTGCCGCGCAAGTGGCATCCATGGCCAAATATGACAAATATGGCGGCATGGTACGCCGTCACTTCCTGCTTGCGGAGAAGGGCCATGTCGCCACCGATGACACTGTCCACATGATGACATTCGCACTGAGCGAGTCTCCAATCATATCCAAGGTTATAGACATGATTATGGAAGGCCTCAATCAGCCAGACATGTATGGCAGCCGGGTCTTCGTAGTGGTCGACTCACCACTCACCCAAAAGTAAGTTACCAGACACCGGTCGGCTTAATCAATTGGACTAAGCCGGCGACTGCTTTGAATTGCTGATAGTTGCTGATCTGAATATTATAGTAACCTTGTGGGGGCACTGCGCTTCCTGGGGTTAAATGTGATCAACTTCTCGGCCGATTTACAAGCCTCCGAACGCGACGATTTGCTGGAACAGTTCAATGACCGGAAATGCAACGTCCATGCCCTGATCGTCCCCTGGACAATGAAACTATCAGGTATGAACATGCATAGAGCCTGTAACTGGGGTATAATGGTCAATATAGACGATTCGGCAGCAAAGACACAACAGATCATGGCCCGCCTCTACCGTATTGGTTCAGAAAAGACCGTCCGCTGGTTCATTGTGATCCAGGCCGCCTCATTCGCCCGAGTACAGGAGCTTTTCTGTCATACCAAGCAGGTCAAAAATCTGTCTGTTACAGGGCGGCTGCCGTTGGAGATCACCGGGGACCTTCGCGCCATTATGTGCTACGAGGTTGCTCGTGAACAGTTCGGCGCCGTGGAATCCAAGTATGTGGCCGCCAGATACTACAAGCAACTCGAGTCGGTGGAGGAATATGAAGCACCATGGGTCAAGCGACATGCTGTCTTCTACAGCTGGCTCGCCGCGTTGGCGTTCGAGAACATTAAGCAGTCGGCTGATGACGTTGACGACTTTGCCAATGTTCTTGACCTCATTGACCGGATGATCGACCTGGAGCCTGTCTTCCGGGCAATATGCCTCCTCATACAATCTGGGCACGATGCAGACGCGAGTATTGACGCTTGGCTGCGCGAGGCTGACTGGGCCGATGTCGACAGCCTCCGCTCGCGGATGAGAGACGATCAGCAACAACACGATCTAGACATCAAGGGTCTGGAGGCACATTACTGGAAAATTTTGACGACAAAGCGGGGCGAAGAGGCGCCCAAGCACCTGAAACTCGCTGGACTTAGCTTCACTGCCCCCCCAGTTCCTCGGGCTATCGACCCCGAGCTGTCTTTCACAGGCTTTGGACAGAGGGACGAAGAGAAAGAGCAGCAGTTCAGCAGTGCTGATAGAACAGCTGACGCAGATGACTGCTGCGACAACGATGACCTATACGAATCACTTGGCGCTGACCATACTACTTCGTTCCAAGATGTTCTCAGGCCCCGGAGGGAGATTGCATTCAAACTGCGCCCAGACAAGGCTCCAAATGACAGTGACGAGGCAAAGAGGGCAAAGGAGGACCGGATAAAGAAGGTCAACGATGCTGCGAAGGTCCTCCCGAATGAAAAGTAAGTCGTGGATCCCAAAACGCCCCAGATGGCAGCAACTTACTGCACATGGACCGAGCCCACCATCGCGCTCAAGTTACAAGTTGAACTAACATTTGATTAAGGTACCGATCGGCCTATGACAGGGGTACTCCTCTACGCGATATCAACTGCATGCATGCTGACGACGGAGTGAGAGAGCGGAGAGCCGCGGATGACAACAGGAAGAGGAAATTTTCTGGTGGATCCAGCGGCTTCGCCGCTAAGCGACAGAAGAAAACGTCTTCGTCCATTGCTGATGGAGACGTTGAAGATGATGATTCCTAGCTTAGAGGCGGCCGATGCAGTGATGACCGCTGCTAACTGTATCATAATAGAGGCCAGATAATATGCCTCGTTTGTATAATATGACTGCTTTTAACATGAGAAAGAGGCTACTACAACGTAAAGGTACTAGGCCGGAGTTGTGTGGTAGTCGGCAACAGTTACATTTAGCTAGAACACACCTCTTAGAACTAACAGTTATCTTCCGCCTCCTTATGAAGTCTTGGATCGCCGAATATGTGGAGAAAGAGAGCTATAACCCGTTCCTTTATGGCCCATGGGAGCTTGATATACATGACCTTTCTCCAGCCACATCTCATGATCAGCTGGCTGAGATGGAAAAGGGTATCAGGGCGCCCTACCTGTCTGCGAGGGCTAAAGAGAAGGCCGCCTTGTCTCCGGCCACAGGTACTAGTGCTCCTGGCTCGCATAAGGACGACGAGGATTTGCGGAACATCGAGGACGATGAGGCGCTAGCTGCTGACCGCGACGATTCTGCCAGCTCTGGCGCGACAAGTCCTAACGACGAAGATGCAACCCGCGACGGCATCGTTAATGCCCCGAACATGGAGCTTCGTGTGCCAAGCTCTACCCGGGCGCGTCTCATTGCCGACTTGAAGAAGCGGGAACCAGACTCTACGTTCACGGACAAGACGGGCAAGATTCAAGAGAATAAGATCAAGTTTATTCCTATATAACAACTTATAAAGTACCTAAGTGACTTCCTATTTAGCCTTGTTATTATAAATAAGTATTATACTATCTATAACCTATATACTAGATTTTCGCGCTTATTATTTATAGTAGATAAAGTAAGGGGAAGTAGTAAATTAAAGTATAGTTAGTTAGTTACTAAGTTTAGCTATATATATACTAGGGTGAAGGTGCTAGCCTTAGGTTTGAACTTACTAACTAATCTAATAAGTAAGTGTGGTAGGTATGAAGGGGTGTAAGCTAACTGTAGAGAGGTAGCTAACTAGTTAGTAGTTAATATTAGTTAGTAGGTGTATAGGTTATATTTTTAAGCTTATTTTAAACTTTATTCTTATAATTATTTAATAGTTAACTTTCTTTTTAAATAATTAATTAATTATATTTTACTTTATATATTATTTTTTTTATAAATAATAAGTATAATTTAAAATTTATTAATTTAAATATTTTTATTATAAATATTTTAATAATATTAATTTTAATAATAATTAATTAAAGTTTATTAATTTATAAATATTATAATTAATTAATTTATTATAATTATATTTATAATTAAATTATTTTATAATTATTTATTAATTTATTAAAACTATACTTTTATAATTACTTTAATTAAATAAAATAGAATATTTTAATTAATTTAATCTCTTTTCTTTCTTTCTTTATAATTCTTTTTAATCTTTCTTTTTTATAATAATAGTAATATATAAAGCTTACTTAATAACTTTTATTATTTATAACTAATAGTTTATTTATTTAAATAACTCTTATAATATTATTAAAAGTTTTATTAAATATAGCTTTTATTTATATAAAGATCTTAAATATTAAAATAACTCTCTTAAAGTTATATATATTAAATACTCTTATTATTATTTAAATAATAATAAAAGTATTATATTCTTAATTATAAAATAAATTACTTTTTTATTAAATTATTTTTAAAAGATTTCTTTATAAAAAAGTAATATTATAAAACTATCTTTATAAGTAGGATTATATAATTATTAAATAGAAAAGGTAATTTAAAGCTAAGCTTTTATTAGTTAAATAATTATTTATTTAAATTACTTTAATTAATAACTTTTAATAGTAAAATTAAACCTTTTAATAGTAAGTTAATACTTTTAAGTAATATAATTAAATACTTAAATAAATAATTATATCTTTAAAAGTAATTATAATATCTTTTAAAAGTAAGTTAAAGTATACTTTTATTAAAACTATATTTTATATTACTTTTAATTCTTTATAATTAAGCTTTTAATAATTATAAAGCCTTTATTAAATAACTTTTAAGCTTATAGAAAGTATAGTAAGACTTATTTATTAAAGTTTATTCTATTTAATTATATATATTTAAATATATATAGTTATTAATAAATATTAATACCTCTATTATCCCCTTCCTTTTCACTTCTTAAATATTAATAATAAAAATATTTTCTTTATATATTTATTAGTATTTTTAAATTTATTAAATCCTTTAAGTTTATTATTAATTATATAATTTATATAATAAATAACTTTAAACTTTATACTAATTAAATAATAAATATATTAGTTATATAACTTTATAATAAACTTTTAAAATATATTATTTATATATTTAAAATATTATATAAAATTAAAATATATAAGTAATTAAAGTATTTAAAGTAATTAATTAGATTATTAAAGTAATTATTAGAGTAATTATTAAAGTAATTATTAGAGTGATTATTAGAGTAATTATTAGAGTGATTATTAAAGTAATTATTAAAGTAATTATTAAAGTAATTATTAAAGTAATTATTAGAGTAATTATTAGATTAATTAATTAAGCAACTATTTAAGTTAAAGTAATAGTTTTTATAGCTTTAATTATTTAGAGGGTAATGGATTATATATATTAATAAATAGCTAATAATTATTTATTAGCTAGTAGAAGTTATATAAAAGTAATAATAAGTTAAGGTTTAATTTTACATATTAAAGGAATTTAAATTTAAGTAAATTAAGTAATTTATAAAATATTAAATTAAAATATTTTTATTAATAAATAAAGTTTTTTAGTTAATTAAAAGTAATAAAAACGTTATACTTTCTTCTTACTACCCGGTACTTATAGTAAGTATAAAGGGGTGTAAGCTAACTATAAGGAGGTAGCTAACTAGTTAGTAACTAATGCTAGCTAGTAGGTATATAGGCTATATTTTTAAGCTTATTTTAAACTTTACCTCTATAACTACTTTGTAGTTAGCTTTCTTTTTAAATAAATAACTCACTATACTTTAATTTACGTATTCCTCTCCTTTCTCTACTATACTAAGCTAGAAATCTAATTACACTCCTTTATACTTACTATAAAAACTAAATAGTAAGAAGAAAGTATAATATCTTTATTATTTCTAACTTATTAAGAAGCTTTATTTATTAATAAAGTTATTTCTTATTAATTTTTTAAAATTATTTTAAATTATTATTAAAATTATAATTTTAATTTAATTAATTTAAATATTTTAAAATATTTAAAATTAATATTTATAAATTATTTAATTTACTTAAATTTTAATTATTTTAATAAATAAAATTAAGTTTTAATTTATTAATTATTAATTTTTATTATATAAGTTTTATTAGTTAATAAATAATTATTAACTACTTATTAATATATATAGTTTAAAACTTTTAAATAATTAAAGTTATAAAAGTTATTAATTTTATTAATTAATTAATTAATTAGTTTAATTAATTTAATTATTTTAATAAATTTATTAATAATTTAATTAATTATTATAAATATTTTAATTATTAATATATTTTAACTTTATATAGTTTTCTTTAAATATATAAACTATTTATATATTTTTAATTTTATTATTAAATTAAAATAAATAGTTAAAGTTTTTAAAATAAAATATAATATATTTTTAAGATTAATTTAATTAAATTTATTATATAAAACTTTTATAATAACTTTATAATTATTTATAATATTATTAATTATTAAAAATACTTTTATATTAATATATTAAGTTAATATTAAATTATATTAATTTAATTTAATATTATTAATTTTAATATAAATTAATTTATTAAAAATTAAAGTTATTATAAATTATAAATTATTAAATTTTAATATTATTAAATATTATATATAAGGTTATTATATAATTTAAACTTTTTTAAATATAAGTTACTTAAAATAAATAAAAATAAAGTTATTATTCCTTTAAAGGTTTTAATTCTACTTAAATAAATATTTATTTATTAACTTTATAAATAAAATTACTTAAAAATAGTTATTTAACTTATTATATAATCTATTAAATTAAAAATAACCTTTAAATAAAGTAACTATACTTTATTATTACTCTAAATTTATAGTTTTAATAGTTTTATAAAAAAGAAATAATTATTAATAATTAAATTTATAATTATATAAAATAAACCTTTATTTTAAAAAAGTTATAAATATTTAAAATAATTAATATATTTTAAAATAATAAAAAATAAAAGTTTAATTTAAAGTATATTAAAATTTATAAAACTTTTAAATTTAAATATAAAAATATAAAACTTTAACTTTTTAAAAATAAAAAATTAAAAAAGTTAAAAGGTTTAAATTAAATTAAAAACTAAATAAAACTATACTAATATTATATAATTAAATAAAATACTAATTATAAAATTATAATTATAAATCTTTTAACTTTATATTAAAAGAAATTTTTAAATATATAAATAATAAATTTTAAAAGTTTATTTTAAAATTATATAATTAATATATTTCTTATTTATTTAATATAAAGCTTAAAGTTATTTATTATATAAGTTATTAAATTAATAAAATTAAAGAATATAATAAGTTTAAAAATATTAATAAATATAAAAAAGAATATTTTTATTAATAGTATTTAAAAAATAGTATTAATATTAATAATTATTAATAATTATATATATTTAAATATATAAAATTAAATAAAGTATATTATAATAAATACTTTATAATTATTATTAAATTAATTATAAAGAATTAAAAATAATATATAAAACAGTTTTAATTAAAATATACTTTTTAACTTATTTTTAAAAACTTAATTATATTATTTAATATTATTAACTTATTATTAAAAGTTTAATTTTACTATTAAAACTTATTAATTAAAATAGTTTAAATAGTAAGTAATTACTTTATTTAAAATTACTTTCTTTATTTAATACTTATATAATTTTATTTATAAAAATAATTTTAAAATATTACTTTCTTTATAAAAATATTATTTTAAATAATAATTTAATAAAAAAGTAATTTATTTTATAAAAAAATAATATTTTTATTATTATTTAAATAATAATAAAAGTATTTAATATATAAAGTTTTAAATAGAATATTTTATAATATTTAAAAGTTTATTTAAAAGTTAAATTTAATAAAACTTTTATAATATTATAATAGTTATTTAAATAAATAAACTTTTAATTATAAGTAATAAAAGTTATTAAATAAACTTTATATATTATTATTATTAAAAAACTATATTTTATTTTTAAAAATAAGTTAATTAAAATATTCTTTTAATTTAATCTATATAATTATAAAGATAATTATAAAGATAATTATAAAGATAATTATAAATATAATTATAAATATAATTATAAATAAATTAATTAATTATAAAGTTTATAAATTTTTAAATTTTAATTTATTATTATTAAAATAATATAATTAAAATATATATAATAAAAATATTTTAATTAATAAATTCCTTAAATTATAATTATTAATTATAAGAAATAAAGTAGAGTAAATTAGTAAATTAAAGTATAATTAATTAATTATTAAGTTTTAATTATAAATAAATTAAAGTAAAAATATTAAATTTAAGTTTAAATTAAAAATATAATTATATTTTATTATACTTATTATAATTATATTTATTTATATAATAATATTATTTTTAATATAAAACTTAAAAACTAATAATTATAATTTTTAATTAATCTTTATTTTAATATTTTATTTTAATATTTTATTTTATTATATTTAATTTACTTTAATTTAAGTTTTTAAATCTATTTAATATTTTATTAAAATAAATTAAATTTAAAAGTTTTAAAACTTTAATTTCTTTTAAATTAAATTTAAAATTCTTTAATATTTCTAAAGATATATTAATTATTTTAAATAATAATAACTTTATTTTTAAAAAGTTTATTTTATATAAATATAAACTTAATTATTAATAGTTATTTTTATTTATTTATAATAAAATTATTAGAATTATAAAATTAAATAATAAAGTATAATTACTTTATTTAAATAAAATTAAAATTTATAAAAAAGAATAACTTTATTTTTATTTATTTTAAATACTTTATTTAAGTTATATAGTAAATTTAATACTTTTATATAATACTTATTAATATTAAACTAACTTATAATTTATAATAGTTTTATTTTTAATAAATTAATAATATTATATTTAATTAATTAAATATAACTTAATATATTAATATAAAAGTAGTTTTTAATAATAAATAATATTATAAATAATTATAATCTTATTATAAAATATAATATTTAAATTAATATAAAATTATTTATTTAATAAGTTTATTTTATAAAATATTATTCTATTTAGGTAGAGAAACTTATCTTAGAGGAGGGTGTACTAGAGGAGGGTATATTAGAGAAGGGTGTACTAGAGGAGGGTGTCCTATAGGAGGTTATCCTATAGGAGGTTGTCCTAGAAGGTTGTCTTATAGGAGGTTGTCCTAGGAGGGTGTTCTAGAGGAGGGTGTTTTAGAGGAGGGTGTCTTATAGGAGGGTATCCTAGAGGATGTTATCTTATAGGAGGGTATCCTATAAGAGGGTATCCTATAGGAGGTTATCCTATAGGAGGTTATTCTAAAAGGTTGTCCTATAGGAGGTTATCCTAGGAGGGTGTCCTAGAGGAGGGTGTCCTAGAGGATGTTGTCTTATAGGAGGTTGTTCTATAAGAGGGTGTCCTAGAGGAGGTTATCTAATAGAGGATTATCTTATAGGAGTTTATTCCTTAGGGCTTAGGTATACCCTCCGTTTTTATGAGTATGAATATCCGTTCTCATATATATAGGGATTAAAAATGAAACTATACCTAGTAAAATCACTGACTGTCGAGGCCTCTGCAGCCTTTTTTTCGGAGAACATGGGAAAGCCAACCGAATTTCGACACAGTGAACATCCTCTGGAGCTTGACGACGATGGTCTCTTTGTGATGCTACTCCCTAACATACCACAGGCGCGGAAGGCGGAGTTAACGCACGACGCCCTCGAACGTGGCTAGGAATGGTGGTATGTTGGTCCCGCTGCACAGGCCCTCAACACCAAGGCGGACGACAGAGACTATGGCAGGCAGACCGTGAAGAGTATGCTGAGTTGCATTGCAATGCGACGCGGCATGGACACTATTACCCAATTGCCCGATCATGCTGATGGGACAGCATGGTATGTATGCCCCCGCGACGGCATCCCTCCTCACAACGTCGAGACGCATGAGCTGTCTTATGTCGCCATGAAACCGGAAGTGGATCGAATCATGAACGAACATTTCAGTGACCTTGAAACCGGTTCTTCAGAAGCGGGCCCCAGAAATGTTGTCGTCGATGTCCCCTACAATGGATCGATCAACGCAATAGAAGCCCCCAACGCCTCATCGGAAGACCCTAATGCCGCACTGAACGGTGGTCTGCTTCGCGTCCTCACCATAGGCTCCATGTGCATGATGAGCTTCAAGGCCTTGCTACATGAAGACCTAGTCAGCCAAAGGCCCGCCGATGTTGCCATGGCAGACTTGATCAAGGATGGCTTGGTACCTGGTGCCAAGGTTCGCAAGGCCACCCTAGACGCTTCTCACAGCCAGTCCGGTGTTCTCTCCCTTGGGTCGGCGCATACAGAGGCCATTCTACATGGTACCGGCGATGCTGGCCTTACATACCTTCAGGCGGTTGTCAACAGTGACGATCCATATGACTTCATCCCAATCGACCGCAAAACCGTGCTCAGTCGTATCCTTGCAAGATCTCCCGTCAACACTCACGTTTTGGACCTGTGTATGAGGAACGCTAAGGATAAAAAGCGGATGCTTGTCATGGTCACCACGCCTTGGGAGCAACTGTGAGTCTGTCATGCCTTTTGTTGGCATCACTTGGTGCCAACTTCGTATTCAATAGCTTATCTAGAGAACGGATATTCACAGGGTAATAAATAGATAGTTTAAGACTGAATTCAGCTAGTATAAAGTAATAAGTACTACTAGCTAATTAAAGAGCTCTATTTAACTTTACTACCTACCTATACTACTCTAATTAAATACTTTTTATACTCTTAATTATAAATATAGAATTCCTTCTTTATTTATAAGAACGGAAATTCGCGTACTTAAAATTAGAAGGTGCGTACCTAAATATAACTAAGTAGTACTTATATATATATATATAAATTTATTTTAATTAAAGTTTATTATAGTAATTAATAAGGTTTTAATATATAATTAGTATTTAGTAATATTTTTTATTAACTAATTAAAGTAAAGTTAAAAATTATATAAATTATATATATAAAGGTCTTAATTAATAGTATTTTAAGTGTAATTTATATTTAATTATATATATATATAGATTTCTAGTTATATACTCTTATTTTTATTACTAGTAATATTATTTATAGTTAGATCTATTTATAATAACTAGTTAATAGTCCTTTATACCTCTATACACTACTTTTTAACTACTAGTAGGGTGAAGAGATTTTATTATATAGTATAATAGGGGGTATGTAAAAAAATACTGCTTGGCTGGTGTGATGAGTAGAATAAAGTCCTTTGATTGGTTGGGGTGCTATTTAGTTATATTTAGGTACGCGCCTTCTAATTTTAGGTATATAAATTTCCGTTCTTTTATTTATTTAATAATACTTTTTTATTAACTATTTAAAACTTATAATATAAACTTTATTTTTTTTAATTAATTATTTAAATATTATTAATATATTTTTATAATTAAAATTTAATTTTCTAATATTATAATAATATTATTAATCTTTAATTATACTTATTTTTATATATAATAATAAGTAAATTATTATAATTAAAATATTTATATTATTATTATAAATAATTAATTTTTAATATTTTATTAATCTTTTAATTATTTAAAACTTTTATAATAAATATAATATTTATAAGAATTTTAAAGTTAAATTAAATAAATTTATAAAATAAATTAATTATATAATAATTAAAAGAATTTTAAAATAAATTATATTTATTTATAATATTATTATAAAATTAAATACTTAACTATTATAATAAAATATTTTTATAATTAAAGTTAATTACTTTTAATTAATTTTACTTATTATATAAAATAATTTATTAATAAATAAATTCTTTAAATTAACTATTTAAATTATTAATTTTTAATTTTAAAAGTTAATAAAATTTAATATAATTAAATTAAGTTAATAGATTTATAATATAGCTTTTCTTTTATATTATTTAAAACTTTTAATAATTAAATTAAAAACTTAAATAAATATTTTAAAAGTATTTAAATATTAACTTAAAGTTATATATTTTAAAAATAAATTAATAAAGTAATATTAAAAAGTAAGGAATTTATATATTAATATAAGTTATATTTAATTTATTTTAAAAAAGAAATATTAATATTATTTTATAATTAATATTAATAATAATATAATATATATTTTTAATATATAATTAAATAAATTATATAAATCTAAAAGAATAACTTTATATAATAAATAATAAAAATTATTATATTTTAAAATACTTTTATAATTTATATAAAAGTAATTTACTTTTATTTTAAAATTTATTAATAATAAAAGAAAGTAAAGTTTTAATAGTTTTAAAATAAATTTATAATCTTTTAATTATTATTAAACTAATAATTTAATAATCTTTATAACTAATTATAATATTATTTTAATGAGTATTTTTAAATATAAACTCTTTAAAATATATTATTAATTACATATTTAAAAAAGTAAAAAGTTATTAATAATAAAAGAAAGAAATAATAGAGGAAGTTAATAAAAAAGATTTAATTTAAATCTTTTTAATATATTAAAAAGAAATAAAGTTATAATATTTATTAAAGCTTTTAAATTAAAGAATATTCTTTATATTTATTAAACTTTATTTAACTTTTTAAGTTTATTAAATACTTAATTAATTATAAAATTTATAATATAATTTAATAATATTTTTAAAAGAACTTTTAAATTAAATAGTAATTATTAACTATTTTTAAACTTAATATATTAATAAAAGAAAAACTTATTATTAAATAAATTATTTATAAAACTTATTAGATTTTTAATTTTAATTTATATATAACTTTTTTATAAAAGTTATATATTAAAAGTTAAAGGTTTTTAATTTATATAATAAATAATATTCTTTATTTAATTAAAGTTATTAATAAAATAATTAAGAATACTTTTATATTTTATATTTTAAAAATATATTAAAAATAATTATTTTAAAAAGTTTAATAAATAAAATTAACTTAATAAGTTTTTATTTTAAGTTTAATAAATAATATTTAAACTTTTATTATAATAAAAGTTATATAATATATATATTTAAAGAGTAAGTTTTATAAAATAATTATTTATTTTTAAGTTATATTTATTCTATTTATATTTAATATAATTTATTTTATATAAATTAAATTATTAATTATAAAAGAATTAGTTATTTCTTTTAAAAAAGAATATATATAAGTTTTATTAATTAAATTATAACTTTTAATAAGAAATCTTTTTTATAATTTATTTATTAATAAAAGTTATTATAATAAAAGATAGCTTTATAAAATAATTATATTTATTATAAGTAAAGATAGAATTTATATAAGTTATAAAAGGTTTATTATAAATAAAAATAATTTTAATAATTATTAGTTTAAATAATAAAGTAAATAATAAAATAAAAATAATTATAATTTTTATATAATATATTAACTTAATATTTAAATAAAATAATAAGACTTTTTAATTTTTAAATTAAATAGAATTTTATAACTTAAAGAATTAATAAGAAATTATTTAATAGAATAAATAATTAATAATAATATTTATATAATTATTAATTTATTAACTATTAAAGAAATATTTTATAAAAATAGTTTTATTAGTTTTATTAATAATAATAATATTAATATTTAAGTTAATAATTAAAAGTTTTATATAAAGGTTTATAAAATTATTAACTAACTATTATAAATTAATTTAATTATAAAGGATTTTATTAATAATAAAAAATTTAAAAGGAGATTATAATATTTAAAGGCTTATTAAAATATTTTAAATAATGAAGAAAAAAGTAGATAATTAAATAAACTATTAAAATAAAAAATATAATAAGGTAAAAAAGAAATTAAAAAAATAAAGAAATATATAATTAATAATTATATATTTCTTTTATATATAGTATTATTATAATATATAGTTTTATAGTTTCGCTTCTATTTCGTATACATCCGACGACATATATAGTGCCTTTATACGGTGATTATTATAGTATAAATTAAAGTTAGAGTATTAGGGGTATATATTACTCTATACTATCTGTTTCTTACCCTGTGAATATCTGTTCTCCTTATCTAACTGTGTGTATTATATAGGCTGCTAATTACCACCCTCTAAAAGGCCTCGATCAACACCGTGTCTGTCCGGGCTGGGATGACCAATTCAGAGAAAGCCTCTGCCTTTGCCTCCTTCAATGATGACAAGTCAAATGTCAAGGTACTGCTTCTTAACACCATGGTTGGTGCAGCTGGCCTCAACCTTCATGGTTGCTGCCATTTCGGCATTCAAGTTCAGATGCCTTGGAGTTATGGCAGCTCTGGCCAGTATCTTGGTCGCCTAGTCCGCCTGAAGCAGTCACAGGAGGTCACCTGGGTGATGCTTCGCGTCAACGACACCGTCTACGATTTTGTCGAGCACAAGGCGTGTCAGAAGGAGGCACAGGCGTTTTCTGCCTACCTCACAATCCCAAAGGCGCTCGACAAGCCTATCTTCCGGAAGCTACTCAGCTATGAGGTCCTTCGAGCTGTTTGGAGCCAACCTTTCAATCGGATTGCCTGGGAGGTCATAGGCATCACCGAGATACAGGATTTCAACTCGAAGTTCATGCGCGCATGTGGATACTTCTACCACCACCTGGCCCTGCTGTTACTCCGCGAGGTGGGCTCTGCCGACGAGGATGCGGATGATTCCGATGAGGATGCAGATGATGGCGACGATGACAAGACCGGTACCAGAAAGGATTTGAATGACAAGCTGGAGAAGCTGGAGAAGGTCTTTGCTGCGCTCCCTACCTTCTGGTGCAGGAAGCTCTGTCGGCAGCCCGAAAACCCCGAGGCCAGTGAGCTTCCCGATGCTCTATCCTGGGACATGGTGGACAGGCTGTTGCTGGACTGCGAGGAACAGCCGGACGTACTGAGCGCGCTGAATGCTGCGGCGCCAACTACCGAATTCGGTAGCTTGCAGAATCGGAAGACATACATGTCCAACGTCATGGAGCATGATAATGAGAGCCTCGGGAGCTCGGCTGGAAAGAAGCGCAAGAGGAACACATCGGACAATACACCCTCCAAGCGCCGCACTCCTCGCTCTGACCCCGTCGCGGTCGACTCTGAGGATGATGATGATTGATTGGCACCATTTCGTGCCACATGTACATTAGACAGGTTTTGGGCAGCCATGCACCATTTGGTGCCAAGTAGGCTGGGATGGATACTCGGATAGATCTCCTCTAGTGAGTTTAGCCGGCTCGTTGATTACAAGAAAACCCAAATACACGCGCTATCTTAGGAGTATTATTCAAAGTGACAAATGCCCCTGTTCTATTTGGCTGCAACACTACAGTGCCCAACATCTACCGCCTACCTGGTCTCGCTTCTATTCGTTCGAGTACATACATGGCGCCTTCATACGGAGATAAACGGTCCAGACTCGGCACTTAAAAAGCATATGGTGTTATTACATAGTTCAAAATATGATATCTTGATATTAGAGTAGTTGATTTCTAGGATGCTGGCTTTCATGGTTCGGTGGCGATGTGATTGCCCCCGATTCCACACGTATGTATTCAATGTTTCGAGCCCCAGGCAGGATAAGCGACACCAAAGTCATACATGAGCATATGACAGTGAAGAATGCTGAGAAGAATGCAACGAGTCCTGGCGAAGCTCCGACCACAGCGTGCCGGTGGACAAGGACGTTTACAGTGATGAGCTCAAGTGTGACCGTTGGATTTGTTATTTGTTTTTCCTTTGGCTGCAAGAACCTAGGGACTTTGCGTAACTAATGCAGCGTTCGCGTAGACCGTGGTGAAGTAGTCGGTGTCGCATGTTGACGCCATTGCCTGGCCCGAGTTGGAGGGTGACGTGTACCTTGTTTAAATGATCCGACGAAACTTTAACCAAAGCCCGACCCTGGAAATCTCTGGGTTCCCTGCCTGAAGTAGTATGGCTAACGGCAACGCTGACGACGCCGTCTTAGCCCTGTTCGCGTCTGAATCAGACCATCATTATTGATCCTGGTTCGCTACCCCTTTCCTTTCTTTCCATTTTGCTCTCAATCCGGGTTTTAGGAATTAGGTTTTTCTCCTCGCACAATTAAACTTCGCGATCGGCGCCATCATCGCGGGAATCTCAACTACCCTTTCATCGGGTCCTGCCAAGAGATATCCGCCCAGAGAACAAGCCCTCACCTGTTCGAAACCTTGGCAGTTTGACGATCTGGGGAAGCACTCGAGCACGGATCAGCATTCGTCGATGAGGCTCGTTCGAATTTGACAAGGAACCCCCCCTTTTTGTTTATCAGCTTCCTCTCCCTAAAAATCCCCACCAAACACAACCATGTTCCCAAGAATATTATTATACCTATCGCTCGCCCTGGGCTTCTTCTCCACGTCGGCACTAGCAGCGGCCATGAAATACGCGCAATGGACAATAGCCGTGTTCGAATTCCGATGCAAAGCGCCAAACGTAGTCGAGTCCTACAGCGAAGATTGGAAAGAATGGAGGGTCTCGAGCATTTGTGTGCCTGGGACCTGCTGCGCGACCAGCGCGGCGACGGGCCCGCTGTGCACGCCCGAGGCGTGTGACAAGGCCGAACTGGAAAGGGCGCGGAAACTCGTTTCGTACAACGCAGCCCAGGCCTCGAAGAAAAAGGCGGACGCGGCAAGGAAAGCACGACAAGGTCAGAGGCAGGGCAAGATGTCTGAGGCAGAGATAAGATGGAGGGCAGCTGATGCTCGGGCTGAGGCGGACAGGGCGAAAGCGCTGGCCGAGATTAGCTTTGAGGCTTGATCGTCTGTTGTGGTCCTCTGTGTAAACTATTTCTTCTTCGTTTTCGCCTCAAATTGTCTCAGGCGGTGGGTAGTTACTGGCAGCAGTCCAGGAATTGGCGGAATTCACACCCGAGTGCCCCAAACGCCGCAGGGAAAGCTTCTGAAAGTGACAAGAACAAGCCATTGACGGTGGGAACTATGTATCCCTAACTACCTATGGCAGCTGGGCTTGTGATCCACGCAGGTTAGTAATTGTTATGTATGTGGTTTCGCTTCTATTCCGTATACGTCCGAGGACATACATGGCGCCTTCATACGGTGGTAAGCAATCATTTGTTATGTATATATAGTTCATACTGGGAACATTTGAAGGCTGCATGGGAATCAGACTGGCGTGAAGAAATCACGGACGGTTTCAGCAACCAAAGCTCCAAGTTTATGTGACCAGAGTAGCTATGCTGCAGGTGGCAATGGTGGGTCCTATTTGAGGACATGGCGATGGATACATGGAATATCTTCTTGCAACTTCATAGCCCTGTTGCCTCATCGATCAGACAATTTGACCCTCCTCCCGGAGCCCCTCTAGCTTTCCATGTTCTCCGCGCATGCTGAGTTGTACGACGTGTTTTTGTCTTCTTCCCTATTTGGCCCAACCTCCTCTAGGATCATATTGTGTGGGACAAGCTCCTTTGAGATTGCCAGCTGCCTGAAAAAATGTTTGAGTGCAGATCTTCCCTCCAGAACATAGACGAGCATGGGGACAATGCGATCTCGTCAAGATCCTCGGGGGACTCCATGGCCAGAAATTATTGCAGAGCTCTGGTTCAGTCTGATGCGATGTGTTGGATGTGTTGTACAAAGAAGTTGACCCATGAATCTTACCTGGAAGGGAGGAGACCTGGAAAGGACATCACGTCTTTTCAGTCAAGCCGACTTCTTGCGAACAAATCTGTTTCTATAATCCAAATACGGGCCACTCCGATATCTTCAAGAGCTTTGGTTCAATGGCAATGAACGTCCTATAGTTCAAGAGCGGAAAAACAAAGAGACCAGATATTCACACCTATAAAAAAGGACGGTATACCTATGCTAGATAACTCAAAGATTAAAGTACTTAGGTTAGTATTAAACTAGCTATTTTTTAAGCTTATCTTATAGGATATTATTATTAAAAAGGTTATTCTAAAAGAGGTTATCTTATAGGAGGTTATCCTATAAAAGGTTATTCTTTAGGATGTTATCTAATAGGAGATTATCCTATAAGAGTTTATTCCTTAAGGCTTAAAGTGCCCTCTATTTTTACAGGTATGATCACCGATCTCAAAACAAAAGGCATCATCGCTACCCCAAGGGTATGATGACTAACTTCGGACACAACGGGGCAAAGTTGAACGCCGAAGGTTTTGATGGGTCAGTAACCCACACGACGAATAGTGACGGTAACTAGGCCTTTGAAATCATATGGACCATTTCTGCTAAGGGCCGTCCATTGTCGGGACTTGGAACTGAATCGCTCCATCGATTATAAATGGAGCTGGTCTCTTAGTGTCCCCTCGAAAGTGCCCCACGGCACGGCCAAGACGAGTCAATAAGCGAATCATATGTTCCATCGTGACTTAGACTATGCAGCTCCAAGAAGTGATTCTCGCGTGTACGCCTCACCGTATTGTGGCAACCACTGGCAGTTTACATGGGGATCTTGAAAAATGCCAAGTAAAGTCAATCATGAAAGTCCGAGATTAAAAGTCCATCCTGGTTGAGGTTACTGGCAGGCAGGCTCATCGGTGGACATGTAAGCCCCGTTGCACAGTAATAAGCCGTAGCATCCGGAGGCGCCTCCGCAAGGTCCACTGTGAAACGGAGGCTTGAGTGAGGGGTCGAACGGAGCTGGCCCAACAGTGGCGCCGGTCATCCGTTCCCCACTTACACGTATGTACATATAAACCCCTTCCTAGGCTCAGCACAGAGTTAAGACCCTGCTTGTTGATAAAGTAAATAAGACCATCCATCATGGCGGTAGAGACACTCCGAGAAAACACATTTAGCCACAGCGGCGACAAGACGACCTTCTACTGGGTAAGCTTTATCAAGACGTCCCGTCCCGGACCCGTCCCGGACCCGTCCCGGACCCGTCCCGGTCAAGCACTGTCCCCTCTAGCGCAGGCCCGGCCCGAAGCCTGGCCCGGCTCTGCCCTCCGTGTCCACCTCGAGGACAGGCTCTATTCTTGGAAAGTATTGCCGTAGGTGGTCCAATGGCTGATATAATGCATACTTAGTCTACCGGCCCAGCCGACGGACCCCTGGTCATCTTCACCCACGGATGGCCGTCCAACGCTGAGTTCTGGAAGCAGCAGCTTCTGGCCTTCGGCTCGCTGGGCTTCCACGCCGTGGCGCCGGACACGCGTGGCTACGGCCGCTCCAGCGTGCCCAAGGGCGACGACACCGAGTACCGCTTGGAGAAGCTCGTCTCGGACATGCTGGCCCTCCTCGCGCACCTGAAGCGCGACAAGGCGGTCTGGATCGGCCACGACTGGGGTGCGAGTCTGACCTGGTCGTTTGCCGCGATGCACCCTGACAAGTGCGTTGGGGTCAGCTGCATCTCGGTGCCGTACGGTGTCCTCGAGTCCGGTGGCATCGACAAGTTGGTCTCGCTGTCGAACCGGGATATTTACCCCGAGGACCAGTACCCACTTGCCCAATGTATGTGCTGGCACCTCCACGGCTTTCTCCGTGTCGCTGACCGGCCGGGAAAAGTTTGCTAATGGGAGCCGACCAGGGGACTACCAAGCCTTCCACGAGGAGCAGCCCGAGAAGAGCAGGGCCCTGCTCGAGGCCAACGTGGCCAACACGATCAAGGCACTGTACAGGGCCAGCGGTCCCGAGGTCTTCGGCAAGCCTGCCTTCACCGCAACGACACGGAAGAGCGGCGGCTGGTTCGGCCCCCTCACAGAGGCCCCCGAGACGCCCTTCGAGACGTGTCTCTATGCCGACGACAAGCCCGCCTTCGACCGGGTCGTGGCCGAGTTCGAGCGCAACGGGTTCGAGGGCCCCAACGCCTACTACCTCAACCACAAGGCCAACGGCGAGTGGCTCAGGGGCGCCCCCAACGGCGCGGTCCTCGAGTTCCCGGTCTTGTTTGTCGAGACCAAGTACGACACGGTCTGCGACACGGCGCTGTCGCGGCTGGCGGAGCCCATGAGGGAGCTCTGCAAGGACCTGACCGAGGTCAGCCTCGACTGTGGCCACTGGGCCTGCCTGGAGAAGCCCCGCGAGCTCAACGCGGCGCTGGTCAAGTGGGTTGCCACGAAGCTCCCGGGCTACTTCCCTGGCGGAAAGTGATGACGGGTCACTGGCTCACCTGTGACGTCTCCGGCCTCGAACCTCGCGCTGCAGTTTAAGCCGCGGTTCCGAGCTTGCATAGCTAGACTGCTCGCAATGAAAGCCTTCTCGTTGAAAACACATCCCTGTGATGAGTTTGATGCTATTGTCTTCATGATAGCGGAGTGGACATCCTGCCCAATCTAGACTGTGACCAGTTAATCACGTAGAGTGTTGATGGGCTTGAGTTCTTATGTGCTTACATGCATATATATATTGGGAGACGGTCACTCCCGCGTCCCAATCTCAAGTCAAGCGTGGAGCGCGCCCCATCTGGTGGCGTAACTTTTATGGATGTGAATAATTCTATATTTTAAGACGTCTCAAGACCAACAAAATACTAGAAATCAAACTGCCACTAGTAATGCCATTCCCATTTTTATCCGAACATAGACGCCTAAGCTCTATCGTCGCCCATCCAGACCAACCACCGAAAAAGAACCACAGAGCAGGCCCTTAAGCTCATCATATAAGTCCGCCGTAACAACACCCGATCACCTTCTCACTCGGACCTAGCATCCAGTCCCGAGTCCTGTCTCTATGCGGTCATGAAAAGACACCCCCACCCCCCCGATAGTATCACCACACTGCCACCGCCAGTCTGTCTGCCCGCCTTTCCCCAGCCGTCGCCTCCTCACAGCGCCTTCCACCAAATCTCATCAGTCTGCAGGTCCCCACCAACATCAAACACATGCTCCCCGATGTGCTCATACCCCATCTTGCGGTAGAACGCCTGCGCCTTGTGGTTCTCCTCCCACACGCCGAGCCAGATGGTCCTGAACTCCTGGTCGCGCGCGATCCCGTCCGCGGCGAGCGACAGCGCCTTCCCGAGGCCCCGGCCGTGCGCGCCCAGCGCGATGTACAGCCGCTGCAGCTCGACGGGCCGCTCCAGGTGCGCCACGCAGGGCTCGGAGCTGCCGCGGGTGAGGTAGGCGAAGCCGAGGAGCTTGTTGTCGGCGGTGGCGTCGGTGGCGACCAGCACGTCTTTGGAGGGGTCCGCGATGTCCCGCGCGATCGCCTCGGGCGTGTACGCCTCGTCCAGGAACGCCTGCAGCTGCTCCTCGGTGCACGAGTGCGCGAACGTGTCCCGGAAGACCTCGGCGCCCAGGGCCGCCAGGGCGCGGGTGTCTGGCGCGGCGGCCTTGCGGATCTGAAACGAGCCGGCCTTGGGCGGCGGCGCGGCCACGCTTCCCATTTTCCTGTGGCTGTTGTTGTTGTTGTTGTTGTTGTTGTTGTGGCGGTACAAGCCCGGTGCGAATAGTGAAGATGTCAATGGGTTCCTCCCTGCGCGTCGTGATACGAGGGGTTTTCTGCTACTGGCCTTGTCCGTGTGGAACTCACTGCTCGAGGTGGGGGGTCGGAGCCCGAGCAGGGCGACGGGAAGGGGAGCTTTTAGCGGCCGCGGCACCGAGGAGAGATCCGACTGGGGCCGGAACGGGAACGGGGCCGGGCTGCGCAAGTGCGTAAGTGCGCGACTCATCATTGCGGCTGGTGGGATGGAGAAAATCCACTCTCGATCTACAAGACGATGACTGCTTGCGCACACACAGGTCTTCTACAGAAGGACAGTTCTTGTAGAAGGGAAGATCAACATCTGGGTTTGAGTTCCAGCAGGACAAGCCGAGGCCAAGAAGCACAATCGAAGCACTATTCGTCTCATACTTCACCGGTCCTGTTCACAGTAGGTGCACGCATCACGTCCAGGGCTTGGTAGGGTATTGAACCTGCGTTTTCCCGCCCTTCCCGGAAGCTTAAGCGAGGTTGTATACCTATAAGCTTTCAATTATGGGCCTGTCCGAGTCACGACGGCCGCATAGCGAGGCGATTAACTCCAGTCCAGTCCCTAGACCGGGCAAGTTGAGTTTGTCCAGGCCTTGTCCGTCTCTTCAGCAAAGATGAAGTACAACTTAGAGCGATTTACATGTACATCCTTGGACGTATGCGGAATAGAAGCGAAACCAATTAGATCGATTTATAGGCGAGTGAGTTGTACTGATAAAGAGCCCGACTTTCGTGCGGTGACCCAAGCATATGAGTGCCAGGCCTATCCAGAGAGACATGGATTCCTCAGTCCCTTCTCGCCAGGCCTGAAGGTGACCCCAGAAGGGCCACAGGATCCGTCGCACGCACGAAGATATAGACTTTGATGTGCACTATGGAACAAACATGATGAGGTGTAGGTACAGCTCCCTTTATCTGCCTAAACTATATAAGATCCGGGCCAGTCCGCCGCGCATCTCCGCAGCTCAACTCACGCAGACCCCGGCACCGTGCCGTTGCCAGTAAGGCTCAGCACCGCGGCGCTCGAGTCCGGCACGCTGACCTCGACCGTCCCGTCCTCGTCCACCACCACGTACTCGCCGACCGTGACGTTGTCAAGCCTGACGGGCCGCCCATGGTCCAGCTCGTAGTTGTAGCTCCACCCGTCCCACGTGATGCCCGTGATGGCGTCGCTGCCGTTCGCATACAGCCTCTGCACGGCGACCCTGTCCCCGGCCGCCAGGCCCCCGCCCGAGACGTCAAACGTGTACGTCCGCGAGACCCGGGCCGGGGCGTCGGGGCTGGCGCCGAGACCCGTGCCGTTTATGGTGGTGTTGTAGGCGTTCATGTTGATCACGATGGCCCGCAGCAGCTCGCCGCCGTCGGCAGAGTACGCGGCGTAGCCGGCCTCGGTGTCGTTGGCGAGCGGGATGTTGGCGATGCTGACGGGGGTCTGGGTCATGTCCCCCAGGAACGCGGCCACGGCGATGCTCCCGTAGTACGGCGCCTTGGTGCCGACGGTGGCGTTGGCCGTCTGGATGGGCTGCCAGAAGCCGTACCGGTAGTTGGTCCCCTGGTGCATGTGGATCCGCTTGAAGCCGACCGAGGCGCTGTACAGGTTGAAGTCGATGCCCCACAGGGCGGCGCCGAAGGTGTTGGACAGGCCTGGTTTGCCCTGGTGGTAAAGGGAGTTCGCCTCGCCGAAGATCAGAGGTGGCGACCCGGTGTTGTTCGTGGCTCTGTTGTATTCGTCGATGTGTGGGTCAACAGAGGCGACTGTCACTGTGTGGTTCATCAGCGTTCCCTGAAGGGTGACGCCGGGTGACTCGGCACCACTGATGTAGCTGTGGTGTATGCTTTAGTCTAGGTCTCTCATCATATCAAGGGGCTCAGTGGGCTCACTTGTGGGTAGAAAATAACTTGATCGTATCGTCTCGATTGATCCCGAGATCCCATACGATCGGGACCTTGAGGGTATTGTTGAACCCTGCGATCGATGCACCCATGTAGCCATAAAGATCATCTTCCAACAGCTCTGGGCAGGCGTCCTCAAGACGAGCCCGGATCTCACGGGTCCCGTTGAGCCACTGGTCCACGTATGTAGTCTCGTTCCAATCGGGTGGACGAATCCGGTTCTGAGTGCTTGTAGAAAATAGGTCCGGCTCGTTGCCATACTCCCAGACGTCGAGCTTCTCGGGTCCCAGGGCCTTGCATGCCAAAGGCACAGTATCGACGAGGGTCTGCCAGCCGGCTGAGTTGTTACCGCCCTGGCCGAGATTGAAGCCGTGGGTGAACTTGACGCCGGGCCACTGGTTGTACGACTCAAAGTAGGATGGCCCGATATAAATGATGGTGGGATAGTCGCTCGACCGGGAGTAGTCAAAGGTGCCGTTGAGCGCATAGGCCAGGGACGCGTTATAGAGGTAGATATCCTGGGTGTTGCCGCCAACACGGACGTATGGCTTTGTGCCTTGAAGCTGGCCAAGATTGTTCAAGAGGTTGTCAGAGAAGGTGTTTGGGTTTGAGTCGTTTCCTGTGATGGTTCAGTTCATCGATCTCTTTGGAGAAGTGGGTCACATTGGCAATTAAAATGAATTCATCTCACCAGCAAAGTCCGGGAAGGATGAGAACTCGATCGAATAGCTCACGAAAGCCTCACTGAAAGGCTGGCTTGCCTCGATCGCAGCACCGTAGAGACTGTATTTCACAGCCTCTGCTGATGTTGCGGCCATGGCCAAGGGTATCATCTTTTGAAGGCCCATCGTGTCCAACGCTCTCGAAACAGGCGTGATGAACAAATTCATTACTTCACCCTTGAGTTGTAGGGCAAGTGAGAGCATTATATAACTGCATGCTGAATATATGAACGAGTGACTCCCCGCCCACCAGCAGCGTGGGATTGAATGTCAAGTCGCACCCTCGGCCTAATGGCCCTCGAGACGGCCGCTTTGGTGTAATGGTGCCGGGAGTTGCCAGGAGGCATGGGCGAATCACAAAGCCATGTCACTATGCGGTGGCCCTGGCAGCGTGGCTGGTTGGGGTAAGGTCGAGGTGGTGAGGGCATCACGGGTCAGGGATGTAGCCGGCTGTTCACTCGGGTGGTGTCAACGGGGAAGAGGCGCATATTTCTCCGAGAAACAGCAGGAAATGGCAGGGACTATTGTCAAGCCAGGACGAGTGTTCCCCGCAGGAGGCACATAGCAGAGCGTGAGGGGAGCGCGATGGGCGTTGATCTGAAGCTTGGCTTGGCTTGACTCGATCCGACGCGCATGCGTTGGAGTCGGCCTGGGGTTTGCTGGTGCAGGACGCGGAGATGCGCCTCGCCATCGCCAGTCTTTCTTTGCGTAACAAAGACTACGGCAAGGTAACACGTGAGACAATAACCAGACTTGGCGAGGATGCATACGGTGGCCTCCGCACATGCCTTGACCTTAGTACATGTGGCGATGTGTTCCGAGAAGAAGCAACAGTCCATACCAGGTTCGTAGTTGGACAGCCAGAGGCAGGTGTGCGCAAGTAATAAGAAGGATCTGGCCGTCTAGCCGTCTAGACGAACCCACGTGAACCGACTCTGCAGGACGTTTTCGCAGGTTGTATGTCTATCGCCCAATCTGGGACCCGTGCACAAGATCGAACAAGATATGTGGTGCGCCGTCAGCATCCGTGCAGGGTCGGGTTGAGCTTGAGGCGCCGGCACAGGATCGATCGTCGTTGCGCGTGGCGCATGGCGGCAATCTTCTTTTGTACGTGGCGTCGACAGGTGCTGAGACAGATAGACACCTTTATGTTACTGTAATGCTGAAGATGTCTATGGGGGTCTAGAGCGATAAATGTAAAAAAAAGTTAAAAACAGTAAATAACTTAATACACTCACCCTACTTCTTAAAAGCCACCCCCACCCCCACCCCCTTCCTTCCTCTAAGTTATAATAACTATTAGTTTATAAATTTATTATTTCTTTTATTTCTTTTATTTCTTTTATTTCTTTTATTTCTTTTATTTCTTTTATTTCTTTTATTTCTTTTATTTCTTTTATTTCTTTTATTTCTTTTATTTCTTTTATTTCTTTTATTTCTTTTATTTCTTTTATTTTTATTTCTTTTATTTCTTTTATTTCTTTTATTTTTATTTCTTTTTATTTTTATTTTATTTCTTTTATTTCTTTTATTTCTTTTATTTTTATTTCTTTTATTTCTTTTATTTTTATTTCTTTTTATTTTTATTTCTTTTATTTTTATTTTTTTATTTTTTATTTTTATTTCTTTTATTTTTATTTCTTTTATTTCTATTTTTTATTTTTACTTTTATTTCTTTTATTTCTTTTATTTTTATTTTTTATTTCTTTTATTTCTTTTATTTCTTTTATTTTTTATTTTTATTTCTTTTATTTTTTTATTTCTTTTATTTCTTTTATTTCTTTTATTTTTTTATTTTTATTTCTTTTATTTCTTTTTATTTTAATTTAAAGATTCTTTTATAATTTAAATTTATAATATTAAAAAAGAAAGAAAGAAAGAAAGAAAGAAAAAAAGAAAGAGAAAAAAAATAAAAATAAATAAAAATTAAAAATTAATTAAAAATATAACTTTTTAAATATTTAAACTTAAGACTTTAAAGTAAGAGTAGTTAGTAAAAAGGGTGAGGTGAGTGAATTAAAGTTTTTAACTTTTTTATATTTATTACTTTAAACTACTCTAAATATCTCTCCTTTAAAAATATTCTATTTACTAAAAGGAATAGATGTGGGTGATAGCAATAGCAACAAGATAACGAACAAGTGGAGAAGACATTAACAATACACACTGGTGTCTCTTCTAGGAAGGTACATGCAAACTTGCCCCGCAAAGTTTGAGAGGTGGGGCCAATAGCTCTGGTGATGGGCAAAGCTCCTAGGAACAGACAGGTTCAGGTCGGGAAGAGGTCATGCAGGGGAAAAGAGAGGATAAGGCTAGAGACGACAAATACAGAAGAGTATTGCAGCATTTTCTGTCCAAGGTTGGGATCAAAAGCACCTAGAAATACACAGAGCTCGTGCTTCATCCTGCAAGTTTAAGGTGCTACCTTTCAATGGCACAGGCTCGCTATCTTGGAAAAACGAGAATTGGCCCCCCCCCTACAAAATGCCCCCTATTTCTTGGCTAAACCAAAACTTTACTAATAGGGCGAAAAACCCAACATTTTTAATAAAATATTATATTTAACGCCACCTATACCCTAAAAAAGGAAAAAAAAAGGCTAATAATAATAAGCTATTACCTATTAAGCTATAAACTTTAATAATTAAAGTTTTATTTATATTTTAACCTATTTTTATTAAATAAATGGCTATAAATTAAGTTTTAAATTAACTATATTATAATTTAAAAATATTATTAAAAAATTGCTATTATTTATATAATTACCTTAAATATATTATTATTATTATTATTAAATATAATTAAACTAAAATAATAGGCTTTAAAAGTTTATTAGCTTGCTTTTATAATAAATTTATAAAGCTTAATTAATATATAAGTTATATAAACTAAAAGCTAAAAGATTTTTATTTAATAAGCTAAACTTATATTTTAATAAAATATAATACTTTTTACTAAATAGTTTTAAATTAATATTATTATAAAAATAATAAATAATACTTTTAAAGCTTATATATAAAGTAATAAATAAATATATATATTAGCCTGCTAATATAATAAAAAGCTTTATAATTATTATTTTTAATAAATATATTAGCTAAACTATATAATAAAAATATTTATTTTTATTAATAAGTTTAATTTTAATAAGCAAAATAATATAAAAAAATGGGTTAAGTATTTATTAAATATATTTTATAAATTAAAAGTTTTTTAAATAAGGGCTTACCTTTATATTTTTTATAATTATATTTAATAGCTTATTTGCTATTATAGTATATAAAAGTTATATAATAAAAAGTACTTTTATAATAGCTAATAAAAGCATTTTATTAAAAATAAATTTATATTTAAATTTAAAGTTAATTTTTATAATAAATAATACTTTATAATATTATAATATAAAAATAATTAAAATAATAAATATAAAAGGTATAAAATATAAGTATTTATTTTTATACTTTTTAATTTTAATTTTATTAAGGCGTATTTTAATAATTTAAAATATTATTTATATTATTAATATTAATATAAATTATTAAATTATAATTTAAATAAAAATTTTATTTAATTTTATTTTTATATTTAAAAGGTTAAATTTAAAGTTAAGGCCATTTAAAAATATTTTTATTATATATAAATATTAAAAAAGTATAAAATAAAGTAAATATAATAATATTAATTAAAAATTATAAAAATTAAAATTAATAAAGTTTTAGTTAAATATAATTATATAATAAAAAGTATTATTTGTAAATTAAATAGTTAAGTTAATAATTAAAGTTAAAATAAATAAATTAATTATAAGTAAATTTATTTAATTAATTAATTATTTAATATTAAGCATTTAATTTACTTTATTTATTTAAAATAATTAACTTTTCTTTTTTAATTACTTTTATTACTAATTATATTTTTATACGCCTAATTATTATTTTTTACTTAAAAGTTTTTAAAATTTATTATATAATTTTTACCTTATTAAATATAAAAATTATTTTAATAAACTTTTAACCCTTTTATTAAATAGCTAATTTAATTATAAGGCCTAATATTAAATAAAGCTAATTAGTTAATTAAATAACCTTTATAGGCTTTATAAAATATATATTTTTAATATTTATTTGGTAGTTTATTAAATAGCTATTTAATAGCCTTTATTATAGTAATAAGTTTTTTATTATTATTACTATTAAAAAATTAGTAAAGTTTTTTTTTAAATATGGCTTAATTAGTATTTTAATTAATAAAATAGTTTTTAAATTATATTTATTAAACCAAATATTCTTTTTTTTATAAAGCTTATAAAAATTAAGCCTTTTATGTTTTATAATTTTTATAAATTATTTAAATTAAGCCTTTTTTAATAGGTTTTTAAAATATTTTTAAAGCATTTTTATAATAAACTTTTAATATAAAACTATTTTATTTTTTTTTATTTATGGCGGCAATAATAAAAGAATAATTAGCAGCTTTTACCTTTATAATAGGCTTTTAGATACTATTATTATTACTACTAATAGTAGTAGGGCCCTATTAAACTTATAAAAAAAAGCTAATAGTAATAATAATAATAGCAGTCTTATTAAAGTTGCTTAGCTATATTTAATTTTAAGCAAGTTAATATTAAATAATAAATTAATAATTATATTAATACTACTTTTTTTTTACTTTTATTTTTATTATTTTTTTTTAAAAAAAATAAAACTAACCCTATTATTATTAGGCTTTTTTTTATTAAGCTTTATTTAAATTACTTAATAATTAAAAGGACTTTTAATAAATATTTAATTATAGCATTATTTATTATAATTATATTAAATTAGTTTTTAAGTTTTATTAAATAAACTAATATATATATTATTTTATTTAATAAAATACTATTATTATAGGAAATTTTCCTTATTTTAATAATAATAATTAGCCTTATAGTAATTATTTAAAAATATAACTATATTTTTATTAGTTGCTTATATTTCTTTTATATAAAATTTATTTTTATTTTTATTTTAACCTTTTACCTAATAGTTATTAATATAAATTAAAAGTTTTAAAATTTAGGTTTTATTAAATATATTTAAGTTTACTATTTATTTAATTATTAATAAATTATTTTTAAAGTAGCTATTTATTAAATAGCTAGTAATAATTAAAACCTTAACTAATAGGTATTTAATTAAGTAATTACCTTATAATATAAATATTTATAACTTTTATACTAGTAATATAATTTTATAATTATATAAAAATTAAAGAAAAAGGGTTTTTAAAATTTAAAAACATATTTATAATATTATTATAATTAAATATTTTAATTTTTTATTAATATTTTTTTATAGTTTTTAATTATAAAGTTAAAAACTTTTAACTTATAAGCCAATTAGCCTTAATAAAAATATCTTTTAGTTTAATAATTATATTTAAATAGTTTTATATTTTTTTAATTAAATTTTAAATAAATTAATATAATTTAATAAAAGGCCCTAAATTTTAACCTTTATTTTTTTAATATAATAATTTATTTTTTAAGTTATATAATAAAAGTAATATTAGCTTTTAGGCTATAAATTTTAATAAATAAAATTAAAGCTAGTTTATTTAGGCATACCTATATTAAAAGGTTAATTAGGCAACTTTTAAAGTACTTAATATTATTACTATTATTATTTATTAAAAACCCTACCTTATTAATAAAAAGGTTTTTATTATTAGCACCTTTTAAAACCTTTTTTTTTTTATTATTAAATATATTTTTTTTATTATTAACTTTAATAATATTTTTTTACGCCCTTTAAATTACTTAATTTATTATAATAGCCTTATTTTAAATAGTTTTTAAAAGTACTTATAAGTACTTTTAAGCGGTTTATTAGGCCTTAATTACCTTAATAATTAGCTTTTAAATATATAATTATTTAAATAATATAATATTTTTATTAATAAATTATATAATTTAACTTTTTAAATAAGTTTTATATAGCAAATATTAAATAGTTTAAGCTTAATAGGTTAGTTAAAATATATTATTTATAATATTAGTTAGGCTAATATTATTTTATATTAAAGCAAATAAGTTATATATACTTTTATAAGCCAGGCTTAAATTAATTATATAAAACTAATATAGCATTACTTTTATTTAATTAGGTAATAAAAACGACTTATTATTAGCATTAATAAGGTTAATATAGGTATTTTAGTAAGAATGTTGGGTTTTCTATCCTGCTAGCAAAGTTTTAGTTTAGCCGAGGAATAGGGGGCATTTTGCAGGGGGGGGGCCAATTCTCGTTTTTCCAAGACAGCGATACCCCGCGACGGCAGAATCACGGAGACGTCATTGTAGGGATCGTCACTTCCCCATTCACACCCTTAGACTGCCACCCGAAGAGCTAGGACCGTCCCCGTCTTCCCTGTCCGCTGCCTCGATAACCAATCTGATCCTGTCTATTATCTAAATGCCACAGACTCCCATGAGATCGTAGACCAATTGAGCCCCAATCACACCACCCAAGACTCCACTGCAGCCGGGTTTCGGAGCGCAGTTATCGACCAAGAGAGTCAACTAAAGTTGCCCCGGGAGTCGTTTTCCGATCCATACATGACAGCACCGGCCCGGTCGCGAATCGAGTTCCCATAGCAAATCGCCCTAGCCGTACAATAAGTCTGCCCTAAGCTACTACTCTCCTCCCAAGGGTGCTCGGGATTCAACGACATCGCCAGCCATGTCCCTCCTCTCCAAAACCTGGACCTCCTCCGCCTCACGCCTCGCCCCTCGGATTGCCCGCTTCCAGAGGAGCACCCTGCCCACATTATCGCCGCCCTCGTTTCGATTAGCTTCAACAATGGCACCCAAGGTAGGAGCGCCCCAGGTCGCGACTTGATTCCCCAACAGTCCAGACGCAGGAGCTAAGTAGTCCATTGCCCAAACCAGCTCAAAGATCCCTCCCTCTTCAAGACCGACGTCTGCTATGTCAACGGCGAATGGGTCAAGGCGGCCTCGGGCAAGACCTTCGAGGTCCACGACCCAGCCACCGGCGAGCTGATCGGCACCTGCCCCGAGTTCGACGCCAAGGACACAGCAAAGGCCGTTGAGGCCGCAAAAACAGCCTTCGCCTCCTTCCGCACACAGACCGGCCGCTCGCGCGCCAAGCTGCTCCGGAGGTGGTACGACCTGGTCAACGAGAACGCCGATGACCTGGCCACCCTGATAACGCTGGAGAACGGCAAGCCGCTGGCCGACGCCAAGGGCGAAGTCACGTATGCCGCCAACTTCTTCGAGTGGTTCAGCGAGGAGGCCCCGCGCGTCTACGGCGAGACCATCCCCGCCACCGTCCCTGGCAACAGGGTCATCACCATCAAGGAGCCGGTCGGCGTGTGCGGCCTGATCACCCCGTGGAACTTCCCCGCCGCCATGATCACGAGGAAGGCCGGCCCCGCCATCGCCGTGGGCTGCACGACCGTCGCCAAGGCCCCCGGCGAGACGCCCTTCACGTCCCTGGCCCTGGCCGAGCTGGCGCACCGCGCGGGCATCCCCAAGGGTGTGTTCAACGTGGTCACGACGCTGCAGAACACGCCCGAGGTCGGCGAGGAGCTGACGACCAACCCTGACGTGCGCAAGGTGTCCTTCACGGGGTCGACGGGCGTGGGCAAGCTGCTGATGAAGCAGGCGTCCGGCACGCTCAAGAAGCTGTCGTTCGAGCTGGGCGGCAACGCGCCCTTCATCGTCTTCGACGACGCCGACCTCGACACCGCCGTCGCCGGCGCCGTGGCGTCCAAGTTCCGCTCCTCGGGCCAGACGTGCGTGTGCGCCAACCGCATCTTCGTGCAGAGCGGCATCCACGACCGCTTCGCCGAGGCCTTCGCCGCCAAGGTCCGCGAGTTCTCCGTCGGCAACGGCTTCGACGGCAAGAACACCCACGGCCCGCTCATCCACGGCCGCGCCGTCGACAAGGTCGACTCGCACGTGCGCGACGCCGCCTCCAAGGGCGGCAAGGTCCTCGTCGGCGGGCAGAAGCTGCCCGACCTCGGCGAGAACTTCTACCAGCCTACCATCATCACCGGCCTGACGCAGGACATGGCCATCGCCTCCGAGGAGACCTTCGGCCCCGTGGCCGGCCTGTTCCGCTTCGAGACGGAGGAGGAGGTCGTCAAGCTGGCCAACTCGACGCCCGTCGGCCTGGCGGGCTACTTCTTCTCCGGGGACCTGCAGCGCGTGTACAGGGTCGCCGAGGCCCTCGAGGTCGGCATGGTCGGTGTTAACACGGGGCTGATCTCGGACCCGGCGGCACCATTTGGCGGTGTGAAGGAGTCTGGTTTCGGCAGGGAGGGTTCCAAGTATGGTGTTGATGAGTATCTGGTACGTTCGACCCGCCACTCTCTTTGCCCCATCGCGTGCTTGCTTGAGGTTGGTGTGGTTGCTAATGATGCATTGCGCAGGTCACGAAGATGGTCACATTCGGCGGCATGGGCAAGCCCCTCCAGTCATGAGCGAGGTGGGGTCTAAAAGAAAAGAAAAGAAAATGCATGATTTAGCGGAATGTGCCATAAAATGGCAAAATGTGCATCGTGATGGACGACGATCTGTACTGTATTTATGATATACCACCGACGTACGAAAATTATAACCTGTGTGATTAGCCGCCGAGATAGAACCTCTGGTGGCCCATCTACGAATGCGAGACTGAGGAGCAGAGTGGCTCTGCCAGTGGTCTTGTGTGGCAACCCACTGTCTGGCGATGCCACCGTCCGTTTCCAGATCAATTTGTCGAACCTTGCCCCAGGGCATTCTCAAGAGGCCCACATATGTGTGGTGTTGACACAGCTTGCCTCGTGTATCTGCCGACGAGGCGTTCGCTGATCACCCGGGCGGCTGAAACACTTGCAGTTCAAAACACACCAAGTCATGGGCATGGGGGATTGTCACATTGACAAATATTTGTATTGAGCGAGTTCTCGCCCGGTGCAGGCGGAAAAGTCAGCCGCAAGTATTTCGCGCCTCAGAACGCCGCCTGGTATCCTAGTAAGCAACGCGTATAAAGAGAAATAGAAATTATATCATATCCGTCATAGTACACAGTCATTGCGACGGACAAGGAAGGCCCATCGTCAACCATCACTCCTGAGCAACAGAACGAACGGTGTTCCCCGGGCTGGCTGGCCTATACCAACGGCCTCTTGCGTTGCGCCTCTCTCGCGCATCCCCGCTCGTTCGGTCGGTGGGGCCCGCTACTGCTGCTGGTAGCCCCTCAGGGGGAGCTGCCTGTCCAGCGTGTTGAAGGCCTGCGTCCTGGGCGTGAAGACCCCTTGGCTCTGCTGGTAGCTCTGGTAGGTCGGGTAGTTGCTGCCGTAGAAGTTCTGGGACTTTGGCGGCGGCTGCATCTCGAAGACGACCTTGTCGACGGGCGTCCCGTTCTCGGAGTCGTCGTCGACGCCCTTCATCGACTTGCGCATCTGCATCTCCTCCTTCTCCTCCTTGGTGGGGATCATGTTCTGGACCGCCAGGCCGAGGCAGTAGAGGTATATCACCCTGTCGAGGGAGGGTTAGTATCATCGCGCGGGGGAAGTCATGGTCAAAAGAGAGAGGCAGGCAGGTAGGACAGAACATACAGCTGGACGACGGTGACCGCAAAGGTGCCCTTGGCCAGCTGGCAGCTTCGCACCGCGTCGTTTGCGAAGCCCTCTGCGGGCCAGCACCCCATGCGGATGTACCACGCGATGGGGCTCGGGCGCAACGGGTCGTAGTGGTCAGGCCCCATCTGGCCGTAGATGCTGACGGTGTACAAGGCGGACATGGCGAGGCTGAAGATGAGGCCGACGATCGGGGTCCAGACGCGCATGATGAAGCCGATCAGCTTGGCGACGAGGACGAAGAGGGAGAGCACTGAGATGGCGACGTTGAAGTTTGTGAGTCTGGTTATTGGGGGTTTGGTCAGCCATCGAATGCTTTCTCATGTCTCGGATGAGGTTGCCTCGGCATGGCAGGGCGTATCGTGCTTACGTCTCGGCCCACACCAGGGGCACGTTGGGAGCAGGTTCATGGTTCGCCTTGGCGTAGAGGAGGATGGCCGGGTTCGAGTTGAAGCCCCGGACGTATCCGATGCGCCAGAGCTGCGTGCGGAAGAGATCTGGCTGTGCGATGCCGAAGAGGACCAGCAGCGCGACGGTGCCGGCGAGCTCCAGGGGCATTATCCAGAACATCGGGGGTCGCTTGCGCCATGCCCGCTTGAAGGGCTTATAACTCCAGTTCTTCTCCGGGTTCCATCTTGCCATTCCGTTTCCCATCGCGTCTGGTTTCGAATCCTGTCTCCCGCGCCGGCAGCTTACTCGGCAGTCTCGTCCCTATCGTTCGTTGTCCTGGAAATCGTTGCACCGGCGGCCCTGGTCGAGTCTGGCTCTCTTTTGCTGAGTTGTATGCTGACTGGCAGCTATCCCAACAGGACACTTCACATCGGATTCGTTTGAACGGAGCGTGATTCCTCCTATTCGGATATATATACGTCGACGAAAGGAGATGAGGTTGCGCGCAAGATAATCACTAACTCGGACTTAGATCTAGGAAAAGGAGAGAGGGGAAGCCAGGTCCCTATAAAAAGCTCTCACCCACCCACCAGCAGATTGACCCTTGCGACTCGCAATGCTACAACAGGCCATCACAGAGGCGCTCGCCTTCTCACCAACCTGGCCAGCCAGCCAATGCCACCGTGGGGAGCGGCGCACCTGCAGCTGCGAGTGTGACCCCGAGCCAGAAATCGCAGAAAACGAGTGGGATTGGCGCAGCTGGCCCAATAGGAAGAGCGGGACCAGCAGTTGTAGCCGCCGGGCGGGTGGGCGCTGTCGCATGGGATTGGCTGGAGGTGCAGTCAAGGTCAGCCAATCCCGGGCGCTTCGTGAGAAGTGGGCGGGCGAGTGAGGGGGGCGACCTTTTTGGGGGTCAAATGAGACGCTCAGGGAACCATGCAGCCATTGGGATTGCGAGGTGGCATTTCTGCATTTCAGCCATGCTGCCCGGTGCGTGAACGCCGCCCCCAACTGCCCCATCCGCCCGCCCTGGACTGCCTCCCTGCCCTAGACGTGCCAGTTGGGCGCTGGGGATGCGTGGAAGTGGAATTTGGAAACCTTGAATGTGAGAGCTGACGAGCGGAAGGCGACCCGTGCAGATCGCCGTGCAGACGCTTTGGACTCTGCTTGTCTGCGTCGAGCACAGCGGCGCAGTGAGGCCCGGGGCTGTACGGAGTAACATGCGGGAGAGCCTGCATGGTGCAAGCTACACGCGTTCAACCCTCCTCGGCTTACTATCGACACGCAAAGCCTGGTAGGAGGAGGTAGGGCCAGCGACTTGAAACCTGGTGAGTGCTCAACCGAGCGGGCTGTGGCATGTTACCCAAGAGCACAGTATTAGAGGGCAGCAACGAATCAAGGAATGGGATCATGACGGGAATATATTAAGGAGTGGTGGTCGGCGCCGTCCATTCCAATCGGTGCGTGCCCTCGGGATGCCGTGGGGACTCGTGGGTCACTCAGTCGACTCTGAGGCCATCACTCCCAGCCTGGCAGCCCGGCCTGGGCAGCCTGGCAGCCTGGCAGCCTGGGTGGATTGCCCACTCGGGTTGGTTCAGCGGCCCGGCCAGCCAACGAGGAGAGTACCGGGTCGCGAGCGACGCAAGACCTGCATCGGCATGACTTGGGGATGATTGTCGTTGAAGATGGATGATGCTCTGCAGGCACAACCCGCGGCGCATCATTGGGCAAGTCGCAGTCTGTGGCGGCGACCCGGGATGAACCTCGTCTCTCCACTGTCTTTGAGAGGAGAGGCTGGCGGGCGGTGAAGAGAACGGGCCGACCAAGAACTTCTAGCACAATCTCCAACGCCCGCTGCGCCGTCGGCCGGTCAGGAGGAGCAGAGGATCCGTTCTTGGTCGGCCTGCTTCAGCGAGAGACATTGTCCCTTGGAGGATTGCTAATGATGCCCATTGGCGGGCCTGGCTCTGGACGAGACACTGACGACGGGACAGAATCCGCCCTAGGGCTCTGCCGCCCTGGTCGCCAACGGCAGGAATGCAGGCGGCCCGTCGATGGGAACTATCGAGCCTTGATTGGCCGGGACAAGATGACAGGATGCAGATGTGCCTGTACAGAGTACCGCAATGTTGAACATGCCCTTCTCGACAGACCGACAAGTGAGCAGGTGAGCTGTTATTCCCATGGCTGAAGCTGAGCAGCTGAACGGGCCGTACTTGGCTTCCAAGGTTGTTCATGATGAACGGATGAGCATCTGTTCGCCTGGACAGTACAGTACTGTGTAGTGCTGTCCGTGTACTCCGTACTGTGGTCAGCATAGAGAGGAGGGCTGTCTCTTTGCTCATGGACAATTAATTGGGTACCTTCACGAATTCAAACAAGTGGATACTGGCGAGTACCACATAGTAACATTTCAAGGGGCCCACTTGCCCACCTGTTGATGCGGTCAAATTCTGGTGCGCCAGCAGCGCGACACCGCGAGCCCAGCTGGGCAGGGCCCTGCAGCAGGCCTGGCTAGAACGGGATGGGACCGACCGGTCCAGACCTGTCGATCGGCAGCTGGGTCTTGGCTGCTGCTGCCGTGGGCCGTTGCTTAACAGCTTATCATTATCTGATCAGTACATGCACCACGGACTCGGGGTGCGCTGGTGAAATCCTACAGAGGCTACCGAGTACCGAGTACATCCATCATCCAGGCCGGTGGGGCGAGGCCTGCGGCCTGTGTACTTACACTACAACAAAACACGTCCCCAGGCTGCCAGGTTACGGGTTTTACGGTGGACCCAAACATCTGGGAAGGCACGATCGGGCAACGGGCAAGCAACCGTCCGTTACGACGTTGAAAGCCAGCCGGTACGAGGCAGGCAGGCAGGCAGGTACGCAGGACAGGGGCAGATCAGCTGTGGGCTCCCCGAGATCCACACCTCGCCCTCCTTCCCTCGATCCTGTGTCAGTCTCACTCTCGCTCACTCAACCTTCTGACTCCTCGCACACAACCCAATTCTGGGCAGGATACCTGTGTGCTGCGTGGTGGCCCTCGATGGGCTTGGCTCCGGGTCTTGGACCAGCACGCCGTCGATCACGATCGCCCAGGTGCCAGCCTGCCAGGTCAACTGCCCCTAGGAGTCCTAGGACTATGTATAGTGTACACTGACATGGCTGTTGCAGGCACTGCCCTACCAACCAGAATCCCTGGCTCCGAGACATGCTTTTTATTCTCCTTGCTGCTTTCGGCCCAGCAGACAGAATCATAAATGGCAATGGTTTTTTTTTTTTTTTTTGGTTTTTTTTTTTGAGAAGGACGAACACACAAATACCTGTGCAATTGCATACAACTCGACTCTCGAGCCCTTCTTCGAGAAATGACCAGTCCAGTCTCGTCCGGCCTGCTCCACCTTGCTCACCCATCCACCACCCACGCCAACGCCCTTCCAGTCGCAGGCCCACGACGACCACACACACACTCAAGCTCAAGCTATCACCCGGCGAGCGATCTAGACTTCGGGAGACCAACCACACCCCTGCCCCGTCGTATTCATACCATACCGTTACCGAACCTCGTCTCATCCAGAGCCAGGCCAGCCCTCGGTTCATCAATGCGCGTCTGTTTCTCGACCGGCCAACGTGACAGCTTTCCCCAGTACTAGTAGTCTGTTCTTGTCCCTCGGGCCCGCCAGCCTTGTCTTGTGTGGTCCAATTTAGTCCACCCGACCAGCCCGACCTGAGCGCCTTCTCTCGGCAGTCTCGTCTTGTCTCGTGCCCTGGGTGCCGTGCCATCGCCCTCGTCTGCTGCCATCGAGCCTCTGGCAAAACACCGAGTACGGAGTAGCCCCAATCTGGCAGTCTGGGCAGTCTGGTCCTGTCACTCCCAGCTCCGCGGCTCTTGCTACTCCCGATTCGGCTGCTTGCTTGCCCGCTCGCCTCTCTCTAGCCACGCGGCAGTCGCAGCCCACCCCCACCACCACCACCACTCACACTCACTCCCAGGCCACATTTCCTACACAGTATTACTATACCTGGCAGGCTGCTTCGCAAGATACAGCCAGCTCGCCAGCTTGCCAGCTCGCCAGCCTACTGCCTCGGGCCGCCTACATCGGACTAGTAGGTACGTGGATCCATCTTTCTCGTCCGAGTCATTCCCACCGGCGTCATCGCACAGGCTATTTCCGCCAGTTTGGGCACACGGGTGGGCGCGCGGGACCACGGGGGACGACGTTCGGACCCAAACGCCTCATGCCCACCGGCGCGTCGCTACGGGCTCTGGCTAACCTGCATTAGGACAAGAATCCCTTGTCGCCGCTCATCCGTGGCCATCACCTTCGCCGGCCCGCTCTCAAGAGGTGCCTTGCTGCTACCTGCCGCTACCGCCCTCGCCCTCGCCCTCGCCCTCTCGAGCGCAATTGAAACTGCACTTCATCTGTGCTGGCTACCCCCGAAAAAAGTTGCCCAGCCCATCATCCATCGTCCAAGGCGTCTCGTCTCCCCTTCCCGAAGGGTCTCGTCATCCCGCCTGCGCCTTCGCTCTTCCTGGGGATGGCCTGGATATCAGCCCTCCCGTCTCCTGTATGAGAATTGCACTACACTAGATCACTCCCCCCTCCAAGTACCACCCCTGGCTGCTTTTCTTTGCAGGCCCAGGGCGCATCTCGATCTTCCCCAGTATCGCTACTCCCCCTCCACTGGTCAGCCCGCGCCTTGTCTATTATTCCCTGCTTGCTTTTCCCGCCGCATTGCGGGTACGCTCCTCCAATGCCATACTTATGCTAGCTGTTTTCCTCATACCCTTGCCATTTTATCCGGTGTACGAGGACGGGGGCCGTTGACTGACAATAGTCGGTTCGACAGCCTTCGATTTCTTCTTTCTTCATGAATCTGGAACCCAAGGCCTCGCTGCGTAAATCTGCTTTTCCAATCAAAAACCAGGCGGATCTGCCCTCCAGTACCTCTGCTTCCGCTTCCGCCTCTGTCTCTGTTCCGCCCTCCGCAAGAACTCACAACCTCCAGTCTACTCCGTTCCTGCCGCCTCCCAGCTACCCGACGACACCCCCTGGCCCTCGGACTGGCACTGTGGCGACGCCTCCGCACTCGCATCCACAACAACCGCCGCCGGGCGCAAGTCGAGGTTGTCACCACCCTTCCGAGGGGGCTATCAGGCTTGCCGCTCAGCTGGTCACAGGGCGTGGTTTCGACATCAGCCGATATGGTCTGACGGCTGCCGCCACCGTTCGTGATCAATCTGGCGTTGATGCTGCCGCCTCTGTCAACGGTCTCCATTCGGCAGCTTTCTCCTTGGGAGCCCCTCCCTTTCGTAAACCCGCACAACCTTGGAAACCGCCAGACAGCCAGGGCTTCGCGCTCCCCGGTCTAAAGTCGCGTCGCACGAAACGGCCAGTTGACGACGGTCATCTCGACGGCACTTTCGTTACCCCAGCAGCGAAGAAGCCGCGCCGTCTTCCGCCGGGCAGTCTTGACCTCCCCAAGCTTGCTACTCCTCGGACCCTCGAGGACTTGCCCCTGTCCAACGGGGTTTCGCCATTGTTCTTCTCCAATTCGTCTTCGAAACACATGACGGGACGGCCACCAAGCTTCTCCGCTTCGGAGGCATCCGGGGCCATGATACACCGCCTGCGGGATGAGCAAGGCACTGTGAGGACGGTCAGGTTACCTAGGGGGCACGTCAGCTCCGCGAGCCCGGCACGGGCCCAAAGCATGAGCACCCCTGGCAGCGGTGGGTCCGCTGGGAGCCAGTCCTCCCACAGCATAGACGGTCGCTTGATGTCGTCAGAACTACAAGATCTTCAGGGCGTAGGCGTGATTGAGCTACTGGATCAGGATGAGCGGCCGACTTTCATAATCGACTTGATGGACCCATCAAATTTCGGCCCTGGCTCATTGAAGATAGTCTGGCGCAATGCAGCGCTGAGAGCCGCCGTTGGAGTAGATGAGCTGATATCCAAAAGCGCAGAGGACAGTGTCGATTTCTCCCGGTTCAAGGCGTGGGCCGTCAGTTTTGTGAAAGAAAACAGGTCCATGGATGTGTGTTTGCCGTCGCTGTCGTATGGCGGTATCAGTTGGACATGCTCCACCGTGAGAAATCGCTTCCGTTTCGTCAGTGGCAACAGTGCCGCTGTCTCGATCACGCCCACATCGCCGGCTCCCATCGCACGCGCCTCGTCGATTCTCGAACAACGCTCTCAGGGACAGACAGCTAGCCGAGATACTCACACCCCCGGCCGTGAAAGAGCTCTGAGCGACCTTGATTATTTTGGCGATGCAGAGCCGGATCAGGCCTTGGCTGCCTCACGCCGCGCGCACTCGGAGCCCAGGGACTTGAGGGATATGAGGCCGGACACGCCGATCGTTACCACAGAGGACGCGTACGATTGTGACGATCCAGCGGATTGTGCGGTGTCGTTCGATTGGACCAGGATAGTTGACACGAGCAGCATGCTGCCACATCTACAGTTCGCCAGATCGAGAAACTGGGCAGCCACACCACTTGGGCCCATTGAATCGTGGCCAGCAGATTTGCGAACCATGTCAAACATGATCATGGGCAGTCCACATCCTGCTGCCATGTACTGGGGGCCGGACAATATCGCGCTCTACAATGAAGCGTACCTCGATTTGGCAGGCAACAAGCACCCGAAGCTTATGGGCCAACCCTACACTGAGGCGTGGGCGGAAATATGGGACGAGATCAAGCCAGTCTTCGATGCTGCGTGGAATCATGGCCAGGTAACGTCATCCCTTCATTTTTCTCCCCTGCAGAATCGTTCTAGACTAGAGTATTTATTATCCATATCATAAACGAGTGGCGTAGCGGTGTCGGAGCCTTCCAAGGCACCATGGCATCACCAGGCGGCCAGGAAGCTAGGGTCAAGAATTGGTTCAGACGCTTTCGAGCTAAGGGTTGTTGATGAGCTTCGACTGACCTTCTTGTCTGCAGGCTACTATGAAACAAGATGATCGGCTTTTCCTGAACCGAAATGGCTTCTTAGAAGAAGCTTTCTTCAACTGGTCTATCGTCCCACTCCTAGGCAGCGATGGGTCCGTGGTGGGACTATACAACCCTGCATTCGAGAACACCCGCCGCAAGGTCAACGAGCGGAGGATGCTGACCCTCCGTGCAATTGGCGAGAAGACAACGCAGGCTCGCAACGTGGGACAGTTCTGGAAGCAGGTCCATGAAAGTATGAAAGTTAACGAGTGGGACATCCCTTTCGCCCTGATCTACTCCGTGACCGAAGACTCAGAAAGCGAGGTCTCATCCATGCATTCTGGAAGCATGGTCAACCCTCCACAGATAGTCCTCGAGGGTTCAATAGGGATAGCCGCCGACCACCCAGCTGCGACACCATGGATCGATCTGCGAACCAGTGAGGAGGGCTTTGCGTCATACATGCGGAGGTCAATGGCACAACCAACGGTCCCTGTTGTGTTGTCAAAGGACGATGGAACACTACCACAGAGTCTCATCGAGGGCATCCAGTGGCGAGGATTCGGCGATCCTTCCAGGAACATCGTCATTTTTCCTGTGCATCCCACCACCGGCGAGACCGTCGTTGGTTTTGTCGTCATGGGTATTAACCCCCGGAGGCCGTATAATGATGATTACCGATTATTTGTCGACCTCCTGTCTCGGCAATTGGCGACTTCTATGGCATCTGTCGTTTTGTTCGAAGAAGAGATCAAGCGTGGTCAGCAGGCTGCGCGCCTTGCCGCGTTGGACCGCCAACAACTCTCAATTCAGTTGCGTCTGCGAACACAGGAGGCCGTCGAAAGCGAGTACAAGTTTACCAGGATGGCGGAATTTGCCCCCGTCGGCATTTTTATCGCCAATGCAGAGGGGCATATCAACTTCTGTAACGACTCGTGGTGGGAGATCTCGAGGCACCCGCGAACGATCAACTCAACCAACACATGGATGGAGAGCGTTCTACCTATCGACAGGCCGACTATTGAGGCTGCCTGGCGGAGCTTGATTGATGACAAGGTCTCGATTGTCCAAGAGTTCCGATTCAAGGCACGTCGCGAGTTCAATGGCCACCCCATCGAGACATGGGCCCTGATGAGCGCCTATCCTGAGAAGGACAGTGACGGGGCAGTCAAAGCCATCTTTGGCGTCATAACCGATATTTCTCAACAGAAATGGGCGGAGGCATTCCAAAAGCAGCGCCGGGAAGAGGCGGTCGAGCTCAAGCGACAGCAAGAAAACTTCATTGACATGACAAGTCACGAGATGCGCAACCCACTGAGCGCCCTGTGCCAGTGTGCGGACGAGATCATAGGCAGCATCGCAGCATACCGGAAGACCGAACCCGAGATCGCCGAGCGCTTGGGCAAGATGCTTGATACCTGTCTGGAAGCCGCCAACACCATATCGTTGTGCTCGAATCACCAGAAACGAATCGTGGATGATGTCCTGACGTTGTCGAGGCTCGATTCCAGGATGGTAGAGGTGACGCCAACTGTTGTCAGCCCCGTGGAAGTCATACAGACAAGCCTCAAGATGTTCGACACGGAGTTGGCATCGAACAACATCAAGGCCGAGTTTCGCATCGATCAGTCCTACCGAGACATGGGCATTGAGCTTGCACTCCTCGACCCAGCTCGGCTACAACAGGTCATTATCAACCTTCTCACTAATGCGATCAAGTTCATTCAAAAGCAAGAGGAACGGTCCATCATCATTACACTCGGGGCATCCAAGGAAGCGTGCAAGTCACAAATTTGTGGGATTGAATTCTTTCAGGAGGGGTTGGAGGCCGAGCAAGACATCACAGACAAGCCTGACTGGGGTACCGGCGAGAAATTCAACCTCCACGTCTGTGTGGCGGATACTGGGCCTGGCTTGACAGACGAGGAGCGGTCAATGCTATTCCAACGATTCCGGCAAACCTCGCCTCGAACACACGTCGAGTATGGAGGATCCGGGCTCGGTCTTTTCATCTCGCGGATGCTCACAGAGCTACAAAGCGGCCAGATCGGCGTCATTAGTGAGAAAGGCGTCGGCAGTACCTTCGCCTTCTACATCAAGAGTCGCAAAGCTGTTGAGCCACAGCTTCCTAGCCCATCTCTTCACAAGGAGGGGACCGACTTCCTCACGATACAACCGGCTATCGATCCTGGGACGATAGACGTTCTAGTTGTCGAGGACAATCAGGTCAATCAGAAGGTGCTGGGTCGGCTGCTGAAGAACTCCGGCTTCAGAGCACACCTGGCGAACCATGGAGGCGAAGCGATTCAGAAGCTCCAGCGTTCGAGGCACTGGAATCACGAGGCGGCGATTGCCAAGGGTTACGGACCATTGAGTCCTATCGACGAAGATGACGAGGAGGACTTGATCAATGTCTCAATCATACTCATGGATCTGGAGATGCCCGTCATGGACGGGACAACGTGTGCGCGTACTATCCGGGAGCTGGAGAAGCAGGGCGTGCTTACGGCCCACATCCCAATCATAGCAGTCACAGCGTATGTGAGGCCTGAGCAAATTGGGGAAGCCATGGCCTCGGGGATGGTATGTACAGCCCACGTCGAACCTTGCATGGATATGCTTCTGGTTCCTTAAACTGACCTGTTTGCAGGACGATGTCGTTTCGAAGCCTTTCCGCGCCCGCGAACTGACACCCAAGATCACGGAGCTACTGCTGAACCCAACGACAGAAGCAATGCCTTACTCGCCTTTGTCCATGGCCTCCACAGAGGCCGATTCCGGGGCATGATCCATGATCTGGCACCTCCAAACGGCCTAGCGAAATATGTCCTGGTCCCAAGTCGACAGGTTCACGGCGTGGACAGATTGGGAGTCATCACAATAATTGAAGGTATTAATGCACAAAAATGGACAGACAGGCGGTTGAGGGACGGATGCATTCGACCAATTTCCACGGACCTCATCTCTCGGAGTTGGGAACTACACACATCGCATGGTTGCATCGCGGCGTTTACCAGAGCGGTCCATTTTCAGAACAGAAGAAGCACCTGCGGAAGGGACAACAGGCCTATGATTGATTAGCGGGGCGTGGGATCGTGCTTGGCCTCGTTCCCATAGCATCAGCCCCGGCGTCACTTCTACAAGTGGGAGTGTGGGCATCGTCGAGCGCGGTGGGGATAGCCAGCCCCCCCAGCATCCCGGGCGGCAGCGGTTGCGGATATACTTGTGCCGCATCTGGCTTTGTTTGCTATGAGTGCATCAGACTTGTCTGTTTGGTCTATTTCTGTTTTCTTATCTTTTCTTTTCCTTACCGGTCATCATGTCCCTGGGGTTATTTCTTTTCATGTTTTGATCTATTATGGGACACAAGGATGATGTACATATTGATACCCAAAGAGAGACGTTCACGGAGACGACACATAGCATCTATTTACACACGCCCTGCGTAATCTTTCTGCGCAACCAAGGCAATCTGATGCGAGGGGGGGTAGTTGGTTGATATGGTGAAAATTGCTTTGTGAAACTAGGAAAATGTTGTTCATGCCAACGTCCACCATTGTCTCTGGCACCCGCCCGCTGTGGAACAACACTGCCCCTGGTGCTACTTCTGTAGGCCTGGCCTCTTGATACCTAGGTAGTTTCAGGGTGTTGGTGTGTCTAGCCGGGAGCTTAGTCGCGATTGACTCAGCCTTGTGTGTTGTTTCCGCCCCTTTGTGGCGTAGTATGTCTGCCTCGACGATTTTATACATGCGTGCTACATATGCTGCAGCCCCCTACAATACGATAATATCCACACCTTTGGTACTTTGAGACACCTTCCCTCGTCAACTGATATAATCAACACACAGGACCTTTTTTTTAAAAAAAAAAGAATATAGGGAGAAAAGAGTCACTCTTCATCTACTGGCAAGGCGGCTATTTTGGGTTGCTTGTGTGCCTCGCCTCGCCTCGCCTCCCACGTGCGTCCGCCCTGCTGGTCTCGGGAGGAAGGCCCCCTTGCAGGATGGATTCGGGGGGGAAGGGGGAAGGGGGGACGGGTTGTCCCATGTTCTCTCTGTGTGTGTCTGTGTGTGATGTAGCACCGAAGGAAGGAGGCTCGCGACCGACTGACCGACCGACCAACTGTCTTTGGGGCGGCGGCGGTGGGTGTGACGTAGGGGCCGACGGCGAGGCGGAGATTCAGATGTAATCGATTGTTGCTGCTGGTCTTTTCCCCTGGCTGAGCCCTGGTGTTCTGTTCCTGCCTGTGGCTGGGCCTCGATGTGTGTTGGACTGGCTGTCCGTGGCTTGGAAGGGGGCAACACCCGACGGCAGACTTGAGGTTTGGCCAGCTTGGATTACTGTATATGTGTAGATTTCTAACCTGCCTAGTGAGTGGCCCACGGGTCCTGGGAATAGCAAGTACAATTAATTCATGGGCCGGGGGCGGGCAGTGAATGCCTTGTTGTAGGTCCATGTCTCCGTTGATGACCCTCAGTGTTCCCTGCTGCACATCACGATGCCCGGTTGAGACCCTCATGGCTGACGTCGTCGCACATATCACCACGTCACCGCGTCCGGGTGCTTGGGGAATTGTGTTATTAAAAACATTTTGTATCAAAAGTATCGCTCCCACACGTAGCCGCACCGCACCAGTGTTTGCGCCAAAACTTAAACATGGTTTCCGTGTTCAGGGTATCTGCGCCGTGGTGGAACAATTCAACGCCTGACGCCGCACAAAATTTTGTCCGCAAGAGGGACGACAAGAAAAAGACCGCCAGACAAAGATTTCCAAAATTAGTCCCGCGCTGTCTCAGGCTGCTGACGAGGATCCTCTGCATCGTGCCGCCACGAGAGCACAGAAGACCGCCGTCAGCAACCTGAGACTTTTCGACCCGACACGCCCGCAGCTCAAGCAAAGAAGGCCATGGCCGCGGCGGTGGCGACCAGGGGCCACCAGCCGGCGAGCCTCGCGGCGTGGACGGCGGCGTTGGGCGACTCGGTGCCGCCGCTGGCGGTGGTGCCCTTGGGGAGGGTGCCGTTGAGCAGGATGGTCTCGGTGCCGTTGACGTCGCCGAGGGCGACGAGGCTGCGGTTGAGCCCGTCGTAGCTGCCGTTGCCGATGACGCTGTCGACGTAGGTCTGGTTGGCGTTGTCGTCGCAGCCGCAGACGGCGTCCTGGGCGCAGGCGCAGGTGACGGGCTTGGTCTCGTTCTGGCCCGAGGAGCGGTTGTGGTAGTTCCAGGGGTGCGAGTAGGGGTACAGGTAGGGCGCGCCGTACCAGTGGCCCGGCCAGAAGGCGTAGGCGGCCACGCCGCCGACCAGCACGAAGGGGAGGATGCCGCCGGTCGAGCGCGACCCGGACCGGTAGGGCACCGTCGTGCCGCCGCCGTAGTACCGCCCGCCGCCGTACTGGGGTGCCGCGCCTGAGCCGGTCGTCGTGCGGCCGCCGGATGTGGAGGACGAGGATGCGGCGCCGCGGCCACTGTCGGGGAGACGGTGTGCGTTAGCGATCGACCCACACGCGCAAAAACGGGTTAGCTTGCTTACCCTGACGAGCCGGCCGACGAGCCTGACGATGAGCCTGACGACCCTGAGGAGGACGAACTGCCGGAGGAACCTGTTTTGCCGGACGAGGATGAGCTTCCGGAACTTGAGCCAGAGGAAGAGCTGCTGCCGCTGCTGGACCCGGAAGACGAACTGCTGCCTGAGGATGATGATCCCGAACCCGAGCTGCCTCCTCCCCTCCCACCGCCGCCGCCGCCGCCCCTACGCTTCCATAGGTCGGTGTAGAGCGAGTCGTCGAAGTCGCGCTGTTGGTGCTGTTGGGCGGGTGAGGTGAGGTCGGAGGTCTCGGGTAGCGCTACAGCCGAAACAATCGGTTGCAGGACCGCGCCGAGTACGAGGATGGAGTCGATCTTCATGACTCTCTTTTGCGCGGTGGTTGTACAGTGCAAATCCAAAAAAGCAAGAAAGGATGCGATGGGTGGTGGGTTCGTCAACAAAATGTTAAGCGATTACCGGTTGGTTGGTAGGTTGTGTGATTGATCAAAAAGGGTTGTTGAGGATCAAGTCTTGGGTATTCAAGAGTCAAGAGTGATTAACAAGACCCAAGAGTCAAGGGTGTTTCACGGGAGCCGCAGTATGGGGGGTCAAGTGGTCAGTCACCGGGTTGTGTGGTGTCAGCGGTATTATGATCAAACAAAGTCGTCCGAAGGCAAAGGGCCGAAGGGCTCGCAAGTGGCGTTATCCCGGCATCATATACTCGTCGCCCTTTTCGCATAGGCAGACAAGGTTGCTAATAAACCGCCTCGCTTGGTCAACCGCGCCAGTGGTGTGGTCGGTCATGGCCATGGCCATGGCTCGGTCCTGTTCGCAGCCCGTTGTCCGCCTACCCTACCCCAATCCTCTTGTTGCTCTTCCGCTTGAGGCTAGCATCAGGCGCCATCGCGACTGCGCCATGCAAGACTGCAAGCAAGGTACTCAAGGTACTGTGTGTGTACCGTGGTAAGGGTCGTACCTTTCTGACCTTTAGCCTGGCTGCAGACTGGCAGACTGGCAGACTGGCAGGGCATTTCTGATTCTCACTGCATGCTCCGTGCAGCCATGTCTTGTTACCAGCCGACCAGCTTAGCAGCCTAGCAGCCATCTTCCGCCATGCTGTCACCACACAGCGAGGCCCCTCGGAGGGTCGAGAGGATCGCCAAGGCCCTTGTTGCATCATAGCGCTGTGCTGATCGGCCGTCGCCAGTGCGATTCGGGACTCAATTTGCGGTACCTCAGTTGCCTTTCGCTCCCTCTCGTCCAGTTCGTCATTGTGCCGTGTGGGGAAACCAAGAAAGTGTCCGACTTGCAGAGTGTTTGACGGGTGCAGACATCATCATCCATCGAGATACAGACGCTTGATGTTTGCTGTTGTGATGACGTCGGAATTGGGCCAACGGGTCTCTCGTTAGTGAGCCGCATGCATACCTACAAAGAACTGAGGTCAGAAGGTCCAGCACATTTTTACAGTGCCCACCGCCCAGAAAACAGAGAGGCGGGGACCCTACGCTAGTGGGTGATAAGCATACGGATAGCTGGCGTGTCCGACTGCCTGACTGCTTGGGCATACCTGACAGCCTCCTGATAAGCAGGCTTGCCTTCTAAGCTTCCTGACCCCAGTTCGCCCACGGTTCGCCTGGCTGTGGGCTTGCCTGCACTATGCTGCATCTGTGCCACGGTGATCATCTATCTAAAAGATCTGGGGCGGAGCGAGGTGTGTTTGGGCTGTTTGGTCAGCTCCAACGAGGGGGTGACGAGGCTGTGCAGGCCATCTCGAGACCACATCTCGAAACATTCTGGAATGCTTCCGCGGGCTGTCAGGGCGGGCTGTCAGGGCTGTGCCTCTAGGCTTCAGGCCTGTCAGAATGCACGACAAAATACACTTGGCCTGCACATCCGCTCCAATCCTCACCAACCTCAATCGTCTCCTTCCTCCTGTCCATCCTCAATGTCACCTCACAATCCATCACCACCACCCTGACTGCCCCAGATTTGGAGCATTTCAGATCCTTCACGCCACCCATATCACCCGAGACAGGGACGTCTTACTCGAGCACAGGTCGGCCAGCCGGCTCAGCCCCGTCCACCCGTCGCTCCTCGACCAATGGCGCCCCATTCCGGCGACAAGAGTCTCTTGGACAGACTGAATGCGTTGAAGCCCACCAGCGTCAACCTTGACCGCTCTACCAAGTAAATATATCATCTCCGCACCGGCGGCCTCGGGCTGACTCTGATGGCTGCTGCCTGGCAAAAACCAAAAGCGCCCTGGACATTCCCACAACCGGAACCGACCACGCCTCCTCTGCCGCCGAGCCCCTGTCCAGGGAGGATGCCCTGACGGAACGGCTCCGGTCTCTGCGGAACCGGGGGGACAACCACGATCCCCCTCCGCCATACTCCCCATCGCCACCCGCCACACGCCCACAGCCACAGCCTCCGTCTGCTGTCCGAGCCACGGGACTATCCTCGCCCGGGGTAGGGACCGTGAGCAGCCGCCGATCTGATGATGCCGCCGAGGGAGGTAGCCAGTCCTCTGGCGACTATGACCACTACTTCGATGACGTCCTGCAGCCCCTCGACCTGGACGAGGACGTCTCGGACTCGGATGGCGGCGGGGGGCCGTCGAGGCGCGTAGAGGACCTCCTGGCCAGGCTCAAGGCGGCCCCGGGGGCGGCGGCGGCACGGCCTCCCCTCCCTGCCGGGGACAACAAACCCGACCAGTCCGACGATGACTCCGAGGGCGAGGCCATGTCGCACGAGGTGGAAGATGTAATCTCCCGCGCCATGGACGCGCTGGATCTCGACGGGCCCCGGGGCGGAGACTCCGGGGCGGGCGGTGGTGATGGTGACGGCGATGCGCTCGCGCTCCCGACCGTACCGCAGGACGCGGCCGACGAGGGCCAGGAGGACACCGCCTCCTCCTCGTCACAAAAGCCCCGACCACCAGCAGGGCGCACCAACAACGACGACACAACCGCGGCGGGCCTGTCCCTCCCGACAGTCCCCACGGCCCTGGTCGACCCGGCCCCAACCTCAGGCGCCATCCCCAACCCCAGCGGCAGCAGCGACCCCTTCGAGTCCTCGATAGAGGCCCGGCTCGCGGCGCTCAAGGGCGCCGGCGCGCCCATCATCCGCACCGACGCGCTGGGCCTCCCCTCGGCGCCGACGTTCCGGCCCGAGGACAACCGGGGCGCGTCACGCGCGGCGGGGCCGGGGAAGGGCTACACGGACGCCGACCAGAAGACGTGGTGCATCGTGTGCCTCGAGGACGCGACCGTCCGGTGCCTGGGCTGCGCCGAGGACGGCAGCGGCGTCGGGGAGGTCTACTGCGCGCGGTGCTGGAGGGAGATGCACGTTGGGCCGTCGGCTGGGTATGATGAGCGGGGGCATGCCTGGGAGAAGTTCGATCCCAGAAGGCTCTGAGGGGTGGAGGGGGTGTCAGGCGAGCAGGATGCGTGTAAGTCGCGTAGGAGGTCACGCGGTTAGGTGCATCCTAGAAGCTTGTCGGGCCTATACTTATAGTCACTACTAGCATTCATATAAAGTGGATTAATACAGTCCCCGACTCTTGTACATTGATTGATATTGCACGTAAGAAACAAGTTGTAGAACCAAGTTGTATGTGTTGAGTGTAACTGGTGCTTGTGGTAAACTTTGATCTCTGGCCTCATGTGCTTCCACGAGACTAGCTGTCATAGTCACAATGCGTTTGCAATTATACGATATTCGAGGTCTCATATTCAATCACTCTGGAGATGCGCCTGGCAATTCTGGATTTTTCAGCAAATGTTTTGATAACGTAGCATTTGGAAGAACAGCGCTAATATGCAATCGACTACATCCTCAGCTATCACTTTCAATTGCTTTTGTCGATTTGAAGGTGGATTCTTCGTATCTGTGTAAAGAAATACTTTACGTGTTCATGGGTCGAAGTCAAAGGGTAACCATACGTCAGGCAAGTGCGCAAGCAGCTAAATTCAAGAGCCAATTCATGATTTTGCTCCGCTCAGTCCGCTTGGAGAAAAACGTTTGCTTAAGAAACCCATGTTGTATTACCACATCCCTTTGCATGCTCGGCCAAAAAAAACAAACTGAGTGAGGTATACTAATATGCAACCGTTGCTCGTGTCTCCGCCATAATGCGCCTAATACAGCAACAAACTGATACAACAAAGCACGAGCAACCCTAAAAGCATTCAACCAATGTCATTGCAACCTTCCATGTCATCCATGACTTCGTATCATTGTCCTCCGTTTTTGCGCCTACCAACACCGCGTGGTGTTTTCCAAAAGTGTCATACAATTTAATTTAGTCATCTGCTCGCTCCAAGTTTAGACGAGCCTGACGTGAGTACCAAAACGACCGCAAATACCATCCTGGCTTCCTCAAGAACAGTTCCTAGTTGGTCCCGTATCCAGGACCAGACCCGTTTCGATTACCACCAGATTCATGGTCCCGGGAATGACCGGTGATGTCCTGCCAGGTGGCGTTGAAGCGGCGGCTTGTGCTAGCCAGAAGACCTTCCTCCTCGTCTGCCTCGGCCTCGTCGTCGATCTCCGCGAGGTCCAGCTTGGGCGCTCGGAAGAGAGACGTGATGAAGACGATTAGGAAGATACCCAGGAAGGCAAATTGTGCCCAGTAGTCCACTGCACCGAACACTGGCCAGTTAAGTGTCACGCGGTTGAGGAATGTTGACATGACCGAGGGCGTGCACACTGCCTTGGCGGCCTGGCTGTCCTCGAGCTCCGAACAGGGCTTGATCAGCTCCTTGTGGTCGCTGCAATCGGGCTGCTCTCCAGGATGGCGGGGCGGGTTATCACAGTACAGCTGGGTGCCAAAGGTGGAATACTCGGGCGCGACCATGGCGAAGATGGAGTAGTTGATGGCGAGGATGATGAGCGCCAGCATGACGGTGGCGATCAGAAGGGCTTGGGGCAGGGTTCGACCCCTCTTGATCTGGAAGATGCGGATCCAGAGGAACCGGATGCCGATCGTCGCGATGCCGCTGATGGAGCTGCTGAAGAAGAACAAAATGAGGAGGGCCATCAGGATGTAGTCAACGGGGAATGCGTTGGCCGTCTTGACAAACAACCAATTGATGGGCTGGAAGACATTGATGTGGCCTAGGATGTAGCCGCATCGTGCTTTGCAAATAGAATTTGCCGCCTTGTCGATACCAGTGATGAGCATGGAAACCCAGACCAAGACAGCCAGAAGAAGGAGCAGTATGCCACCGACGAGCTTGAGCGGGCGGAAGACAGCCTCTGTCTTGAGCCAAGCGCGGTAGATCCAGCTCTGGCCTTCACCACGGGCTTCAGAAGCAAGCCTCTGGCGGCGCACCAATGTCTGCTCTTCCCGAATCAAGACATCCATCTCGCGCTGGTCTTTCGGGGGGAGCCCATCGGGACGGCCAGTATTGCGCAACTCCAGCTGCCGCTGCCGTTCCCTGTTGCTCTCGAGCTGCGACTCTGTCGTCTCCGACAACTGCGGAGCCGAGATTGAGGGAGCAGACTTGATCAGGGACACTGGTAAGAGTGCCAGACCTGCGCCGGTGTACAAGACGTAAATCAACGTGCCCAGCGTGACCAGCAATCCAAGGCCAAACGTCAAGGCCTTCTCGCCGTTGTTCTCCGACAACAGTTTCTTGAAATAGTCGAGATCCAGGTGCTTGCCCTCCTTGCTTCCGGCCGCCGGGACGAAGAATCCAATGAGGAAGAGGATTACCACGAGCACGACAAAACCAAGGGTGTACTTGAAGGCGCCCCAGAGCTTAGCTCCAACGCCCCGTGTGCCCTCCTCTTCCTCGACCTCGTCGTATTCCTCGTACCAGAAGTATGAAAACGGGATGACCAAGAGGCATAGGAGGGCATCGAAGCTGTACAGCGAGTAGTAAACAACCCTGAGGGTGAACAGGATGTTTTCGACCCGCTCAGGTGTGGCCCAATCCTTCTTGGCACCAAGCGAGGACGAGGTCGTCGCAGAGACCAGGGCAATATCGACTGGCAGCAGCAGGACGGTGGCTAGGAGAGAAGTGATGCTGATAATGGCCACGATGGTGACAATAATGGATCGTTCGCGAGGGGCCTGCCAGGTGAGAGTTGTGATCACGGCTGCGATGAGGGCGAGCACTACTGCGATGGCGTAGGCAACCCAGATCAGGCTGATCTGCAGGTAGCCTGCAGAAGCCATATTGTGGTGAGTGTCTTCAGTTCTCTGAGAATTAAGTAGAAGTGCTATTTCGATCAGACATGAAGAGTTGAGAGTTTGGGTAGAAAAGGAGTAAAGTAAACAGATTGACGAAAGCAGAGCAGTGGTGTTGATGGTCTAGAGTTTATGACATTCCAGCGTCAGTCAGTTGCTGGGTAGCTCCTCCCCCTTCTAGGTGCTGGCTGCCTTCCCCGATCATGCAGACGTCACTGGCGCGACCAGAAACAAGGAGCTTGGGCCACCAAGACCCTTTTATGTCTAGCTCAAGGACAGGGGTGCTCAGCTGCCTGCAGGAGCAAGAGGAGGTTCACCAGGTTAGAACCCGGCAGGCAATGCAACTGTTTCCAATTGCACCGCCAGTGAGAGCGTGGTCGAGTCGCATCTTACTTTTGCTCGGTGCAGGTTCAAGACTTTATGCCAAACAACATCTCTCACCAACTTCTAGATATCAGGAGCTCGGCGTTCAAGCTTACGATCCATGCCGTCGACAGCCCAATCACAAATAATATGAGAAGTTGCGAGCCGGAATGCAGTGCTACTCAGAACTGACGCCGCCGACGGCCGTCTCCCACTCCATCGCCCTCCCTTTACTCTCAGCGCAAAGCAACAACCTCGTCGTCGCAAAGGCATCAATACTCCAGATTTTCGAGACCAAGACCATAACATCCGAAGTCGACGTCCCCCAGACCTCGAACCTGAGCTCAGCGAAGCCCAATGTCCACTATGACAGCAGAATCAACGACGATGAAGGACTCGAGTCCTCTTTCCTTGGCGGCGATGCTGCCTTCCAGAGGTCTGATCGCTCGCACAATACCAAGCTCGTCCTAGTCGCCGAGGTTTCTGTTTCTGGGACGGTCACAGGGCTGGCGAGGATCAAGACGAAGAGCACTCTGTCAGGAGGCGAGGCGCTGCTGGTGCTCTTCAAGGACGCCAAGCTCAGTCTCCTCCAGTGGGACCCGGAACGGCACGACCTGGCCACCATCTCCATCCATTACTATGAGCAGGAGGATCTTCAAGGAAGCCCCTGGGCACCTCCGCTGAATGACACCGTCAACTTCCTGGCTGCGGACCCTGGGAGCAGGTGCGCCGCCCTGAAGTTTGGCTCCAGAAACCTCGCCATCTTGCCTTTCAAACAGGCCGATGAGGAGGACATTGCAATGGATGACTGGGATGAGGAACTTGATGGCCCAAGACCGGTGAAACAAGACGTGCCCTCAGCGGTTGTAAATGGCATTAGCAACATAGAAGACACCCCATATTCACCATCATTTGTCCTGCGAACATCCCGTCTCGATCCCAACCTGATCCATCCTATTGACCTCGCCTTCCTGCACGAGTATAGAGAGCCAACCTTTGGCATTTTATCCTCGAAATTGGCCCCATCAGCAGCAGTGGGCCGGAAGGACCACCTTTCCTTCATGGTGTTCAATCTAGACATCCAACAAGAGTCCCACACCCCAATCCTGTCAGTTGGCGGGTTGCCTCACGATCTGTTCAAGGTCATTGCTGTGCCCGCGCCTGTCGGTGGTGCCCTCCTCGTCGGAGCCAACGAGCTGATCCACATCGATCAGTCGGGCGCCACGAACGGTGTGGGGGTGAACCCCTTCACAAAACAGTGCACGGATTTCGCTCTAAACGACCAGTCCAGCCTTGGTCTGCGCCTTGAAGGATGCTCCCTTGACTTCATTGCCCCGGAGACCGGACAGATGATTCTTGCTCTTTCTGATGGTCGGCTGGCGACTCTGGACTTCCAGGTGGATGGACGGAGAGTATCTGGCCTCCTGGTCAAGCTCATAGGTCCGGAATCCGGGGGCACCATCATCCCCCACCGTGTTTCTTGCCTCACTCGACTGGGCAGAAACACCATCTTTGCAGCCAGCGAAGAAGGTGACTCGCTTGTCTTCGGTTGGACACGCAAGCAGGGCCAGACTTCAAGGAGAAAGCCACGGACCCAGGATGCGGTATTGGACTTTGAAGAACTGGACGAGGAGGACTTCGAGGACGAAGACGATCTTTACGCGGATACAACTGCGGTTGCCCAGACCACAAATGGAACTGCGGCAGCAAAGGGGGGCGAGCTGGTTTTCAGGGTCCAGGATAAGCTCACAAGTATTGCGCCAATCCGAGATATCACATACGGAAAAGCATCATTCCCAAACGACGAAGAAGAAGAGCGAAACCAATCCGGCGTACGGAGCAACCTGCAACTCGTTGCGGCCGTGGGCGCTGGCCGCGCGGGGTCACTAGCAATAATGAATCGCGAAATACAACCGAAGGTTGTCGGCCGGTTCGAGTTCCCTGAAGCCCGAGGAGTGTGGACAATGAACGCGCAAAAGCCCGTGCCAAAGTCTCTACAGGCCGAGAAGGGCGGCGCAGCCGTGGGTGCCGACTATGATCCCTCTGCACAGTACGACAGATTCATGATCGTTGCCAAGGTTGATCTCGACAACTACGAGACTTCGGATGTGTATGCTTTGACTGCCGCTGGTTTCGAGTCTCTAACGGGAACCGAATTCGAGCCAGCTGCAGGGTTCACGGTCGAGGCTGGAATGATGGCAAACCACCGACGGATCATACAAGTCTTGAAGTCGGAAGTTCGTATCTACGATGGAGGTAAGTTTATTGACTCTCAGAAGACAAACTTGAGCACATTTCAGAAGAAAGATCCGCTAACATCTACCAGATCTTGGGCTAGCTATGATTCTCCCTATGGAGGACGAAGAAACTGGAGCCGAACCCAGAGTCTTGAGTGCGAGCATCTGCGATCCATATCTTCTCCTCATCAGGGACGACTCGAGCGCGCTCATTGCACAGATGAGTTCTGATGACGAACTTGAAGAGCTGGAGAAACCGGAAGGAAAGCTTCGGTCGACGAAATGGGTTTCTGGTTGCCTCTACTCGGACAAGACCGGAGTCTTTGGTGACTCACAACAGCAAAGTGAACAGAAGCAAATTTTCATGTTCCTGCTTAGTTCAACCGGCTCTTTTCAGGTATTTAACCCGTCACACTCGAGCTAGAAGGGCCTATGGCTGATTATATCCAGATATATGCTCTCCCCGATTTATCTGCGCCTGTGTTTAGCACTGAAGGGCTATGCTATATACCTCCACTGCTGACCCCCGAATGGGTTGTTCGGAGGGGCGCTGCGAAAGAGACTGTGACCGAAATCCTGGTGGCAGATCTCGGAGACACGGTTTCCAAGACACCCCATCTTCTTGTAAGTTCAGACGTTGTTCGTGCGTTGCGCACCCTGACTGAGCCTTGCAGCTACGACATGCCAACGACGACCTCACGATCTACGAACCACACAGAAATTCCAAGTCAAACGCCAATGACCTGACGATTTCGTTGTTCTTCCGAAAAGTGAACAACCACACCTTTGCCAAGAGCGCTGAAGAGCCGCAAGATGATGACGATGATTCAACCGACGAGAATCGAAGAATGCCATTGCGGGCCATGGATAATGTTGGAGGCTACAGCACTGTATTCCTCCCAGGGTCCTCACCAAGCTTCATAATTAAGTCCTCAAAATCGATGCCAAGAGTGATTGGCATTCAGGGGAGCGGCGTCAGGACGCTCAGCTCGTTCCACACTGAGGGCTGCGAGAGGGGTTTCATATACGCAGATTCCGAAGGCATGTCCCGTGTCACGCAGCTACCCACGGAATGCATATTTTCAGAGCTTGGGATGTCACTCCAGAAGGTTCCTCTGGGAGTCGACACGGACTCGGTCGCGTTCCACTCCCGCGCTGACGTGTATGTTGTCGGATGCAACGTTGAAGAGGAATTCGAGCTGCCCAAAGACGAGGACAGCAACCCGCAACAAGCCCCGACTTGGATGAAGGAGAAGATAACCTTCAAGCCAATAGCTGAGCGAGGCACCTTGAAGCTCATCTCACCACATCATTGGACTGTCATTGATGAGGTCGAGATGGAGCCATGCGAGATAGTCACCTGCGTCAAGACTCTAAATCTGGAGGTTTCTGAAACGACACACGAGCGCAGTGAACTTGTTGTTGTGGGCACAGCCATCTCACGAGGAGAGGATCTCCCCATCCGCGGCCGGATCATCGTCTACGACGTTGCCACCGTCATACCTGAGCCTGGCCGGCCAGAGACGGACAAGAAGTTTAAGCTGGTCGCCAAAGAAGACATACCTAGGGGAGGTGTCACGGCTATTTCGGGCGTTGGAACGCAGGGCTTTGTCCTCGTTGTACATGGCCAGAAGTGCACTGTGCGCGGTCTCAAAGAAGACGGCTCACTGCTTCCAGTTGCCTTCATGGATATGAGCAACTACGTCACGAGCGTCAAGGAGATCCCTAGCACAGGCCTTCTGGCGATGTCAGATGCGTTCAAGGGAGTGTGGTTCACGGGGTACACCGAGGAGCCATACAAGATGATGCTTTTCGGCAAGAGCAATACAAAACTGGAGGTTCTGAATTGTGAATTTGTGCCAGACGGCAAGGATCTCTTCATACTGGCCGTCGACGTGGACGCCAACATCCACATCTTCCAGTTCGACCCCGAACGTAAGTCATTGTATTGCCCGCCTATCATCAATCAGCCTTGATTACTAAACGAAGCATAGATCCGAAATCACTCCAAGGCCATCTTCTCTTGCACCGAACGTCCTTCAACACCGGAGCGCATATCCCTGTGAAATCATTGCTACTACCACGGGTGCCTTCGTCCCATTCGCAGCCGCAGGAGAACGGGCATCTCACCAATGGTGACGCAGCAAAAACTATCCCTCCGCACACAATCCTCTTCGCATCGCCCACAGGTTCACTAGCCACACTCACATCCGTGTCCGAAACATCATACCGACGCCTCTCGTCACTCATGTCACAGCTCATCAACACCCTCCCCCACCCGGCCGGGCTCAACCCCAAGGCGTATCGCATGCCGCCCTCGGCGACCCAGACCAAGGCCAGCATGGGGCCTGGTGTTGACGGAGGAGGTGGCCGCAACATCGTCGACGGCGCGGTGCTGGCGAGGTGGATGGAGCTGGCGAGCGGCAGGAGGGCCGAGATCGCGGGGCGTGTTGGATTCTCGGGGTCAGAGGAGGTGAGAGCCGAGCTGGAGGGCGTGCTGGGCTGGAGCGGACTGGCCTACTTCTAGAATATTTTATATGCCTGCCAGAGGTCTTGGAAACGCATCGGAGGATGGACCAGGGTATATCACACATTTTGTGCCTGGTCTCGGTTCGACCCGGTCGGGCCTGGGCACTTTCAAGGTTCGGTTGAGCGCAGGTCTCAAGGTGCTTGTGGGTGGCATGTAGGGCAGATAGCACATGTCGGTTCGACATTTTTCACTTCAAGTTCGTATCAAGAAGGATTGCGTCGGCATCTCATTTGATCGCGTAGGTTTTGCGCTTTCCGCTCAGTGAGATCTACGCAGCGAACAAGCATCTCGATACGTCCTGCACGTTTGCTGCAGGGCCACGCAGGGTGGTTCGATTTTGGCAAATTCTCGGTTCCCTGCAGCTCCCCGTGAAAACATACGACTTGTTTGGCATGTCTGATCTAGATGTGACGATGAATTACACTGACGTGACCGGGTAATACCCTGCTGAAGCTTTGACAACCATTGGAGCAATATCCCACAATCACAACTCTTCGGCCTGCTTCAAGGCATCTATGTCAGCTTTAGACTGCACCGGCGTGTCCACCATAAGCGTAAGCAGCGACAGGCTAACTTCAGCAGCAGCCAGCACAGTCGTCTCTCCCGGATTATCGTACACTGGGGCAACCTCTACAACATCTGCCCCAATGACCTTAAGCCCAACCAAGCCGTCGAGGATGGTCAACAACTCACGGCTTGTCCACCCGCCCGGCTCGGCTGTCCCCGTAGCAGGTGCGTAAGCCGGGTCCAGGACGTCAATATCGACGCTGATATAGACATTCGAGTCTCCCACGCGGTCCTTGATCTGCTTGATGATCCCGTCCGCACCGATCTTGTCGATGGCCCGGGCGGTGATGATCTCAAACCCGCACCGAGCATCGTTCCGGACATCCCCCTTGCGCCGCATGACAGGGGCCCGGATCCCGGCGTGGATGGACGTGTTCCGGATGAGCCCTTCCTCATGCGCGATGTGCAAGAACGTCCCATGGTTCACGCCAGCGTAGTCTGACAGCCCCCCTCCCAGCACGGCAGGATCCCACGTGTCGATGTGGCTGTCAAAGTGCACCACCGACACATCGCCCCACCGCTCGTGGGTCGACCGCAGCGCGCTCAGCGTCGTCGTGTGGTCGCCGCCCAGCGTCAGGATGCGCGGCGTCCTTGAGACGCTCGCGTTGGCGGCCGCCCGGCCCGAGATCACGCGGTGTGCCTTGTCCAGCTGCCGCAGGGCGACCGTGTTGTCGAGCCACGTCGTCTGCACGTCGCCCGTGTCGACGACCTTTGCCCACGAGTCCAGCGGGGTCTCCCCCGTGTAGATGCTGGTCCCCTGCGGCCAGATGCGCTGGCTACCGGTCCTGATACCCTGGGGCCCGAACCGTGCCCCGGGTCGGCCGGTCGTGCCGGTATCGAAGGGGGCACCGAGGATGGCGATGTCGTACTTGGCATCCTGGCGCTGGGCCTCCTCGTCTGAGAAGGCGTTGACGTATGGCAGGTTGCCGTAGGTCTTGAGGCCGTGGAACTGTGAGCCCGTCACGATGTCGATGTCGTCGTCGTCTTGAATAGGCGCCCATGCCAGCGGGTGTTGCCCCCTCCCTGTTCCATGAGAGTATCCTAGGGACTCTGGCGGGAGACTGTTGTGTGGTAGCTGCCAAGCCGTGGTTGATGCTGCTCCTACGAGCAGGGCTATTAGCCGCGTGAGTGTCGCTGCGGGACCCATGTTGAGATTGACGTATTTTGTGTGACTTGGAGTTCCTCGCTGCCGCCCCGGGCCGGTCTGCTCAAAGGGTATTATGCTTATCCGGGCTTGAATATATAGCCAAGACGACCTCCTCAAGTATGACCAGTTGAACCAGTTGACAATTGCATATGCAGCCTGCCCGTTTAGACCAAGATTATCGAGTTCCGGCAGATGATGTGGGTCGGGATCATGAGCGTGGCATCAGGGTACTGTCACTATTGGCGATACATATTATCTGATTGATGTTGGATCGGCGCAAGCCATCGCTCGTTGCTTCCGTTTCTGCGTTTCTGTGAGCACTCACAGCGGCTGCTTCACATGGATCCAAGCTTGCCATTGAGCTAAGAACCTCGAATGATGACGTCGACGCACTTTGATATCCCCAGTAAAAATAGACTTGATGTTCCCGTGAATGCGGCGCTATTTCATGAACCCGTCTTGACGCGGTGTCCATATGCACTTTGCTACATCCCAGCTCAGCATTGAAGGCTAAACCGCAGTAGGATGCGGCCATGCTGGTAGCCGAGCTTATTTTACCGGTCGCATCCAGCAGCGACATTTTACTCCAGAACATCCGGCTGTTTTTATATTATCGAAACAATAGTTCAAGCGCGACTGGCCCACGCATGCCAGTTGGGAAGAAAGTGACTGGATTTATTACATATCCAAGACCGGGCAAGGTGTGCTGCTCCGGCCCGGACCAGTCCCATTTCAAGGCATGCGGCCCTCCCAAACGATCTCCTGGACGCTTCCCGGGCGCCTAATCCTGGTCTACCCCAGAATCTGGGTGGACAAATGCTTAGCCAGCCCCTGAGGACACCCCACAGCTCCACATCCTTCTTCCTGCGTCCTCCGAGTCCATAGCTCGAGCCTGATTCAGCCTCTACATGACCACGATCGGGCCCGGAGATCCGGAAGCTCTGATACTATTCATCGGCCGCCCGACAGGATTATGGACAACTCCCTCAGGGGGCAGAGCAAGATCAGGAAACGCGCAGCAAAGGCCTGCCTTGCCTGCCGAGCACGCAAAGTCAGTTCTCGGACCTCCCCTTCAGCAGAGCCCGTCACTAATCATCTCACAAGGTCCGCTGCGATGTCTCACAAAGGGGCCGACCATGTATGAACTGTTATCTGGATAATGAGACCTGTGTTGTTACCACTCGAGCAACCAGACGGTACGTATATTTTTGCCACTCACAGGAAACCAGCTGACGAACATGGACGTGTAGCAAAAAGCAGAAAGACGACGGGAGCAATGCGGGCGCCTCGGGGACGCCCGTTGAGCCTCCCAATGACTCGCAGAGGCGCGTCTCTGCAGAATCGACGTCAGCCGTCGAAAATGTGCGAGACGCGAATATGTCTGCTGGCACCGCGTCAGACGCTGCGGGTGGAAATCTCGAAACTGTCTTTCATGAGCCCCCCAGGACGACCGCCGCAGAGAGCAATGGCGCCAAACTGGCCTTCCACACGCCAGACATCAACGTGCAACGGCTCTCGATGCCGCTGCCGCCTCTGCAGAACTACCCGCCCGCCCGAGCAGGACTCCAGTGGAGCGGAGAACAGAGCACGAGGTTCGGTGCCGACATCACCTACACGTACTATCCGTTTATCGAGTTGAATAACCTCGCGGCTATCCCGCCTCAGGATGTCAACTACCTGGAGCTGCAGGGCTGCTTGCGGGTGCCAATTAGGACCATCCTGGATGAGTTTGTGAAGCAGTTCTTCCTGCACGTACATCCCATCATGCCATTACTAAACGAGGGGGACTTCTGGGAAATGTATGCTTCTCAAACTCAGGGAACACATGTGTCGACGAGGCTATCGCTACTCATGATGCAGTCCATGTTGTTCTCGGTTTGCGGTGTAAGTGTGTGAAGACACTGTCTGCCCTGAGACCGTTGCTGACGTTTCTCACCTAGTATGTGCCTCGGAATAGCATAAAGGCTCTGGGGTTTCCAGATGTCAAAGTCGCCAGATCTTCATTCTACCGTCGAGCAAAGGTACGTGAGGCCAGAGCTCCTACCTCGCAGGCCTGGATGCTGACTTATCATCAAGCTTCTTTTCGATTTTGAAAGCGAGTACAGTCCTCTTGCCGTCGCTCAAGCGGCCCTCCTACTGTCATCTTGGTCAACAAACCCGACCGGACACAACACTCGCGTCAGCAGCAGTTGGCTTAGCACCTCGATCCAGCAAGCGCGAATCGCCGGTGCCCACCGTTACTCCTCGTTACAACAGGCCCAGTGGCCCCAGTCTCAGCGATCGGAGGTTCTCAGGCATCAGAATTCACTCAAGAGGCTTTGGTGGTGTATCATCCTCCGCGACCGGATCATATCACTCATGTTCCGCACATGCATCCAAGTCACCAGGGCGCATTTCGACTTCGACGACGAGGCACACGCGCCCTTGGATGTTGCGGACATGGCAGACGAGATTGAGCGAAGCCGGGTGTATAACTCGGGGACAAAGAAATCCTTGATAGATATGTTGGCCCACCACTTTCGGCTCATGGTCGCGTTCACAGATCTCCTTGAGTTTGTATGGCCGCTTAACGAATCACCACAGTGGGAAAAGAGATACGGAGATGAGGAGGCTGTCAAAATCGAGCACTGCAAGGCCCAGATGAGAAGCTGGTATCAACGAGCTACGGCGAGATTCCCCATGCCAAAGGCCGGGATATCTGCGAGGCGTAGCATGGCTGGCGGAGGCAGATTGGCTGGCGACTTTCACCACGATTCCGTCGTGTTGTACACCAACCTGATGTACATCACTTATCAGTAAGTAAACCTAGGACTTGGCTCGATTGCGTGTAACTGATAGACTGGGGCAGTTCCGCTGTGACACGACTGTGCCACCTTGAGTGCCTCCAATTAACGCTGGCAGCGATATCAAATAAATCGGGCAGCACGTTCCCAGATCCATCAGTATTGTCCAAGAATGGAATAGAGATACGAGAAGCGGCTTCTGGGGCCGTACTATGTCTGCAGGAGCTCATAGAACTTCGCTTGTCAAAGTGGCTGCCCATCAGCGTGTACGTAACCCCCGGTATGATCAGTCATCTTCGCAGCCAGTAACTGACTTGCTGTTAGGACATCGTGCACATCACTTCCTCTTATCCTTCACGTTATTGACGCGAAGATTCCTTCGCAGCACGGTCCCAAACTGCCGCCCAGCCTCAACGACCTTGTGGAAGCCGTAAGAAACTACCAGTCGGCCCCAGACAGTCTGGACTGGATGTACGACGCAGTCCGAGGCATTGTCAGCCTCTCACAGCTTCAGGATTCGAGCCACTTCTCAAGCCCGTCCTCCCTGACAGCCGAGAACCTGGGCGCAGTCAACAGCAGCACCTCGGCGTCCACGTCCGAGCTCGCGTGTCACCCTAGCGTACACCTGCGCCTCGCCCTGGTGATGGACGCGGACCTGAAGAGGGGCAAATCGCTCAACACGAGGGATTTATCAGCGGGGATAGCCCGGCTCTTTTCGAGCGACAGCGTCAACCGCATCAGGGCGCTCATCAGCCGAGCCCCCCAGCAGCAGCAGAAGCACACGCCCTCGGCCGGCGGCGTCTCGCGTGGTGTCCAGTCCGGCTCGAGCAGCTCGGACAACCCCTACAATATCTCGAGGAGGGAGGCGCTGCTCAACTGGGGCCATGGCGACCAGTCCATGATATTTGCCATCGAGCTGGGCCTCGTGCCCGCAGAGCCGGCGGCGGGCGGCTACAGCAGCGACGACTCGGCGAGCGCCATGTCTGTTGGGTCGGACGATGATGATGACGCCGCCCCGGCGTCGACGGGACAGGGCTCTGCGCTTGCCCACCGTGGAGCCGCTGACAGTATGGACTGGAGAGAGGTTGCAGCACAGGCCTTTGCCGAGACTGGGGATAATGTTGAGAGGGACATGCTGGGTGCTTTTATCTTCCGGGACCAGGCGCTTGGACCTGAAGCTGGGTATCATGTGGTAGAAGATTACGGCGGGCACGTTGGCGCTGTGGGCGACTTTGGCGAGCCAGCTGCGCATGGGGCACATGATTCTGAGGACGACGATGGCGATCTGGATACGCATGATGCAATACTTGGTGTGGTGGCTTAGGTCAAGTGGTTCGCGGATGATTTCCGGTGGTTGATCCCCTGTGTAAACAATACTGGTGCAGCCTTGCTTGAGAAGGTCTTTATGGCTCCCATACCATTGCTACTTGCCTGAACGGCCTTGAAGTATGTACATGGAGCTGAAGAATGTCAATGTTCCTGATGGACAGGTCACCAACAGCAATTTTCAGAGACCGGCTGTACCTAGGTACCTCGCGTGCACACTGGCAGTGGATAATGCAACACACAGCATCTGCCATGAGACATTATATTTTCCACTTTCGAACAAGTCGTGTTTCGAAATTGACGACGAGGAGTCTCGAGCATTCCACATACGCAATCGTCACTGAAACGAGAAGTTTCAGTATCTGCCCACCCCAGACCGCAAACGCCATGCACGGCACTAACCTTGGAAAGCAATCCAGGTTCTATAATTAACTAAAAATGGAGAAAATGAAATATTTTTGGAGTTTCCTTCATGCTTACAAAATCAATGCTACTTTTGTTCCCAGAGAAGATGAGCATGCCAAATATTTCATTGATGCAGGAATGGAACACGGCTATGCTGAAAATTAGACTTCCTATATGAGTTACTGCTCAACCCAACTTCTCATCAAATCAACTACAAGCGCCAGTGGTTTAGCGGTAAAATCCATCGTTGCCATCGATGGGCCCCCGGTTCGACTCCGGGCTGGCGCAGATCTTTTGCTCTTCAGCGGTCCGTAATGGAGTCGTTGTGGAGCTTGTCCTTTTGGACGGCGGTGAGCTTGGCGGCACGTCTGACTCGCTCGTCGGTTCGTTATGCTAGCTGGATGGGGCATTCAAGTTTCGGGGGTGGGGGAACCCGGCTGACCACTGCCACTGTGAGCACATTCGTATTCTTATCTATGTCGTGAAGGCCGCGGAAAACCAGGCGTAGTGAGGAGACAACATCAAGTGTGAAACGTGTATGAGGCTTAGAATCGGTTCTTGCTCAAGTGCTGAAGCTTTATTTCGTACATGTCAGGCTCACTTAGTGGCAGAAATTGTGTGAGTACTAAATATGATTTATTACCAGGCATTGTGTCCGTGTATCATTTGTACATTCAAGACGTGTCGTAATGAAAAACGGCCATGTCCATTGCAACGATGTGTTTTGAGCGATGTTGACTGCATCTGGCCCCCATCTGTGGCTGGGACATGCATACTTACTTGCCACGCCTGGTGAAACCTTCAACCACTCGGACACGCAACGGTTGGATGGATCGTATTTCCAGAACTCGATGCGGCAGGTTATTTGCTGCTGTGGAAGTACAGATTTTGTGCCTTTATCTTCAACGAGATATCCACTGCATCAAACCATCGAAACATTTTACACTCGAGGTATATCCGTAGGGTTTGCCGATTCTTCCGATGAAGAGGTGGTCCTCCTGCGTGCGGTCGCAGTTGCTTTGTCGTGGTGCCCTGAGTCCGTTATCCAGGGTGAGAAACTCGTATTGTTGGCCGCTGCACAGTTCTATGATCCGTCCTTGGACGTATCTAGTCGAAAAGTCGGGGGACTGTTAATGGTGATGTCACTTACTCAGAAACTGAAGAATACCTAGACAGTCAAACAAGCCCGACGTCAATGATGGGCCAACTTGACATATTTACTTCTACTTTTAGCAAAGCACATGCCCAGCAATATCCCAGTCCGGTCTGGCCTCAAGCCGCAGGCATCAAATTAGTCGCTCTTATTTGATATATAAAATTGTTTGGCAGTGGACCACGAGGCGTTGTTGCGTTCGATCGATATCGGCGGGCAAACCAGACCCTAAGCTTCTGGACGTCGAAAATCATGAAACACACCTGGGCATTCTTGACAACTTTGACAATAGGATGCGAAGTAATTCATGTTTGGTCTGATTATGTATGAGCTTCATGCTCTATGGCAGCCATGACACTAGCTCATAGTTATGTCTATCGATCAGAGGTTGGAGAATGGCTGCATTGATTATTCCTAAGGGAACCCTCTCACAAAATAGTCTATAAAAATATTTTATTGTCTTATAAATACACTATAATCTAACTAAATGTATATTTTTAGAAACTTTTAATATCTAGGATAATAAAGGCTCTGCAAGAGATCGGAAATTCATATAGGAAATAATAGAAGGTATATAAGTATGTGGTGCCACTATGTGTAAACTTTAATTTATCCTAAAAGCTCGCTATAAATAATAGAAATACACAGTCATTAACTATAAATATCCTCATATATTATCCCTATTATGCTAGCTTAGGTGTTAAGGCCGTTATTATTAGTTAGTAGGGCTGTCTCTATAGAATATCATTTTAGAAGGTAGTAAGTAGCCTGAGGTAGCATGCGCCCTAACTACTAGTCTCTTCAGATTAGTTCTCACTTATTCTTCCTACTACAGGTGTCCTCCTAATCTAACAATTTAAGGTACCTAGAGTCTCGTGATTCTACTCGGATACTAAGTCAAAGCGTTGCATAGGACGCTCTAACCAGAGCATAAAAGTAACACAACGTACATATGTACCTTCCGCTTTTTCCTGTGCAAAATTCCGATCTCCTCTATAAAAGCAAATATCCGACAGCAGCCCAGGACTCATCATCTCATCATGCCATATCGCTCTAGTAAGGGCCATACTTAAGTACCCAGGCATTAATATCCCCAGGGCTTGATCAGTACTACTTTTCGAGACTAAGTCCACAGTTTTAGCCATTATCAGAGTTCCAAGGTGTCTTTGCAGCAAGTGGATTAGAATCACGCCTACAACCCTTGCTTATAAGATTGTATATTCGTCACAAATGGAAGCGAAATCAGCGAGTTGTACCTTTGGCTGCGATGAGTCTGAGCATCCAGCAAGCCAAGCTGTGCCTGCCCGGCGAAAGCACTTGTGGCTCGGCATACCTAGGTAGATTCATGATGATGCATCCATTTCCCCAGTATATCCGCCCGCTTCCAAGGTTGGCCACTGCAACGGGGATGTATGGCCTCCATCCCGGGTGGAGTCAAAGGAATCGTACAGTGGTCAACTATCCCCACTCAACAGCACCAACAGTTCCCTCCTGTGGAGCCCCGCGGAGAGCCCGTCCCATGCTTGATAGCTCAATTGACTGCTTGACGGCTCCTCTTAGCATTCACCACCGGGACAATGTGGAACTCATTCCGGCCGAAGGTGGACAATTATTCTTCCTTGAACATTGTCCAAGCGAGAATTTCACCGAACTTAAAGACCTCAAAATTTCCTCCCCAGAGTGTATATAAGTCGAGGGTGCAATTCAGAGAAATAAAGAGAGAGTAGACCAGCTGTTATGAAAGATATAGAATCTTTGCTTCAGGCCGTTCGTACACTCCTCTGGTTTCAGTGCAGTATATTCGTTTATTCGCCAAAGCCGTCTCATATTTGCACCCCAGGGCCTGTACGCTCAGGATCCTCGAGTTGATTCAGGACTGGCAGGTCGACTGGCCTTGAAGTTTGGCCCATCCTGCTTGCTACTGTCTCCTAGGGAAATACTGTTTTGTTTGTTGTGCGAACACTGGCCCCTGCCCAGAGTGATTGTGATAAGGTAGATAGGTGTACGTGCAACTCCGGCGTCTCGCCTGTTTTGGCAGCGTTGCATCTTGCAATCTCTTGATCCGCCTTTAAACATCTTGGGCAACAAAACTGTGTTAACACATGCGCTGGTGATATGTCATCCAGAGTTCATCATGAGATTCTTGCATCAGAGTACGGGGATCAAGGGTTGATGAGCACGTCACTTGTTGACGAGTGGCACAGCTTGCCATCGTCAAATCTCCTGCATCGCCGTCAAAACGCGCGACCCTGCGACCCTGGCCTTCTGTCCTTGACCAAGGAGAGTGGTCGAGGAGCCGCATCATGTCCCCACCTATCACATTGCATAGGCCGATGCGTTATGTTGGCTGAGAGCCTGTTTGGTCGTCGGCTACGGCGGCTGCTTGCCCGCTTCGCGACAGCACCGACTCTTGACAAGGACCAGGGGACTTTGGAGATATTCCTGGGAATTACATGCACCAGGATGAAATCATGTGAGTTGGGCATTGGCATTGCTTTTTCTCCATTCTGAGCCGCGCGATTGGTCCGTGAAAGTAATCCCGTAGTCGACAGCTCAAGATCTCCTCATCAACCGAAGTACTTTTGACCAACTTATGAGGCTGTGGGGGACACTGCCGTCGGGGAACCCAACCGAGGACAGAATTGGTTTAGACTCGAGAAACGGGCGTCGCATCGAGACACACTCATCAGTTCTCGTTCCCGGAGGGTGTGGTGAGACGAACGCTCCACATGACTGCAGCTTTTGGTTGCCCTCGGCGCTTCGGTCTTCAGCAAACACGCACGGCTCGAAGGCCACCCCTTTCATCTACTACGTTGCCTCAGCCCAAAATATTGAGAACTTAGAAGGCAGAACATGACAAGAAGGCTTCAACCGACATCTGTTGCACTCATGAAAGTCAAGTCCTCACATTCAGGGGATCCTCAACGGTCGACGTCGGCGATGGTGACATGCAAGCAGATCCTAGACCCACCCAAGCCAGGCCGGAAGCCCTCCGCGGGATGGGTCTCTCTGTCGATGTTGGCCTCAGACCCCACCGGTGATGGAGACCTGCGTGCACTTCGTTTGAGCAATCTACTGTGAGGAGACCCGCCGAGACCATGGAGCGCCATGGCCCGGGGTGCAACATACTCCACGTCATATCAGCCTTGATCTGGCACCAGGAGTCGATTGCAACCTGCACACCTCGCGGCAACCTTTTCACAATCAAGCCACTCCAGCCGTGGGCACAAAGGAGTCCCCGTTACGTACGTACACTGTGTGCACCTTTTTTGTGAGTGGCCGAGAATCAACTCTGTCACGTCCGCTTGCCCAGACGCAGTAAGGGCCGACCCGACACTCTGGTAAATGGCATTTTATTGCAGCAACCCTGGTCGTTCTTGGTCTGTTGGCGCCTCGGGCGAAGCAATGTCGGCGTTGATCCCACCCTCCTGCGTCCTGCGGACATACGTACTCGCTTGGGCACCACCTGGCTGCCTGGACTGCCCGACTTGCCGACAAATTCTTCTTGCCGACCTGCCCGAGAAATGGCGGGAAAAGGCCTCCCGCTTGCGTGGAGCGTCCGCAGGTGAGCGAGCAGTCCGCATCAAAGATCGCACCAGGCCACTGCCCTTCATTTTCATTCCTCTGCTATGAAAGATAATGTACACCTTCGCATTACATACAAAGTTTCAATAGCAGAGATATGGGTACCTGTAACATGCCAATGTTTCTGACTTCGGATCAGGGACTTTAGCATGGCCAGTGGGACACTTGATCTGTCGCATTGTAGGATCCCAGTGAAGTCTCTCCAGATTAGCTATCCAGCTCCAGATGCTATACTTTCGCTTATCTGTTCGGAAGCTCAGTGGCAGGAACGCCTACCTGCAACTTGTCGTCCGGACCCATAGACTGGCCTGGCCTAGGATGACTTTGGTCTTAACCCTTCAAGGATTGCGACATCAAGTGGAGACTGTCATGGCCTAATTCTGGCTCCAGTAGGATGCACCGTGCCTCAGCTCATCCCGTGCTGCGGAGGACTTCTGTCGAGGAGTAGACGTCCCGGGATCTTGACCAGCCCACGCCCCCCCGAGCCCTAGAAGATCACGCAGCCTGCTTCGAGAGGGGCCACACTTTCGACATCCTGCAGCACAGTGCCTGGTTGAAGATGCATGATGCAGCCCTCACCTGCAGCCAGGTGCAGCAGGTGTCACTGTCTCCACCGGGCAGGACAAACAGACTGCACGTTTAATACGTACTGTGACTCCGTCGTCAACATGCACGCCCTCCTGAAGTCAGGAATTCCGAGCTGTGAGTCCACAGAGAGGATCGGTTCCCCTCATGGTGCCCTCCAATGGCGCTTGATGGCCTGTCCCGATGTCCTGGAAACGAAGGTCAACAGGCCTTGTGGCGTCTCAAACCGTGCTCTTTATTGGCAATCTCCTACCAACAGACAACTGCTTTGCGCTTTGCGCAGCAGGTATGGTGGGAGGAGGCAGCGGGGCCCAGGCGCTTTTCCCCCATCTCCCCCCTTTCCAGTCACCACGCACCACTGCTTCGCAGCGGGGCTTTATCGACTCTGAGAGGCTTGGCCTAGATGGCCGCCCACTTAACTTGAAGACGTCCTGATAAACCAGCCGGCTGTTCTTCATCATCTCTCCCTGCTCCGTTGCTTTTCCTCCCCTTGCTCCAAGTAAGCAACCTCTCTATCACCTCAGAACAGCATATTAGCCCAGTCCATCTTCGGAGGAAGCCTGTCTAAGATATTACTCCCTGGTCTACCTTCTTCCTATCGTGATACTGGGTGGCACTTCCCAGAGAAGCGTGATCCGATGGATGGGCCGTCGAGAAACCTGCCATTTACTCGTGGGACCCCTTTCGAGAGTGGCCTGCGGCATTCATCAGCCCAGAACATGGCTACTGCCTCGGTCGAACCTAACCAGACGGGCCCTCAATGCCACTCGATATCCCACACCAACCCAACATTCTTCCCAGTCGGTCGCTCTCTGCCTCCGATCCCAAATTTACACAACTCCAAAACCTACCCTGCTCACTCCATCAACGATGGCGGAATATCGCCACGGGAGGTTTCCGACAACAGCTCCGGCTTTCCTGTTGCCCCTTACGGAGACCATTATACACCTTGCCAAGGTCTACAGTGGCTCCATCAGCCGCGCCAAAGCTTCGACTCCATGCGTGTGGCCCCAAATTTAACTAGGTCTTATCCCGAGGCTGGCCAGTACCATATACCCATCGACCCACAAGAGCCTGAGTTCAAGAGATGTAGGCTTGGGTCAGCGAACTGGTCTACATCACTCGAGGTTAGCTCCTGGGAGATTGACGCCTTGGCTGTTGCGAAATCCAGGCGGGCTTCAAATCAACAAGTCTCTCTGGCAGATATGCCAACATCTTCTTGGACCACTCCAGCACACTCAACCACAAGCTCGTCTCCTCCCGAGATTTCGCTGGGAAACTCACACAAGAGCGGTACCTGGCAGCAGCACTCTTTGGCTTACCCAAGTCCCCCTCAGTGTCTGGATGACAACACCAGACGGCTAAGCTATCGAGGACCATCCCCACGGAGGACGTCGTCTGTCTTTTCTGACGGCGCACTCACTGGAAGCCCAGAAGCAAGCTGGAGCACTGTAGGCTTTGACGGCCACAAATCGCCACCTACAAGCCCAACTATTACTTCTACCACTCTAGGATTTGATAGCCGGCCATGCTCAATGGGCCCTGGCGAGTCGACTCCGACCTTTGAGGAAATCTACGACGTTCCACAAGTTGACCTGGCACCTCGACAAACGGAGAGGAAGTCGATACTTGAGAGATTCCCGATGAAAATATTCATGCGGATCATGGTCCATTGCGATTGGAAGCAGCAAATCTTGCTCAGGCGTTGCAACTCAAACATGTACAACATGGTCAGACTTGACGCCATACCTTGGGAGATCAAGACAGCCATCCTTTTGTACGAAGAGAACTTCAACCCCGAGAACTTCAAGCCATCAAAGTCCCAAGATGACCATGGATCAGAAGAACACGACTCAGATGCTGCGCCCTCTTCAGACAATGAGGGGTCACTTTCAAGCAAAGCTAAGAAGGGAAAGAAGGGACGTAGGAAAGATGTATCCAAGTCAAAGCCACAGGGGAAAAAGAAGCAGGGCGAGGAGGATTTCAAAAAGTTCGCATGCTACTCATGCTACAAGATCCTCCCATCATATTACTTTGAGGGAAGGAACCTTGAGACCAAGACCGGCAGGACCGGTACGAGCCAGAAGAAGCGCGGGCACAACAACCAGTCGGGCAAGAAAGTCGACACGCGTGTTGAATACGTGCAGGTCATCTCAGTCGATCCCGGCAGCCCTCCGGAGTGGCTTGTCGAGGACAAGGCAGAAGTCAAAGCCACAGACGTCGAAACGTACGTGACGGAGTACATGAAGAGAGGTGTCAACTGCGACGACCTACGTCTATACTACAAAGACATCACCTCAGGCACGCACTGTATCGCACCGGTTAGGGGTGTGAATCCTTTCTTCACGGCATCCTCGTCAGCAACGCCTCAGCAATGCGAGACCTACAGACCGGTCTACCCGGTCGAGCCAAGCAACAGCCCCGGAGTCGGTGCGGACAGCAGCGCCTACACATACGAACTGTGCATCCCGGAGAACTCTGCGCGGGATGAGAACCCGATGGGGAGACCTCGCTTCGGACAGATTACCAGAATATGCCAGCCGCAGCAACTACAAGAAGGACCACCTGATGCTCATGGGTTGTGTCTTTCGGCCCCGGCGCCACAAGTGAATGATATCATCGCTCTTCGGCGGTTCTGTATACTCTGTGGCGCAAAGTATGGGGCATATAGAAGGGATTGCAACCGCAGGATTATCAACATGGAGGAGGATGGGTTTTGGGTCTGTGACTGCCGCAAGGTCAGGCCGACGGGCGTTGGGAGAAGCTGTCCGGACTGCGGCAGGAGTGTAATTTACTAGGAGGGACTAGGGGGGGTGGTCCTGTCATTGTCTTCTTTACGGGGGTTTCTTGAGTTCACGAAGCGTTCTTGGGCGGTACACTTGAATTTGCATTTTTGGAGGTCGGTTGTATGCAGACCTTTGATCTTTTGACTTCACGGAATTCTTTCTACAAGATGAGGCTTTGCTAGGCTTAATCCCTGATTCAATCTTTCTTGCTCAGATCAGGACTCTGGTCGCGCCTTTCCACACACCTATCATCGACCAACGAGCGCCTACGCCTGTAACTCGAGAGGCGAAGCAGGGTCTACAGGCGCACATGGTCTTGCCAACAGAGCCACGGCCTAATGCACCCAAGAGAAGCCTTGCCACCAACAACAGGGCCAGGCGAACAGGCAGGCTTTCAAGGAACCTCGGAAGCGGGCCGAGATGGCTCGCCCGGCCCGCGAAGCATAATAAAGTCAGCTCGGCACAGCCCCCACGTCAACTCGCCCCGGGGCTCAATGATGCCCGTTGGTAACCGGGTCTCCTTTCATCTGGCCGCCCAGCCTGCCAGGCCTGCCAGCTAGCTAACCCAACAGGAAATGCTGACAACCGCGCCAATCTCGGTTGCTGGCATGGGCCCTTATGTAGCTTACGGTGGCTCTAAGCGCGCAGTTGGGAGCATGGTACCTAGGTAGCTTTGTGCCTGAAGCCTCCCTTTGCCACTGGATTTGAAGTGGCGTTGGCCAAGATGAGATTCGAGGCTGCGATGTCATCCCTGTTCCGTCCAAGCCTCTTCGTGTCTTGCGTGGTGCGCAGCCCCGTTTTCTCTAGAAGATTGTTAGAAGTGGTATTTCCCGGGGCTCCCTCCATCTGCTTCCTTGTGAGCTCCTTGACCTCTTAGGAGTTGAATTTACACGGTGAATCTGACCTGAGCCATTTAGCCTGTCGAGACCGAGCAGAGGATTGAAACGGGCGAAATGGTCGGTCGCTTAGAATTGTGACGAGAAATCGTTCATCCCCAGTCCCTGCTCATTTGGCCGCTTGGTTTCCTTGTCTTACAAGGTTCTTTGTTCCTTCCACCAGCTACTGCTGCAGACCGTTGGTTCGTGGGCTTCCATGGTTGCTATAACCCTTTTGAGCCACCAACAGACATACAACCTTGCATGTCCATCCACACCACAACCTGGCTTCCTCCACTTTCATTATCCAGCGATCCCAGAACATCTCCCAGCACATCAGGGGCCATGGCTGCATGTGAGTCAATCCACTGGGTCTCGAATCCAGGCAGTCGCTTGTACCTAAGTACTCCCTGTCACTTCCACTGTGTGAGCCAAACGGTGCTGCTACAAGCACTAGAGGTCGGGAACTTTCCGTATCCTTACTTCGACCTCATGCAAAATGTAGAAAGTGAGCAGACACTTTTGGGGGCCAGCAGATTCCGTTGTGGGGAACGGAAATTCAAAGTCAAATCTGCAAGCTTACCTTGCTGATTTACCGTGTCTCCTTCTAGCATCTACCACAACGGCGAAATCCTTCACGAAATACATCTACGTGCATCCTGAAGTGATCACGTACAGCACATCAAACCGCAGCCCCCAACCCGTCCTTCCCTCAAGCGTTTCAAAGATATCCAACCTCACATCCCCTAGGACGTGGCTCTGTTCAAACCCGCCCCGCCCAAAAAAAACAACAAAAAAACTTTGCCTTTGATCTTCTCTTAACGGAAGAACTACCCCCATAAAGTATAAGCACCTTCGGTCCCGACCGACTCAGCAGATCACAGCCATGCCAAGAAGCAATAACCAGCGGTTTATCGGAGGCTAGACACGAATCAACCGATAGCCCAATGCAGACTTGGTCGACGGCTGTCACATTGTGGGTGGTAAGGCTGGAAACGTTTGCACTTGCCGACTGGATCCGATGATAAGCTGCTTACCGCGTCACCAGGGGCAGAGAGCTCAGCCACTGGCCCGCCTGCCAGTAAAGGGAACACTCGCGAGGACTGTTGGGCGGTAGCTAGCCATTCAGACCCTTAGCCGGGACACACATGCGTGTCTGCCAACAACTGCCTCACACCCACCTATGTGATAGGTAATGTGACCTCTCATGTGCAAAGGGGTAAGGGGAAAGCGCCCATTCCATTCCCCACAAGGCCCGGAGGTACATGCTAGAATTAGACACCTCGTCTAACAGGCCGATTGGTTTTCTTCCATCTACGTATGGGGTGCGCGGATCAAGTGAAGAAGAGTGTTGCGTTCTCACACTCACGGTCTGAGATTACAGACACCTCGTCTAACAGGCCGATTGGTTTTCTTCCATCTACGTATGGGGTGCGCGGATCAAGTGAAGAAGAGTGTTGCGTTCTCACACTCACGGTCTGAGATTACAACACCATCTCGTGGTCTTGTTGGTTAATGATGACTGGCTGGTGGTAATCCTCAAGTTAATCCGGCACCCGCGGCCATATGCCATGCTCATGAGTTTCGTTTCACTTTGGTCCGGAGAGAAGCGAGTGAGAAATTTCCACGGATGGAGCCTCTAGCAGGTCATTCCCTGATTGATATCAAATTCGACCTTTTCCGCCTGAGAGCGGGGCGCAAATCATTTGAGAAGGGTCTTAGCCTGAGATCGTTGGGCCTTCCACCTCACTTTCAGGAGGATATCCTGAAGTATGTTTCACATCCAGTTCTAAAGTTTCTCAAAGCATTTTTTGCCCTATCAGTGCTACCAGCAGCCATCAGTCACTCTTTTTTTGAGGCCGATGCAACAACGCCTAACCGGCCGCTCGTATCTGTACCGACTGTTTCAAACGCATAAGATATCGTACGTACATAAATAATAAGACATTCTGCCTGACTTTGTACGAGGTCAACGGACGGCCCCGCCCCAATCGAAAGTTCTCGGCCAGGGGTCGCAATCAAGGGATGGACCCCTGAATGGAGGCTTTCTCGGGGCAGTACTTTGGGGAGGGCCTTCATGAACCTTTCCAAATTATCACTTTAGGTACCAACGAATTACGAACTAATCTGAGTAAAATCATGTCTGCGGATCTTCTGTGTGCATGCATTATGATTGAAATATGTTGCTGGGCTTCGAACGTGTAATTTCCTGCTCAAATCTTCAAGTAGTGCAAATTTGAGTCTTGCCCTGGTTGATGGCCTCCACTATCGTCTCGTCTATGAAAAGCCATGCAGCCACCTGGGCCGCGTCCAAACAGTTCGTCAGCAGTCCAAGATTGAGGAATGCCTCCATGTTTTCATAGATACCACCATGATCCAAAGACTTCAAAAACAGCAAGCAGCCAGGATGATATGCAAAAATGAGGAAAGTGAAGAATGAAGTGACCGCCTGCTCCGCCTGTCCTGGTGTTTCCATGCCAAACCCTGCTTGATGCCCACGTAAATGCCGTCAAACATGATTTCCGTAGTTTTCCTCATATCTTGTTATTGGGAGACTTCCGAATGCAAGAAAAGTAATGAAAAGATTGCATCGTTGCCGCATGGCCTTAGCTGTTGATCCTCGTGCAAGTGATGGCGTTCTCAGAGACAGTTGAAGTTGAGTCCAGTGTTGGGCAGTACTATAGGTTGGTCAAGTTCAAGGTCAGCTAAACGGAATTGATCTTGAAGATCAAACGGAACCAGATACTAAAGGGAAATGGAGCAGAAACTTTCAGGTTCTCCACGGCATTGTGCTCAGCTCTGGTGCTTGTTTGCTGGCTGTACTCACTGCGGTGATAGTGGGAGCGGTTGTAGTCACAGACCTCAAAGTGACTGTGGTTGTGAAAGCAGGCATTGTTATTGTCACTGTTTCTAGCGGCTCTGCTTGTGGTTCTCCATTGGTGTTGCTGCTTGCTTCGCTGATAGCCTCACCGGCTATGTCCTGGTAGCTACCGTAACTGCCATACTTGCCGTAGCCACCGTAGCTTCCATAGTCCTGATCCCGAGTAGTGATGCCAAAAAGCCTCTTGACGTATGAGCCAAATCCTTGGGCCAGATTGCTGAGCTCCGGATCGTCAACCAGTGAGTGGGGGCTAGGTACTGGTGTGGGAGCTGGGGCAGAGGCAGCCCTTTGGCAAAGAAGAATGGTGATGAAGGGATAGAGGAAGAGCATCTTGGTCCCATTGGAAGATGTTGTTGTTGAAACAGTGCAGAGACTTGGTCTACCACCTGTCAAGCCATTGGGTTTCCCACCGGCATGGCAAGTTCATATCTTTTACAGCTTGATTTCGGCATGGCATCTGGGCCCAACCGTTGCCTTTGTTACCGGGATCAGCCAATCCTTTCTATCAACCACGGCATCCAGACCAAGGGATACCACCACTAATCTAAACGTAACATTTAGGAGAGTCTGGAGCCTTGTCTGTCCTTGGGGTGTCTCAGACCCTGACAAACTGCCTCACATGGATGTCTTGATGGCGTTGTATGGCTTGTTTATGGCGTACACAAGCCACTTCTAGAACCACAGAGTGAAACCTGTCAGCTGATTGGGCTCCATCATTCAGCATGAGTAGTTGTATTATCTTCAGCAGGTGGACTGATGACCTCGCATGCAGGTCTTTGTCTCCACCCTTGTGCAATGTGCAACTATGGCACGGCTTGGCTTTCAGCTAGAATATGTGAATATGACAGGTCCAAATGCTGCTTGCCATCGAGATTATCCCACAGTGCTTATCCCGCAGCGCTTAGTTGATTGGTTCCTTCCGGCGGGCCATGCCGTCCCCATCCCTTGCGGCTACAGCCAGACGGTAAGAACCGCTGGCCAAGGCTTTGATAAACGGATACCTTGGACCGAACTTTGATCGTCCCTGAACCAGACGCAGACCTCAGGAGACTTGTAACAGTCCACTACCCTCGGGTTGACTTGTTTCGGTAACAAGGTGTCTCTCTGTGTGTCAGTCACGACAGGCACACCTGGCCAGAAACAGACCTGGCGCTTAGGGTTCCCCTTCCGAAGAAGGAAACCTTTCGTCATACCAACACATGATGAGGTTTTGTCTGAGACATGGTACACGAGATCCGGGTCTTCTTACACATCAAGCTGACCCTTTCAAAGCAAACATACTGGCGACTCACTGCTCTGGCGACTCACTGCCCAGGTGTTCTGGCGACTCACTGCCCAGGTGTTCTGGCGACTCACTGTTCTGCCGGCCCCACAAATCCGAGCCGAGTAGGTTCAGGTCCAGACTTTGATCCAAGGAGCCCACAAACTGATGTGATATCTCCGGAAGCACTTTGACCTGCACAAAACTCGGTAGTACAACAAAAAGCTACACCCGGGAACTATCCGCCAAGAGCAAAGTCAAAGCCCAGGCCATCCTACAGCCCCTTTCCGGGCCATCTTCCAGTCCAGTCCTTGCTGTCTAGCTACAGCCGGCTTGTTCTCTCCCATCCGTGAGGTACCTGGGCTGTTTGCTGTATGGCTGAGTGATCAGCATCGTCAGCATTGTTCTACCAGGAGTGCCAGTCATATCTCGGTAACACCAAGAGCAATATACCCACGTCTGACAGGACGAGCCATTGTTCTTGATTCCGGGGACACAGAGCTCACAACCACCACATCCATCAAGCAGGTCTTCAAGGAGAGAATCTCTTGACAGATACCCAGGAATCCAGGCCTGAAGTTGACCCAATCTGAGAGCATCCGAACTTGATGCTGCTGAGGATCTCGGGACAGTTCCCTTAACAATACTTCCCACACACAACATTTGTACGTCCGATTCACCTTGCCCCAAACGCCTCTATGATTATAATGCTGACTCTATTACCACAGAGTCATTCGGAATTCTGGAGAAAGCAGATTTGAGACTATCAGGAACTTACTTGTCCCCTGTGAGGGCAAATCCATAACCTGGGAGTGGGTTCACACCAACCACTGAGGGCTTTTATCAACCCAGTCATTGCTTGGTATGTGTCTCGTGGGGCATTGCTCTGCCCAATTAGTTGCATCTTGTGTCTGTTTATGCCAGGTATTACCCAAAATTTGGCTTTCATCTCAACGAGCACACAACAATTGCTGTCAAATGATAAGGACACAAGTGTTCTTCTCAGCATACCATGATCACTGACCTTCTACAGGATCAAATTTGTCGGTATTGAACCATTGTCTTCAGGCCGACACACTAGACAACAACTTCTCTCAGATACAAGGACCACAAGCCTTGGATACGCACGGGTGGACAGATCTAATCCTCCTTGCCTCACTCATTCATATTTGACTTCCAGGTGCTCTTGCTAATTCTTGCTGGACCTCACCACTGGAAACATCAACTAGCAGCAAGTGAGGTGTAAAGTGAGCATCCGGCTCCTGAACAAACCTAGTGAGACCATCAAAGTCCACCAGCCTTCCTTAATCTTACCAGAGGATATCTCTCACAACTTTGAATCAGCCAGAGTTGGGCCACGGAGCATCCAGTTCCAGCTCGGGTTCTTCAAGAAATATTGTGGCCTCTATCTCGGCAGTTCTCCAGGGTATTTCAAATCACCAGAAAAGCATTGGTTTTACCACCAAATAGGTCCAAGCAGATCTAATTAGTCATTCTTTTCCCCTTTATCTCCTTTACACACACATACACAACTCTTAAACTGCTCCGTTTATCTACAGAGTCGGAAGAACAGCCTGCAGTATCGTCAACAGGATATTGGAGCCTTTATACGACGGTTTCTGGCCATCATATCTCTGCCTGAACATCGATCCGTCCGGAGCCTGCTACAAGGCCATACATTCGTCGTTGGATCAGCGAAGACGGTCCACGACATATCACACGACAAGCGATACCAGACTCATACATAACATACTCACCTCCTCACACTCATCACCGGATCAGCAAAGACGGTCCAAAAAGATATCGCAACGGAAAACGACCTGATTGATTGACCGGAGTCATACATAAGGCGTCCGGTCTCCCATATTCATCATTGGCTCAGCAGAGACGGCCCACGACATACTACAGGGGACTTATCTTCGTGTCATACACAGATACCCACACTCACACACTTGAGACCATATCCCATACCATTGGCTGGAGCTCCTGGGACTCGACGATCTCACTGATCGATATTGCTACTTCTACCGCGCATACACAACATACACACATACCCTGTCATTTACAATATTGACAGGAATTCTAGCTCCTGGTCTGTCCGTCGATGAGATACGAACGGGTTGCGGAGCGGAGACTGGAATTATTGCATGAAATTTCAGCAGGCGCCCATTGTCGCCCACCTAGGTACATAATCGAGGAGCACTTTGTTACCCTAGGGTACCTTGAATGAAGACGAAGCTATCAGTCAACTCTAGCTTTGAGCCCTCCAATCAGAGTGGACAAGCTGTAAGTAGAATTCCATTGTCTGACCCAACCCTCTATCTCTGCGCACTTTTCGTCCGATTTCATGCCGTCCGATTTTGTGCCGTCTGGTTTCATGACGCGCTATCGCTATTGATTGGTGGCCTGCTGGGTAACACGTTCACACCTGTGGACGGGCCTAGTGGAACTATCGGACGAAATCAACAGACGAAATCAACACAACAATGGCAACCTTTGTTTGAGAATGAATCCATTGAATGGTTTACTGACTGAATTATCCAGAGAAGTGTTGCCGTGGCTGGCCTGGCTTCACATACTTAAACCCTCCGCGATCTCTCCCTCTCTCATCTCTTCTCGCTTTGCTCAAACTCCAGCCATATCGCTTGATTGAACGCAGATACAACTTTGCGAAAACCTCTGGCAACTCAGGCCAGCGGTCTTCGGCACACTGCTTTCAACGGATCCAACATCTTAGTTTCTCTCTTTACTACCCCCCCCCTCACCATGTCGACACCGTCCTCCGTCGACCAAACGGTCCAGAGGGACCATCTCCCCCCTTCACCTGGCCAGGCCGTCACCCCTGGACCATCTCACACCCTCCAGAAGGAGGGCCTCAACAAAGGTGAAGTCAGCAAAGACGGCTCCACCTTGCCATCAGGCCCCAACACACCTGAGGCGACGGGTGAGATCCCCGACCTGTCACCTTCTCTCTCTCTCTCACCTTCCACCCCCGACCTCTCATCATCCACCTTCTCCTCCTCACCCCACTCCTCCAACAACTACGACAGCCCTCCGGAGGCGTCGTCGTCGGATCACTCCGACTACTATCTCGAGTCCTCGGAGGAGGAGGACGAGATCTACGGCAGCGAGGATGAGAGCGACAACGTGCCAGAGGGCACGACACTAGTCGGCGGTGGAAACGCAAAGCCAGAGAAGAGTGCCACCGGAGAGTAAGTAACATCCCAAACCCAGACCTATACTTGGCACCCCCAAAAAGACCACCGTGCTTACCCAACTCAACACACAGGGCCGACAACACCCAGGCTGCCGCAGAGGAGCCCGCCACCAGAAGGTGGCAATACCAGTACTTCCGCTCCCAGCCCGACACGTGCCTGGGCGGCGGCTGGGCCCCCGGCAGCCCGCTGCCCAACCGGACGTACGCGAACGAGCACATCGCGGTGGCCGAGTCGCCCCTCCAGGGCCACGGGGTCTTCGCGGCGGCCGACATCAAGGGGGGCACGGAGGTGCTCATGGAGGCGCCGCTGCTCCGCGGCAGGGGCCTGGGGAGGCTCTGCGCGGGGCGCGCCCGCCTGGACGGCGAGGGGAGGGCCGTCTACGACGGGCTCGTGGGGTACCACGAGAGCGACACGTGCCCGGTGCGGAAGAGGTGGAGTGCGAACTCGTAAGTTGGAAGATCCCCCACCCCCTTCACACAGCCAAGTCCCCACCACCCAAAAGCTATTTATTTACCTGAGCTGGCTCTCTAACGTGCTACTCCCAGCTTCGACCTCGCCGGGGGCTACAACGGCGTGTTCGCAATCGCCTCCAACTTCAACCACGCGTGCAGGACACGGAGGAACACCAGCTACGAGTGGGACGAGCGGAAGGGGCTGATGACCTTCACGGCCATCAGGGACATCGAGAAGGGGGAGGAGTTGCTGGTCTCGTACTGCAACTACCGGCACGTGCTCAAGGCCGTGTACGGCTTTGTCTGCCACTGCGGTGGCTGCGAAAACCAGGCAGTCGACCTGTGAGTAGAGTCGAGGGACTGCAGGTGGGCACCAAGCCGGGGAGGGAGGAGGGGGTTTAGCACTCGATGATTTTTCTTTTTGGAACTGTTTTTCATCATTAGAACCAACTTTTTTTTGGAAGAGGTGCTAGAGCAGAGACACCTCTGTACTCTAGTACAAGAATATCAGACTTTGCTTTGCCTTTGAGATGTCGTTTTTCATGACCCAACTTGCTTATGAATGTACTGAATTACTCCAAGGGCGCTGTAGGGCGCGTTCCCAGGTTGTCATATGAACTTAGTCAACATTCCATCCTTCTCTTTCTCAGTCCCCCGCCTCTGCCCGCAAGTTCATCAATTTCTGCAGGCAGGAATGATCTCGGTTTTAAACCTCGCGTATCACGAGTGCGAAATGACTCACCGGCAAGCATGGCCTGATGCATCATGAACTGCAAGGTCGTGAAACGGATGCCACGTAGCGAGCAGCAATATTCTACCTGCTCACCTTCAGATCCCGAGAGTGCGGGTTTTGTGTGTATTACTAAAGTGAAGTAAGTAGTCAGCTTGCGCAATCCATGGTTTGCAGAGCAAGCTGCGGTCTTTGACAATCCCTACCAAGACAAGAGGAGCAGAACGGCCAAGCCATACAAGCACCGCAGGACGCTAATCACAAGGACAATGCAACTACTAATCACGCCTTATACCCGACTCAGCCTACACCCGAAACAGAACGTCTTCCCCTCGCGACTTCGGCCTTTAGCCAGAGACATAATAGGCGCCGCGTGACAGTAAGAAAACCCCAAGTACATATGTAGAGGACGATCAATTATCCCTTCTGCGCCTTACCTTGTCCATTGCGCAAGTGTTCAACAAGTCCGACAAGTTGCCGTCCTTTGCCCAGCCCTTTGCAGTCCCAAGTCAGAAGTCCAAAAAGGGAGTTTCGCAGTTGTTAGTTTTCTCGGTTCGAAACGTCATCGATACTCGGCGGCCTATACACAAGTGAGGCCGGCTCTTTTTCCGGTTAGCGTCACCGATAGTCTCATCATTCCGGCGTGCGTGAAATCGGCGGGGTGAAACCGCCCATGGAACGAGAAACGGGGCTGTCGGTCCCGTCCGACTCGGAAAAGCCGTATGTCTCGGATCGGGAGGATGTTAGAGATCCACGGTCATATCTTGAACGCGATGTCGAGACGGGCCCCGGATCTGAGGATAAACCAGGTGGCTCGGATCTGCCGACGGCGCCGGGCATGGGCAAGAGTGCACCCCAAAACTTACACCAACACGGCCCGATCCCCAATGGAGGGATCGAAGCATGGCTCCAAGTCCTCGGCTCGTGGGTCACGTTGGTTGCAACCTGGGGCCTGGTCAACACGTTCGGGGTGTATCAGACCTACTACGAGACGACACTGCTCACGTCGTCATCGTCTTCCGCCATATCATGGATCGGCTCGCTTCAGGCCTCCCTGCTGATGCTAATCGGTGTTGTGGCTGGACCTTTGTATGATGCAGGATACTTCCGCCACCTGCTGATCAGCGGGCTCTTCCTCATTGTCCTCGGGCAGTTCATGACATCCCTGGGCACCGAGTACTGGCAGCTCCTCCTGGCGCAGGGCATCTGCGTCGGCGTGGGCATGGGGTTCATCATGCTGCCCTCGACCGCCATCCTGTCGCAGTACTTCACCACGAGGCGGGCGTTCGTCATCGGCATCTCCAGCTCGGGGAGCCCGCTGGCGGGCATCATCTTCCCGGTCATCTTCAGCCGGCTCGTGCCCAGGATAGGCTTCGGCTGGGCGACGCGCGTGATCGCCTTCATCCTGCTGGGGCTGAGCGCGATCCCGATCACGTTCATGAGGACGCGGGTGCCGCCGTCGGGCCGGAAGAGGGCGCTCATCGACGGCAGCGCGCTGCGGGACCCGGCGTTCGTGCTGTTCATGGTGGCGGGCTTCTTCATGTTCCTGTGCCTCTACACGGCCTTCTTCTACATCCAGCTCTTTGCCGAGATGCACCACCTGTCGAGCGCCGAGTTCTCGCCGTACCTGGTCACGCTGCTCAACGTGGGCAGCGTGTTTGGGCGGATCATACCAAACTACCTGGCCGACAAGGTGGGCAGCGTGAACATGGCGATCGTATGTGCTACCGTATCAGCCGTACTCGCATATGGCTGGCTGGGCATCCACAACCTGGGCGGCCTGGTGGTGTTTGCGCTGCTGTACGGGGCATTCTCGGGCGGGATTGTGTCTGTGCTGCCGTCAGCGATCATCACCATGTCGCCTGACATGTCGCGTGTGGGAACGAGACTGGGAATGATGTTTACGCTGACTGGATTCTCCATCTTGGTGGGCACGCCGATTGCTGGGGCGATCCTGGGCGGATACAGTGACCGGGAGTGGAGAGGAGTGATTGGGTATTCAGCGGCGGGACTGACTCTTGGTTCGATCTTGTACTTGGCCTCGAGGGCGGTTTCGTACAGGAGGAATGGGAAGCTGGCTGCGTGAAGCATGTGAGAGAGACAGACTGGGCGTGTGGCATTTACAATCCGGGTGTTTATTACAAAAAGCCTTTCATTTTGGTAACTCGGAATGGTTCATGGCATGGGCCGTTGGGGCTAGATGGCATCATGCTCGACGTGACTGCGGCTCGGTCTGTGTCGTGGGGTGGGAAGCTGTGATACATGCTCTTGGAGTCGAAGGGCAAGGAGGGTAGGCGCAGATAGAGCACGAGCCTCCCAATATGCGCAAGACACAGATTACAGACCTGCCCGCCCCTCAGGGTCCTTCGATTTGTGATGAACTACTCCGTAGAATTTGTAATCTTTTGTTCCCAAAAGTGTGCTGGCGCAGGTGCTGACTCAGTGCATCACAAACCAACTCATAGTAACAAGGCGGGACTGCCGCGCAACCGCGAAGGAGCGAAGGAGCAAAGGAGCAGAGTAGCCGCCAGATTGACTGTCTGACTGTCAGAACTGTAGGCAATCGCCCAGATCTCGATCAGTGCTCAACAGTATCAACTTGTGTTGATTGCAAACGGTTTGTCAGACACGACAAACCCGCCGGCAATTGATCCACCTGGAGGCTGCTGATGGCCGTAGCTGTAAGCCATGATTAAGCACGACGTCCCGGGCCAGCCTTCAGGGGCAGGCGACAAGGTACATGGGTACATGTGCACATACCCATGATACCCCACCATTCTGGCCCCGGCCGCACCTTGCAGGCCCCACACAGCTCCCACACAGCTCCCAGCGTGACACTGGCGCCCAGCAACGCGGCCAAGCGGCCAACCCAATCTGTTGCCGAGGGGCCATCACCCAAGCCGCCCACGCAGCACAAATGGAGATGATGATTCCAATACCACCCAAGCCATCATCGATGTCAGAGACATATCGGGTTCCTGAGAACTGCGAACGGGGACAGACGAGCACTCGTGCACGCCATTGACCAACCCCATCGCCTGTACGGAGCACACACGGCAGGCAGGTCTCGCCTCCTCTCGTTTCGAGTCCGAAGGAGGGGGTTGTGATGCGACCAACACACTGACGGCTGTCCCAGAAGGCTGGGAAGATAATGCTGCCCCACCACTGCGGCTATTTGCTTATACGGAGTGCTCCGTACGATCATGGGCTGAGACCAGACCCGGCGGACCAGGCACATTACGGGGCAGAAGGAAGACCCTTTGGGAGTGTGGTGCCGCTTCTAGAGCTTTCCCCCGTGGTGGGTTTGGATTGCCCTGACAACAGTTCGCTCGCTCGGCCGCATTCCCGGCCTAGCCACCTGCCCTAGCACCTGCCGTCACATTCGAGGAGCTCCATTGCGTCAAGACAGCCGGGCCCTCGACGGAGCTGTGCCTAGCTATATAAGGCACCCGGTACTCCCGTGCTCAACCATGGGCTCCAGTGCCCTGGCAACCTGCTCTTCATATACCCTTAGTACATACACATAATACATTCTTACTACAGTTGTATTGTCAGACCAGCACAAGACATCCAAGATGGCCCCCAAGATCGCAATTGTCTACGTGAGTACTCCACCTGCTCACCCCACCTCGCCCACAGCATATCGCATGTCACCAGCCGTCTCCCCACGCTGGTCTTACTTCAGTGCTAACAGGAACACCACATATAGTACTCGATGTACGGGCACATCAAGCAGCTCGCCGAGGCTGAGAAGAAGGGAATCGAGGCTGCTGGCGGCTCCGCAGACATCTTCCAGTACGTTGCGAACCCCCCTCACTCCTCTCACCACCCCCTGCTACGACCTTGATACTAACAAGCCCCGCCCCACAGGATCCCCGAGACCCTGCCCCAGGAGGTGCTGACCAAGATGCACGCCCCCGCCAAGCCCACCGACATCAAGGTGCTGGAGAGCCCCGCGACGCTCGCCGAGTACGACGGCTTCCTGCTCGGCATCCCGACCCGGTTCGGCAACTTCCCCGCCCAGTGGAAGGCCTTCTGGGACCAGACCGGCGGCCAGTGGCAGACCGGCGGCTTCCACGGCAAGATGGCCGGCGTCTTCATCTCCACCGCCTCCCCCGGCGGCGGCCAGGAGTCCACCGCCCTCGCCACCATGTCCACCTTCGCCCACCACGGCATCATCTACGTGCCCCTGGGCTACGCCAACACCTTTGGCCAGCTGACCAACCTCTCCGAGGTCCACGGCGGCAGCCCCTGGGGCGCCGGCACCTTCGCCGCCGGCGACGGATCCCGCCAGCCCAGCCCCCTGGAGCTCGAGATCGCCGGCCTCCAGGGCAAGCACTTCTACGAGACCGTCGCCAAGTTCTCGGGTTGACTACATGGAAGCAAGAAGGCGGACGACGGCAAGAAGGAGGGCGAGGGCGTGAAGGCTGCTGACTCGGCGGCGGCGGCGGCAGCACCTGCCGCTGCGGGTGCGAAGAAGGAGACGCCCGCTGCACAGCAACAGAACGGCGCGGCCAAGAAGGAGAAGGACGGCGAGGGCCCCTGTGGGCTCCCCAAGAAATGTACGATTCTATGAGATACCACAAACCATAAGCAAATAATTATAACGAATTGAGAAGCCACAGCCGAAGAGATGACGGTGAGCAGGTGAGCATGTGAGAGAAATGATTTGGAATATGCCTGGCTCCGAGTCTGCCTGGCGGGTCTCCTGCAGCCTCGGCGATATGTAGTGCAACATGCATGTACGTACGGCCTCGGAACCAAGTCAGAACTACGGAGTACCACCACCCAATGCCGACCAACACCCACACACCCGCCTCACAGCTTCGACTGCGGGCCCTTCAGCTTGTCCTCCCACCAAGGGTACACGCTCGGCGCGTTCTCCTCCATCGTCCCCGTGAACCGGGGCTCCCTCTTCTCAAGGAAGCTCCTCACCCCCTCGGCCAGGTCGTCCCCGCGGAACAGGTCATACAGGATCCGGCTCTCGAGCAGGTGCGCCTCCTCAGGGCTGCCCGCGCCGCGGAAGATCATGTCCCGCATCGTGACAACACTAACAGCGGAGCAGTCGCGCGCGACGCCCTCGGCGAGCGCCAGCGCCCGGGGGAGGACCTCGGCCCCGCCGCCCACGAGCTCGGTGAAGAGGCCGTCGAGGAGCCGGTCGGACGCGTCGTGCACGGCGCCCGTCGTGACGAGGTGCAGCGCGCGCGAGGCGCCCACCAGCCGCGGCAGGAAGAAGGAGCTGCACGCCTCCATGACCAGCCCGCGCCGCGCGAACACGAAGCCCACCTTTGCGGCCGCGGGGGCCACGCGGATCGCGCAGGGGAGCGTCATGGTTATCCCCACGCCCACGGCGGACCCGTTCAGGGCTGCTATCACGGGCTTGCGGCAGCGGTAGATGGCGAGGGCGGCGCGGCCGCCGCCGTCGCGGTCTGTAGCGCAAGTGAGTAAGTAAGTAAGTAAGCAAGCAAGTGGGTAAGTGATGAGCGAGTTTCTCATGGCAACAATAACCTCGGGCCTGGTTGGGAACGTGGGTGGGATAAGGGGGAGAGAGAGGAAAAGGAAAAGGAAATCATACGTGTGTCCCGGCTCACCGGCCCCGGGGCGTCCGGAGGCCCGTCGTCCCCGGATGCCTTGCCCCCGCCGGCGAGGTCCATGCCCGCGCAAAAGATCTTGTTCTCCGGGTCCGAGCCGGTGAGGACGACGCACCTCACGCGCGGGTCGGAGCTCAGCATGCCGAAGGCCTTCTCCAGCGAGGCCATCATGTCCACGTTGAAGGCGTTCTTGTGCCCCGGCCGGTTGAGGATGACCACGACCACGGGGGTGACGGACTTGGAGGAGGGCGGGTGGTGCGAGAGGCGCACTGCCGGGAGGGAGAGGTCCTGGTACGAGTCTGGGGGGTTCGCCATTCTTGCTGCTGCTTGCTGCTGTTGTGGGATTGGTTGTGTTTTTTGTTTTTGTGTTTCTGCCTTCAACTCATGTGCCTGCCTTCAGATAGATGCTTCAGAAATACCGTAGGTCAGTAATGAGTGAGTGAAGTTGAGTGTTTCTTATTCTTCCAACGATGGCGTCCGCACCGACCGTTTTGTAAATACCAAACTACGTAAAACGCCGTCGAGAGCCGTGTAAGTGAACTCGATTGGGGAAGAGGGGTCGGCACTCAGTGCTAGTGCTGTGCCGAGGTCGAGCTCAGCGAGACCCGCAACAGGCACCATATATGTGCGGCGTGCTTTCCCCGACGGACGGGCCTGGGTGAGAAGAAGAACCCTGGAGATCAGCATGAATGGACAAGACCACATGCATACATACATCATGTCGGACATGTGAGCCTCGGAATGCCCGGTCGAGCGAGTCCTTCGCACGCCGCTCTCAGGCGATGGATGACCGAGTGGCAGGACCTTATTATTAGACATGAGGACAACTTCATGACACACCAGCCAGCGTGAGCCAAAACAACTCTCAGGAGGTATCGAATTCATCGCATCGCACTGCACCCGCAACGACGGCTCACAGCAACCACCAGCCCAGCCCAGGGCATCTACATAAACTTGCTAGCCAGGCTCAACAACCCACCGCTGCCGCCGCCGCCCTCGCCGCCGCCGGCGCCCGTCTTGCTCTTGAGGTACATCTTGAGCGCCATCTCGCCCGCCTGCTGCACCGCCGACTCCTTGGACGTGTCGGAGCTGACCTTGCCGGCCGCCTGCTGCTGCTCGAACAGCTTGCTGGCCTCGGCCATGGCGAGGCCGATGAACTCGCTCTTGGTCGACCCACCGCCACCCCCAGAAAACATCTTGAGCGCCTGCAGCGCCGCCGCGTTGCCCATGCTCGACGAGTCGTGCTCGCTGCCGTCGTCATCGCCGCCGTAGAGTTTCTGGTGGTGGCTCACCGCGGCTGCGATGTGTGTGTCAGCCAGCCCCCTCCTGTCCATGTATATATGTGTGGATTGCGTTGCGTACCCTGCTCGTCAATGTCCTCGGTGGCAAGCTGGTTCTTCTTGCCCAGGAAGCTCCCGATCACGGAGGAGAAGAGGTCCGAGCCGCCGGACCCGCCCGCGCTGCGCGCAGCGTGCTCCGCCGCGCCGGTGAAGTCGTCGTCATCGTCGTCGAAGGGGACGGTGCCTCCTCGGGGAGGGACTGCAGGCACGTGTTAGTTCGGTCTTGGTTGCTTCCTCCAGCCTTGTTCTGGGTGGTCAACTTGCGCTGTCCCCCGCTGCCACCGTAGCTGCCGCCTGGTGTGTCGCGGTTCGCGTCAGTATTGCACGTTGGAGCTACGAGTCCGGTGCTTGAAGCTTACTGCCGAATTCTGTACGGCCGGACGGTGGTTAGTTGGTGCATCGTGAAGCTCCTACCCCCCCTCCCCCCCGAGCTCGAGGCTTGGCAGGGCCCTCTTCTCGAACGCGGGGTAGCTCCCGAGGACGCGATGGTACTGTGCTTGCTTACCAGGCTGTTCAGACATTTTGATGTCGTGTTGTGAAAAGTATGGATGTGGGTGATTTGTATGCCGGGATGATTAGACGTAGGGGGATAAAAAGGACTCAAGGGCGGAGTGGAAGCTTGTGCCAATTCTTGGAGACGAGTATCCGTAAATATACACACGTACGTCACTCCACCTCCTGCTTGCTTGCTTGCCGCATTGAGGGAGCCGTCACTCAACCCACCGGACCCCCTTTTGGCAGCCCTGCACTGGCTGGCTGGCTGGCCGAGCGCAGTGACCAAAAGGGGCGGGGCCAGACAACCAGACAACCAAACAGACAGATAGGCCGGCTGCGCAATGCTGAAACCCAGGCGGGCGGGCGGGTTGCAGGCCTGGGTAACAGACCGCCAGACTAACAGCATTTGAGTGCAGATCAACCCCCCGAGATCCCTGGTTTCCCGGTTCTGGAATCTGGACAGCATCAGATTAACGCCAGGCCCCCTCGCCTCGGCCTTGTTCTGACAGCAGGTACCTAGGTATGTAGTAGCCATGAACCATCTCTCTATTTTAGTCACACCAGAAGGGGGGCCAATAGGGCCCTGTGCCGCACCGAGACGCGCCTGCGCACAGGCTACATTGCTGCACCCATGGGAAGCTCTGTGTGCAGACAAGCAATAATAAGTGAGGGGTTGTTTTGTGTACTGTGTAAGGATGGGCTTGTGCATGTGGGTGACGGAAAGTGGGGTGGAGGTCTGTCTGTCAGTCTGTACAGTGTGCTGTGGCTGAACCTTACTCGAGCTCTGGTCCCTGGTGTCAATAACAATCGCAGCTGTCGGCAGCATTCTCCCGACTTCTTCCCTACCGCAGTGCCGCATGAAGGGTTTCCACGTCGTCTTATGCGAAAAGGCGTGTCCTTGGCGCAGTGAGCCCAGGGCGCCTACTGTTCTTGTTTGTGCCAAACACCACACGTGGGCCTGGAAATCCTCCCACATGGGTTGAGCTCGGACAGGCTCGTCAGCAGACCGAAGTGCTTGGTGGGGGGCTGCGGATAACACTGACCATGATCATTTAATGTCTGGGTCCTCGACCACGCTGCCGTGCTCCTCTCACGCACAGCCCCACGGATTGTTGAACGTAGTTTGATGGGCGCGAGTGACCCAAAAGTGATCACCGTGGATCCGCCTCGCTCCGAAAGACCAATGGAAAGGAGGGCTGTTTGAGAATTTATCCTGGTTTGTGAGGGAAGGCGGGTCAAGGTCCCTCGACCGCCCAGAGTCCCCAGTTGTGAATAGTAAAGAACCTTGGGAGTCAAAAGGCTCATACAGGTATGACTCTGAACACATCTCGTCAGATACATGTTCCAGACTGGATCGAGCCCCTTTGCGGCTTATATCTCTCCTCGCCGTCAACACTCCAGGTGCCACCATTGGCTTCCTTCCCTTCCCAAGGGGGATCGTCAGTTGTACCAACAAGATCTGCATAGTCCATGAGGAATATGCCCCGAAAAAGAGTGGTAAAATCCAGTAGTAACCAGGCTCCACGAGTCCTCTCAGGAAAGGGTAGGCCCGGTGCGACACGTTGTATACGAACAACCTAGGCCCGGCCATCATGTCGCCACCTGAAAGCCTATTCCCTTCCGGTCCGAGTCCCATGGATGCAATGCAACAATTCCGCGCCTCAATGACCGGTCATTGGCGCATATTCGCTCCTTTAACGCCCCATGTCTTGTTGCCCGTGGGCCGCTTTGTATCCCCAGGGCCAATCTCATAACGGCCCGGCCCTGTAGCACCAAGACAGCACCGTAAAACACCACCATCTGCTGGCGGCCGCCGCCACATTATTTTGGCCGATGTGTCCAACGGGAACCATGCATCGTTCCCCCCCACCCCCATGGGGACCCGTAGCTCGTGATCTCGTACCCCCCGGGTGGTCTGGAGGGTTACCGCCCGCACATGTCCCAAAATGAGAAACGCCTTCCGCGAGGATCTATCCGTAGTGGTTGATTTTGCCATCCATGTGGCAGGCTCCCAAGAACGCCTGTAAGGAACTACAATGAGTTATTTTCTGTCGGCACACCAGCCGGCCACTTTGACGGGGCTTGAGCCAACAGTACATGTGAGGACTTGTTGGCAAATGTGATGATGGAACCGGCGATAGACGCCTTGGTCGTTCCGTCATGACTGCCCGTGGTCTAGCAACTGGACTGACCCTCCCATGCCATGACCACCACCACCTCCTCCTCCTGCTGGGCCAGAGGTGCTCTTTTTCTTCTCCTTCTTGGCCCATCGGAGGCCACAAGCATTGCACAGCGTCTTGGGGCCACTTGGGCCCTTGCGCCATTCCGGGGAGTCAAGCGTGCCTATATTAGCATGTCAGAGACCGTGCCATGACTACAACAGTTTTATAATCACGCCTAGCGCGGACTTACCACAATCGGTGCAGACATATTCCTCCGCAACCTTGAGCTTCTTCTTCTTCTCCCCAGTTCTTGGGTCCCTGTCCATGGGTATTGCTATCCCGGCATCGCCCTTGATAAGAGTGGGGCTCGCGTTGCCCGTCGTTATGCCGCGGCTTCTCTCGCCCTCGTTGTATCGCAAGCCCGTGAGCCTCTCTATATTAGTGTCACCATGAGTGCCCTCGTAGCGCGCCATTTTGTCCCTGATAGAGTCAGGCCGGCTCCCTGCTGTGACGCCCTCGAGATTCTCCCTCGTCAGTGCTATGTTGAGCGGGTTGGGCCTCTCAGGTGGGGGCATCGCTGCCGCGTCCGAGTTGGAGCGATAGAAGGTCGGGCTCTGTCCGATAGGCGTCATGTTGGTCGACTCGGATGGTGTCATATCCCCTCGGCCATCCTGGCTCTGGCGCCAGCTGCGCGCCGCCTCCTCGGTCTCCGCCTCCTCCTCCCTGCGGAGCTCGGCAATCCTCCTCCTGAGGCGCTCGTTTTCTATTTTGTGTTCCAGGAAGGAGTCGAGGAGGGTGGCATTCTCCTGCTGCTGGTAGGCGCGCGCCATGAAGAACACGGCCTGGCAAAAGGCTGACTGGTTGTTGGGGTTGGCTGCAAACCTGGCGGCGGCAATGTGTGCGTGGCCGACGGACTCAAAGATCTCATAGCTGCCATCCTTCTTCTTTAACCTGTGGAACAATCTCATCTGGCTGCCCGACGCGATAGCCTCGTTCAGCTCGGTCAGGAACAGGCCCTGGTCGTCTGGGTGTGTAAAGTCCTTGAGGTGCCTCTCGAGGACGTCGTCGGGTGAATAGCCGGTCAGGGCTGTGACGCTTGGGGACACATGTTTGACGCGGCCGTCGGCGTCCAGGATCATCAGCAGGTCCTTGAGCTCCTCGACGACCTTGGCGGGCCAGTTCCTCCTCTTTGTGAACTCGGTCAGGGTCGAGCCGCCGGGCATCTGTGCAGATTGGGTCATGGCGAAACTGGTCATGGGCTGAGGGCCAGCTCCAGGGCCGGTGTCTTCGGACGGGGAGGGTTGGTAGTTCTGCATGCTCATAGAGCCGGAACCGAGGCCGTTTTGCTGAGCCAAGGACCCGTGTTGTGGGCTTGCGGCCCCACCCATGAGCTGGGGATTAAAGGTGCTGGACATGCCCATGCCTTGGTCGTCGGACTGGTCCAGGCTCATGGACATTGTCGCATCGAGGTTGAACATGAAGTTATCGTGGAGGGCCATCATGTCTTGGCCGTCGTTCATCTATAGGACTCGAGGGACTCTGGGTCAGCCAAGCATTGGGCGGTTTGCAGAGGTAATAATCATCAATAGGCAGGGCGTTGAACAGAGGCGCGCGGCGGGTGTTGGAGAGGGCGACCCCCGGACCCCAAGACCGCGGGCTGCAGCTGCAGCTGCAAGGACGACATGCACTCATAGCCACGAAGCCGGTCGAGGTCGGTCTCTGGCAGTCTGGCCGCTCGTGCACGAAAGAAGCAGCAGCCAAACCAAAGTTTGCTGCTGCAAGAGCAACATGAGGGAGGAGTGGGGCACCGAGCCGAGTCGAGCCTGGGCTGGACTGGGCCGGGCCTCTGAGCGGAATGGATGGAATGGGCAGGAGAGGCAAGAATGACTTACCCCGATCCCGTTCATGTCTTGCATGCCCATATTGCCAAAGTCGAACATGTTGGGCGCAGGCCCCGGGGGAGGCTGCGGGGGCCCTTGAGACATCGCGGCCTAGTCTTGCACCTACAGCAGGGCCCAGGCACGGATGACTGGTGCAGCTGTCGGGTCTACACGATAAGAGTGAGTGGGGACGTCGGCCGTACATGTATGAAGCATGTGGACTGTAATATATGGTCGCTTTGGACAGGGCTGTGCTGCTGCTTCTTCTGCTGCTGCTGCTTCTCCTGCAGCTGCTGCTGGGCGTGATCTTGCAGCACCTGAGGATGCCCTTGGGTGTTTGTCCTTGTCTTCTCGCCAGTCGGGCGCGGAGACGTGCCGGCGGCAGGCGGGCAGCAGCTGGACAGCAATACGGAGTACGGTTGGGTATCGCTGAGGTGAGCTGGGGCACGCTGAGTCGCGGTATTCCAGGGCGTTTCCCACCGGGTTGGTGGTAAGGGCCTCTGAGGAGCCGTAGCGAGGAGCAACGGCGAGCAACCAAGACTCTCTCTCTCTCTCTCTGGTAGCGGGCAGCAGGCAGCGGGCAGCGGGCAGCAGACGCGGCAGGCGCAGATGGCCGGGAATAAACAGATGCAGACAGGCCTGGTGGAGGAGGGCTCAGGATCGAAGGAGCCTGCAGGTGGACATGCGATCTTTCTCGGGAGAAGAAACTATGGTCAGGTAACAGAGGCCTTTTTTTCTTCTTCTTTGGCGCCCATAGACTAGGCCGTCCCCTTATATTATGTAAAACGGACGAGCCAGGCCAGGGGGACGGGGAACAAGACGGGGAAACGGGGGCAGCCGCCAGAAAAGATTGCAGAGCGAGTACCCGGTGCGGTGCGGTGCGGTGCTGTGCGGTGCTGTGCTGTGCATGTGGTCCCTCAACGACGAGACATGGTGCTATCCAAGGTATCCATGCGCAGCGGGCAGCTCTGGCGCAGCGTAGCGTAGGGCGCATGTGTCCATGTCCCAGGCAGGCCGTCATAGGCATTGCGCATGCAGGCGCGGCAGGACGGACAAGGAGGAGCTAGGCGAGCAGACCGGCAGGGCAGGGCAGGGCAAGGCAGAGCTAGGCCGGAGCTCAGAGGGGGGACAAGGGGACCAGAGAGGTGGGCGGCAGGGAGGGTAGGAGGGGGAGGGGACATGGGATTTCTGACTGCGGCAATGGGGAATTGCAAAATCCAGTCCCAGGCCTGCAGGTCCGGCGACATCTCCACTAAAAAGCTGCCCGACGCCTAAGCGTCAACGCATCTAGGCTCGGGCACCCGATTCATGTGAAGAGAGAGAGAGTGAGAGAGAGAGTGAGAGAGTGAGTGAGAGAGGGAAGAGACCATAGATGCCAGCCCAACCCAGCCCGCACTCACTCACTCACTCATTCACTCCCTCCAGGACCTGCCGCCCTCTCCAAGCTCGTCCTGTCGGCCTTGTTTCACAGACAGTTGCGTGACACAGTTGTCTGCTGCTGTTTTTGGTCCCCTCTTCGGAGGCGACAATGCCAACAGTCCCCGTCTCCGTCCCCGTCCCCGTCCCCGTCGCCACGGCCACCTGCCAGATCTCAGACCTCAGACCCCAGATCCCAGGCCCCAGGCCCCAGACCACCTCCACGGTCCCGACCCTGCCGTGGATCAGCAAGCTGTCGGCTCGGAGTCACACGACATCTTCTCTGTCGCTTGCACGAGCACAACCTCAAGTTGTCATGGACCCTTTCGACGGTGGGACGAACACTGCCCACTTGTTGACCACAAAATATCCAAGGCCTGGGTACCCGTCTGATCTGAAAGTCCCCTGATGCATCCTGCAGGACCTGTTACGGGAATTAGCTGGCTGCTGCCTCTTCAAATGAGTATTGCCCGGAACTGGAAGTTTGCAAGCAAGCCCCGCTTGGGTTGCTGTGTAACCTGTCAAGGGAAAGTCGGGCCCAGCGAGCTGAGAGCGAGCTGAAGATTTCCCACTCGGCCAAAAATGGGTCCCCGGACCATAAGCTCCGGTTTGTGGGCATTGATCCGTAGCTTCAAACCTTGCCCGCCGAATCCAGGTTTCCGTGCCAGGCTCGTTGCGAAGTCAAGACACTACTCGAGTCAATCAGTACAATGTGACGAGACTAGAAATAACAAGAAAAGACTTGCTGGTTAAGCGATGCGGCCCAGTGAAAGATAATTGGCGGCATCTGCCATGTCCGTTTCTCTCAACATTTTGTGAACTTCTAGCAGGTTAGGGCCGACCAAGGTACCCGGTAGCCTATACCGGAGGCCAGTAGCACTTTGCCGAGTCGATCCAACTTGTAACCACACGCATTAATAACAACAAGCCCACTCTGTCAGTAAGAAATTTGCCTGCGTCCTTAGGCTTGTATCGTCTTCAAGTGAGGTGTCGAGTCGTGTGGAGCCAAGATGAGGAAGGTGACTGATCGCAAATGCCGTGGTGTGCTTTTACAGGGCTTCACCTGCGTCGATCTGTACCAAAGAAATGACCATGTACGTGTATAACTTCGCAAGTAAATGTGATACATTTTCTCCTCTTAGCCGATATTGTTGGCGGCTAGAAGAATTCCGTGTCGACTGTGTAAGTAGACTGACGAGCGACACCGAGCAATGCCCATGGCCGTTGATAACCCTTCGTAACCCTGAACACAGTGGTTTGGGTGAGGGGGGGGAGGTGTCAGGCGCTTGCTGGGACTCAGGCAGCAGCCGCCCAGCTGACCTGGCGTCTGGTCCCACTTTTGTCGGTTGCTCCAAGACGCGCCTGCCTTGGACTTTAATTGAGACGGCACGCGTTTGCCTCAGACTGACAGAATTCGAGCTGAATCTGACGGAGGTCTGGCTTTTTCTTCATTCTCACTCAACGTCCTCATTTCTACGAGACTGCCATCCCATCTATCCTTCACCACTCACATCAGCAAACCTCTATCGCGTCTGCCCTCCACGTAAACTACCATCAACAAGTCCGTGGCTGCTCTCATGAGCATCGCCACCCCTCCCTTGTCAAGATGTCACGCATCGAGGGAATGACGATCCAGGGAGTCCGCTCCTTTCATCCCCAGGTCCGTGAGCAGATCACATTCAGCACCCCACTCAATTTGATCGTTGGGTACAACGGCTCTGGCAAGACAACAATCATTGAGTGTCTCAAATATGCCACGACGGGCGAACTGCCACCCAACACCAAGACCAATGGCGCATTCGTCCACGATCCCAAGCTCGTCTCGGAGGGCGAAGTCCCAGCCGCCGTAATGCTCAAGCTCAGGGCGACAGATGGCGCGAGATACGTCATCACCCGCCGCTTCAAAGGCGCCGTGACCAAAGCTGGAGCCCGCAAAATGACAACTCTCACGACTTCGGTCAAGATCGAACACCCCAACGGAGAGATCCACACAGGCTCGGTTAAGCAGGGTGAAGTCGATGCATTGGTTCCCAGACACCTGGGTGTGTCACCTGCCATCCTGGAGTTTGTCATCTTCTGTCACCAGGACGAGGCGCTCTGGCCCATGAGCGAGCCTTCCGCCCTGAAGAAGAAATTCGACGAGATATTTGACGCCCAGAAGTACACCAAGGCTATCGACGAACTCAAGATGGTTCGGAAGAAGAGGGCCGAGCAACTTCGTAACCTCCAGGTTGAACACAAGCACAACGAGGAGAACAAGGACAGAGGTCTGAAGAACGAGAAGCTCTGCCAGAAGCTGCAGCAGGAGATCTCGGAGTTTCGCGAACAGGTCGATAAAATCGAAACTGAAGTGGCCGAGCTTCGCAAGAAAGAGAGGGATTGTCGTGAAGATGCCAACAATTTCTTGAGCATTGTGAATGACCTCAAATACAACCAGGACCAGTTGGACTTCAGGCGCAGTAATGTCGAGGAGCTTCGAGAGTCTATCGACATGATGACCGAGGATGACGATGAGCTTAGGAGAGCGCTCGAACAATACGAGAGCCGTCTCGGCCGACTGCAGGCTGATATTGACCAGAAGTCCCTGGATTACCGAAGCTTACAAGGTGAGGTCAGTCGGGCCGAGAGTGACTTGAACATCAAGCTCGGGGAAAAGGGCAGGCTCCAGTCAGACAAGGACAAGTATGAACGCCAGCTGCGTACCCGCGTCGACATGATCCAGGCTGCAGCGCGATCTCATGAGATCCGAGGGTTCGATGGTGACTTGGACGATGAACAGGTTCGACTCTTCAACGGGAAGATTCAGGGCATCTTCAACAGCAAGAAGAAGGAACACGAGCAGCTGCAAGGTCGAGTGTCACAAGAGGCGGACGCGGCGAACAAGGGCATCTCGGAGCTGGAGAATGCCAAGAATGCCAAAGCCTCCGAGAGGACATTTGCGAAACAGAAGAAGGCCGAGAACGACCGAAAGGTCAAGCGTCTACAAACGGAGATGGACTTGGTCAAATGCGATGATGTTCTCGTCGACCGTCTTGAAAGCGACAAGGTTTCGCTCAACGATCGCTATCAGCAAGCTCAGGCCGGACTGGCCAGCAACGACTGGGACGAGAAGATACGAGAGACTCAAAAGGAATTGCGCGAGTTGGAGCAGCAGGGCGACGACCTAAACAGCGAGCTCGTCAATTGTACTCGGCTCGCTTCCGAGCTCGCACAGTTGGATCTGCGAAAGACGGAAGCCCGAGACCGCGAGGCTAGCCTGAACAATCTCACCGCGCGCTGGAGCAAGATGCTCGATGAGCAAGTGCGACCTGGCTGGGAGCATGGGTCGCTCGAGGCGGATTTCAAAAACGAATCGACCGCCAGGACTGCCGCTCTGAACGAGAAGAAGGAAGCATGTGACCAGCTGCAGCAGAAACTCAAGCAAGTCGACTACAAGCTCTCCGAGGCTAGTAAGCAACATCAGAGATTGGCGGACAACAAGAAGAGCAGCGAGAAAGCTGTCCTGGACGTCCTCCGGGAAACGGTCGAAGATGCATCAGCTGTCTCCATTGACGCATACGAGGAAGAACTTGAGGACCTGGAGGCGCATAAGATGGAATTGGAGAAGGATATCAGTTTGTTCGATCATATGAAGTCGTACTGGACTCAAGCGCAGACTTGTTTGCAAACAAAGAACAAGTGCCACATGTGTGATCGAGGCTTCGACGAGGACCGCGCCAAATCGAAACTCGTGGCCAAAATCACCAAACATCTCAACGATGAATCGAAGGCCGAGTTGGAGCAAGAGTTTCGCGATGTCGACAAGAAGCTGGAGCGCTTGCGGGCAGTCCGTCCAAAACACGATGCCGCTCTGCGGCTTGGAAAAGAGCTGCCAGCAAGTGAGAAAGTTATTGACGAGGCCAAGAGGGAGAGGGAAGACATCTTGGGGAAACTAGAGGTTGCGGATAAGCATCGGAGGGAAACGAGCGAGAAGTTGGAGGCGCTGCAGTCTGTCTCAAGCGCCGTGTCCGAAATCACCCAACTCTTCAATGCGACCAGGGATGCGAAAGAGCAGATTGAGCAACTGGAAAGGTCTCAGAGGCAGTCTGGTGGAACGACACGCACGCCTGGAGAGGTGGATGAAGCCCGAACGATCTGCATGGAGGAGACGCGCAAAGTCAAGAAACGCCTTGACAATATGTCTGCAGACAGGCAACGGAGCCGCGACCTAGTCAGCAGCCTCGAGCTTGAGAGTAGCAGGCTTGACGGCAAGATTGCTCAAGCAAGGCAGCTGATGGACAAAAAGCGGAACCTCTCTGATGAAATCAAGGCATTGCGAGAAGACAATCACACGCAGGATGCGAGAATCGCCGAGATTGATGCCCAACTCACTGACCTTCAGCCACAAATCGACGCAGCCAGAGCGCAGCGGGATGATGCTCTTGCTACGGGGCGCAGGAAGGCAGAGAAGATAGCCGAGGAACGCGATACTGTTGCGCGCACGCTCAACCAACTGAAGATCATCGAGGATGACATTCAAGACTATTTGGATCGCGGCGGAGAATCCAATCTGGCCTCTATCGAGCGATCCATCCAGAACTTCAAGCAGACCCTCGCTCGTCTCAAAGGCGAGATGGAGGAGCTTGTGAAGCGCATAAATGCGGAGAAAGAGGAGCTGTCGCAAGGCGATTGGAAGAAAAAGAACATCAGAGACAACATCAAGTTTCGAGAGAATGTGGCTGTCCTCGAGGAGTTGGCCAAGAAGGTCGAGCACCTCGAGTCGGAAAACGCAGAGCAGGACTATGACCGCCTCATGGCGGAGGCCAGAAAATACGAAAAGAGGATCAACGTTCTGGCAGCGGAGAGGAGTGAGGTCATAGGGAAGAGCCGAGCTACCGATGTCAATTTGAAGCAGCAGATCGAGCTCTACGAGCAAGAATACCAGGGCGCCGAGGAAAAGTATCGGGCTAGCCGCGTCAAGCTATCGACAACCAAGGGCGTCATTGAGGACCTGGCCACATTTAGCGACTCGCTCGACAAGGCCATCATGCAGTTCCATTCTATCAAAATGGAAGAGATCAACCGCATCGCGGGCGACCTCTGGCGCGCGACGTACCAGGGCACCGACGTCGACACCATCGCGATCCGCTCCGAGAAGGAGACCACGACGTCGGCCAACCAGCGGCGCAACTACAAGTACCGGGTGGTCATGATGAAGCGCGACACGGAGATGGACATGCGCGGGCGCTGCTCGGCGGGCCAGAAGGTCCTGGCCAGCATCATCATCCGGCTCGCGCTCGCCGAGTCGTTCGGCGTCAACTGCGGCGTCATTGCGCTCGACGAGCCCACCACCAACCTGGACAGCGACAACATCCGCTCGCTGGCGCAGAGCCTGCACGGCATCATCCGGGCGCGCCAGGCGCAGGCCAACTTCCAGCTCATCGTCATCACGCACGACGAGGAGTTCCTGCGGTACATGCGGTGCTCGGACTTTTGCGACTCCTTCTTCCGCGTCAAGCGGGACGAGAACCAGTGCAGCACCATCACGAGGGAGAACATCTCTATGATCACTGAGTAGATGGAGGCCGCAAGGAGGGCTTACATAGCCCAGAGAGAGACAGAGAGAGAAAGCATGTATCTGTTTGCGTGTGGGATATTTTGCTCTGCAAGTCTGGCGTTTTGGCATCCAGGAGAAGGAATGGCATTTCCGGTTGGTTTTTGTTTGCTACTTTGCATAGCATCATGAGATAGATCATCATACTCTTGCTGAGGATTTGTTTGCATTCATACGTAGTGCTTGCATGTGTGAATGTGGCTGGCCCTGGTGCCCATTTTTGATTTATGGTGTTGCCCTTTTCCTACCTCCCTTCGATAACCCATCTCCATTTCGGATAACATATGGCTCGCCGGATACGAGCGTGCGTTCTAGCACAAATGCGATCCGCGCCGCGCCCTCCAGCGAGCGGTGGTACAGTTAACTCTTGACATGCTCGACTCAAAGCCCTACCCAATCGCAACCCCTCAAGCGGCCGTTCTCGTTCTGTTTTCATCGTTCGGCTCGTCATCATCTGCCCAACTACTCTAATATGCCCCCCCCCTGCACCTTCACTCCGGCCTTGCCATCACCGCCGCCTGAGCGTCTCCCCGCCCGCCCCCCTCGTCCTCGTCCCCGTCCCCCTTCGTCTTCTTCGGGCTGGAGCGCATGGGTATGCAGTGGAACCATAGCTCCTCGGCGACCGCCTAGGCCGCCGAGTCGTCGCCTGCCTCGGCGGTGCTGCTGTCCTCCGCCGCCGCCTCCGTCTTGTCTCCGCTCTCGCCCTTACCGGTGTCTTTCTTCGCGCCGTCGTCGTCGTCGCCGCCGGCGGATGATGATGATGGGGCGGCATCCTTGTCCGCCACAGCTGTCGTCGACGCCTCGGCCTGCTCCCCGGCGGGGGTTGGTGTTGGTCCCTTGGCCTCGGGCTTGGCCTCGGGGTCGTCGCCCGCGTCCTCCTTCAGCCGCTTGTGGCTGCCCCCGGCCGCGCCCGCGTCCTCGTCATCCTCCGCGCCGCGCTTCGACGAGGGCGTCGGGCTCGCGCGCGCGGACAGCGTGCCGGGGGAGGAGGAGGAGGAGGACGTCTTGGTTTCCTTGTCCTGCTGCTGCTGCTGCTGCTGCTGCTCGGCGGCGGTCTTGTCTGCTGCCTCCTCCTTGGTGGCGTCGTCCCCGCCTCCCTCGGACGAGGAGGCAGGCGTCATGATGGCTGCGCCGTCGTCGCTCGAGTCGGGCGTCTCGGCTGCTGCGGGCGCGGGCGCCGCCTCGTGCTTGCGCCCCACGGCGGCCTCGACGTCGATCCCGCGCACCTCCATGTTCCCGCCGCTGCTGAGGCTGAAGCTGCTCGACGCCGGCGCCTGCGGGCCCATGTCCGCCGCGCCGATGTGGTCCGGCCCGCGGGCGTGTGGCGCCTCTTCCTCGTCGGGCATCTCCTCGTCTGACCTGTCGCTGCTGGTGTCCTTGGGCTGCTCGCCTTCGGCACCGGCCCCGGCCTCGCCCATAGGGGTGTCGTTGTCCGCAGCGTCTGTGGAGGAGCCGTCGTCAGCAGGTGACGCCGTCGCGCCCTCTGCCGACGATGACGAGGTGACGACCACCGGCCCGGACCGCTGCAGCTGGCTGACGGGGACCACGCCGGCCCTCTGCTCCTGGCGGATGAGCTCGCCCTGCGTGATGACGCGCTGCTGGGCGGCCGAGCCCATCGGCGGTATGCCGTTGACGGAGATGGACACGGTCTCGATGCTACCGACGCCGTTGGGCCCGTCTATCGTCTCGGTGCTCTCGGTGCGGGTCTCGAACTGCCGCGAGGACTGCTGCGAGGAGCTTCTCTGGGATGGTGATGATGACGACGCCGCGGGGCTCTGGTTAGACGCCAGGGGCGACGGCCCACCGTCGGAGCCCAGCGTGGACGACTCCCCGGACTCGGACCCTCCGTCGCCGTCCCGGTTGCCACTGGACCGCCTCTGGAGCCAGGGGATGGGGGTCAGCAGGGCGCCGCCCAGGGCCTCGTCGCTGCCGATGGCGTTGCCGTTGCTCGTGCTGACCCAGGCCATGGAGGTGTCGGGCCCGCTCTCGTGGTTGCCATGGCCCTGGTCCATGACGCCGTTGGGCACGCCCAGCGTCATGGACGACATGTCCGGGATGGCGGGCGGCAAGGGGTAGGTGTTGTTCCCGCTAGTAACGTGGACGACCCTGTCGACGGCGTGGAGGTACGAGGGCAGCGACTTGTAGTGCTGCCTGGGGCCGAGGATCAGCTCTGCCAGGCGCTGGATGGTGTGGGGAGGGTAGGTGTGGAAGGACTCGTTCAGGACGCCGTTGATCTCGGCGATCATGGCGACGATCTGGGGCGGGAGGGTGCCGGGTTCGGGGGCTGATGTCGCTGCGGCGGACGGGGCGGGGGCGGGAGGTGGCGCCGGGGCGGAGGTGGGCGGTGTGGGAGCAGCATTCTCCTTGTTGGTGTCTTGTGACGAGTCTGCCTCGCTGGTGGGTTGGTTGGGCGCTGATGACGGAGGCGGCTCAAGGGCGTCTGACGAGGGGAGAGGGGCGAGGAACCGTGGCTCCTGGGGGGAGGGGGCCACTGGCGAGGCTGGTTCGGGGATGCGTGGGATGGGGAAGTCGTTCTTTGCGATCTGGCGAGAGGCAGGTCAGTCGGTCGCTCAGTTGGTGGACAGTAAGGAGGCCGGCCATACCTTGTCGAGACGCGATATGATGGTGCTGAGCAGGAGCGGCCATGTCGAGCTGTGAAGGCGGGCACGTGTCAGCCACGAAGCTATCGCAAACACAGGACGACGACCTACTAGTCCATGGGATTGCCAGCTGCGAGCGACCGCAGGGTCTCGTCGTCCGAATCCATCTCCATGGTGTGCGGGTTGCTCGATGGCCGGGAGTGGGGACGTGACGTGACGTGAACGTGGCGCGCGATGTTCACCTCTCACCTCACTCAGCCTCCTTGCGCGATTGGAAAAAGCTGCCCAGTGCGTTGCGATGCGATGCGCTGCGATTGATGCGACCGACCAGCCTGGGATCCGGCCGGGGCCACCTGATAGGACAACCGGCCACAGCAGGTTGCAGGCCAGCTGCTGCTAGCGCGGTGGGAGCCCCAACCTGCTAGCGCGGCGGCTCTGGCTCCCCTACGGGCTGGGGCCCACGCTTCCCTGCGGATCGACCCCAGGTTTACCTTCCTCTCAAGCTTCCATTATATCGTCTACTGCACGTTGCTGGTTGAAACTCCTGTGTCTGGATCCGCCCAGAGCCTCTTCTGACCCGTGCCACGACCACAAGAATGGTTGGTTGTACAGGTCCGTTATACTGCACAATTGAATGCAGGGCATACATACTACGTATATGAGCCTGGCCTGGCCCTGGTGGGCCTGAAATCACGCCTCATCTGGGTCCACTTCGGGAATGATATATAGTGTAGGCGTGTGGCCCCATCAATTTGGCTGTGGGCCCCCAATGTCAACAATGCTCCTTGAGGCGAGCACGCAAGGTCGTGCGCTGCCCAGTGCTTCTGGATGTTTGCCCGGGTGGGAATTATCAACCGGTGGTCATCTATTTTGGCTGACTGAGAAATATCACGGAATGAGCGTTGGTCTGTTTTTGGGTACCAAATATTTCCAGCCATATAACGTCCAGTTCCACTGATACCGAGGCTCGCCCGAGTGGATTATCTAGGTGGTGATTTGCGAAGCTCCTGGAATTTTCACAAGTCGGCCGGCGAGAAATGGAGGCTCTGCACGTAAGCTCACAATTCGTTTCAACTCCCAGTCACTACTAGCCAAAATGGCTGGCAGTTGCGATTGTTATCAGTGGTGTGACGGCACAGTTCATCGGATGGCTGGCTTGAAGCAGCTCAGCCCAGCTCAGCCCGGCATAGTCACTTGACTCCAGAGGCCTCGCGCCATATTCAATGGACGAACCAAAAGCTGTGAGAGATCGGATATTTGACGGGTTCCGACTCGCGCGTCGAGATTGTTGTTCACGCACGACCGGCCGGCCCCACAGGCACAGACTGCCGACTGCCTCGTTACTGCGACAGTATTAGACAGGACTGAACATGATGTTTGCCGCCTTGTTAATGCATCGAGGGCTCTATCGGACGGGGCCTTTGCGTGTTGAACGGTCACCGTCGTGGTCGTCGTGTTAAAGTTTGGCAGGATCGGCACTTGACAAAACCTGTCCGAGTCCTGGTCCTGCCACCCACCAGACGGGCTTGCCAGCGCTACTGCAAAACAGCGCTGTCATCATGATCGGCACCCTGCAGGTCGTGTTGGCGGGAGTGCTGCCACTAAACCACACTAACTGCTATTTTTATCTCGTCCGCCCACCCGCCCGCCTGCTCCCGTGCCGTCTCGCCCTGGCCCGCCACCGCCAACAAACACCTCGACGGTGAGACATTTCCCAATCGCGTAGGTTGGCTGTTATTGTCACAATCAAGTTTCTGTCTTTAGCTGCCCGGGGGAGAAAAACATGCCGCGCAAGCAGCCTTGTGGGGGTTGCGAGGAGAAACGCAAGCAGCCCCTGAACCCCCCAACTCTGGCGCTGCGGATCAGACACATTCCGTCGTCGAGTTTGCTGGTTGGAAGAGAAAGGGGGCAGCAGCCGGGCAGGCAGGCAGCGTCGGTCAGTTATCGGACGAACGAGGCACTGGGCCTGAGCTTTCGGTTTCGGGCAGCGCCTCGGCGGCACTTCTGTGCGCCTGCCATCTGGTTTGGGGTGTGAGTATTGAGTATCATCCTCAACCTAGGGGGTTTGTTTTGACTTTGGCGGCAGATTGGTACACTCTTGTGAATAACCTAAGCGTGCTGCTCCCTATACGCCAATATACGTCAACGGATATTCCGTCCAGGCGTATTGATATTAGGTGGTAAGAAAGACCTCGGTCTAGAATTCTAGAATCAACCACCCGTCCCCACCAGGGCCGATGCCCAGCCGATTCGAATGAGGGTACGGGTCAACAATGACGTTGGCAGCGTGGGTGCTGTGTGCGGTGCAGCCAGCACATGGCCTGATGGCATGGTCCTCGCAGGATCTTGCAGCATCTAACAAGTAGAAGAAGGAAAAAACAGGGCCATTGGCTGCAGCCCGGTTGGGTTGGTGGGTTTGCGAGCGGCAGTCCACCACCGAGTCGGGATCTCCCTGTCGCCCGTCGGCGTGGCTGTGAGTCCCAAACTCCCGATCCCTCTCTCTGATGGGGCACCGGTGGAGGCCCCGCCGTTGCGCAACCTGGCAGGCCTGGCAGCCCAAGCACCTGGCACTGCACGTCAGCCTGTCTCTGCTGTTAGTGTCAGCCCCTTGGGCGGCCCTTGCATTCGCGCCACCCGGCCTGCCCACCCTGCCCACATGCTGTTGGGCTGCCCCTGGCGCCCTGCTTACTCTATCAACGGTACAGTCATCAGTCCTGCTCATCATCACCGTAGGTGCACAGGTAGCCCTATCAAGTAATACTCGTGTTATACCTAGATATCTTAAAGAATATAGTGTGTGAACTCAATTTACTTCACAGAAAGGTAGCGAGTAAAGGCACAAGTCACTTAAACTACCTGCTGAGGTAGTAAGGAAGCGTTGATGACCTGAGCATTTAAAGTTGCTTGTTACAACATTTTCTGTTTCCCCTACTGTGAGTCTCAATAGTCAGTCAATGAAAATGACAATGACTGAATGTCGAGGCCATTCAACTCCATTAATCCACGTTCGAGGCAGTCTCGGATTTATTTAATATTCAGGTAAGTACTAGCAACATACAATCTTGAATAAACACAACTCCTTCTTGACGGGAAGACTATGGTTGCCATGACAAGACTCATTCTATATCACCAGTTGGGACCGGTGAGGTTGAACCTCCTCCGCTCTATCAGACTAGATTGAACAGGAAACGTTTCAGCAATCGCTGAAGGGACGGGCACGGGCGCACACTGTCCGCACAGGCATCAAGCGATACTTGTCAGCCGCAAAGTACCTGCCGAAGAGCCAATCCATAATAATAGTAGGACGCGAGCAAAGAAGAGAAAGCGCCGGCATCGGTGTTCGTTGTTGATGATATTGACATTAATTCTCTCAACAGAACAGCCGCCGGTGCACCCAGAGCCACGAAGACGTTCATGCCCAGTTCCTTTGCAATTCAATACCCAGAAGGGCGAGTATAAAGCCACCAGTGTCTCGCCCGTTTGGATCTGCTGACACAATACAACCACAGCGGCGCCGCCATCCTCCCGCTCCCGCCCCTAGGGCACTGTTTCACCCCGCTGAAGGCAACAAGTTAAGTCTAGAACGGGCCGTCGCCCATAACGATACCTTCCCCACAGCGTTCTAGCCGTCCATGTGGCGCACAATACAGCAGCCATCCTCTGACTGTTAGGGGTGTTGGGTGCCTACTTTGTGCTAGATAGTCGACATGCCTTTCACATGGAATTTCCATGAGTGTGGTGACATACATCAGATGTCATGTTCAGAAGCAAAGAATGTTGTTGCATGTGACACTGAGACGGCGGCCTTGAAGTCAGTCTGTGTGTCACGGTCACTTAGTTATCTGGCAGTGGCATTTACTTGTACAGCCTAGTTCCGCTTCCATTAGACATACTTGCTATCAACATTCTTTAGTATTTTGAGGTGTTTATTCCGACCGACGTAGTAATTGTTTATATATGTAAGTCTAGGAATAACTGTTTTCAAAATTAGTGTTGTACAGCTTGTGATCTACCCAATATGGTAGGCCAGAGGTGTGTTTAGCAAAATTCACGCGTCTCGGCAGGTGTGAATGAAGGCGGCAAGGAACAAGGGATGCCGAGAGCAAAATTGCCACAGGGTCACCAAGTTCGTGACGTGCAATAGCAGAAGGACCCTGGTTGGATATTGGCTTGATCGAAACGCTCCTCGTACGGGCTCGGGGGCAGATCGATGCTCGACGCCAGGCTAGCAGTCCCAAGTTCGCAAGTCCCCAATGCTCGGCACGCGGCGATGCAACGGTGGCTCCCTTGCTCGAGTAACAGCGCAAGGGCCAGCCCAGCCGAGACCAGCCCGAGAGCGAAGGCTTCCTTGTGTTCTGTGTTCATCATCGTCGTCACCGGGAATGGTTGCTTGCAGGTTGCAGGTCGCAGGTGGCAGGCAGGCAGGTTGCAGGTTGCAGCTAATGGGGGGGCAGTGAAAGGCTGAATGGAGGAAGGTGTGTCCTTCTGTCACGCTCCCGTCTCTTCACTGCCTCATCTTTAGTCCAACCCTCACCTTTTCCCGCCGAGTCCCCTGGTTCCCCAACTGCCCAACCAAGCCACCCACCCATCTATCTCCCTTCGACCTGTTTCACCTTGAGCCCCTCTCTCGTCTGATTCTCCTGGTCGGCAAGGCTGTTGGTAACACATCTCGCAGAGCCTTGCAGTGCCGCTGGGGTTCGCGACACACGCACCCGCACGAAAAAGCTCGGATTGTGCGGCCAACAAGCTCGGCGCAGGACGGCACGACAGCATCAGGTACCACGCAGTACCTCTGTACCGCAGTACCCGGCACTCAGTCAGACCTCGCATGCTTGGCTGGGTCTTGTGCAGCAAACCCTCGCTCGCTGTGGGGAAAGGCCTGGATCCAGTGCCCCGTTCTCCCCTGGTCTGTGGATTCTTGTGGGCAACCCCCAAATCTCAAATCTCCCTCTTCCTGCGTCTTGTCGCCGCGTGTGCTGCACAGAGTATAGTGTACAGTACTGCCAATTCTCCCAATTCTGCCAGTCCTGCCAGTCCTGTCCTGCCCAGTCTTTTTGCCCAGGTTTGCTGCGAGTCGAGGCTGGCCCATCGTGTTGCCGTCCCGTCCTGGCCGCCCAGATCACCTGCTGCAAGCCCCTTGTCAGTCAGTCAGACCTGCCGTGGGCTGGAGTGGGCTGCGCTACGGATTAGTGTACTTGTTGCCTCTCGCCCCTCCTGCACTGCATTGCACTGCACTGCAGGTACCTATCGCACCAGCACAAAGTGGACTAAGTGCTAAGTGCTCAGCCCTCCTCCGTCCAGCCGCAGCACGCACGTTGAACCCTGGGCCGGTGGACCTGAGACTTTAACGCCAGTGGCCCGCCGCGCCGCTCCCCATCCTCGACCAAGCCATCCTTGGGTCCTTGGGTTCTTAGCACCCCCCAGCATCCCAGCACACAGCATCCCAACCGAGAAAAGACCCAGAACGACCTGGGACTCGGGCCCCATCGACCACCACACTCAATCGCCTTGTCCCCCGACTCGTCGCTCCGTGCTTTCTTTCCTCTCCGCTACTCATCATCAACCACATCCATTCAACACCAGTCGGCCAAACACGACAACCACCACCACACCCTCTCAGCAAGCGGCCCCAACTTCGACCCTCGTTCTACACCACACCGTCTCCACCTCTGCAGCCCAGCGACCGCTCTTTCAGCCCGCCGATCCACCGACAACACCGACATTTCCAATCCTTCTGCTGTCTCCTAAATTTGTCCTCGTCGCCACCATCCCGTCCTGCCCGCATTTCCACCTGCTTCTTCTCCGCACTCTCCCGCCCTTGTCTTGGCACGACCATATTACAAGACACCTCCCGCCGCGGCTCCTTTGACTCCTCTGAAGGAGTCGTCACGCCTGCCCGCCCTGGCGTTCCGGACTGAATCTCGGCGGAACCTCCTGCCCGCCGACCCGGGCTTCTCACAGGCCTTTCAAGAAGGAGGCTATTACCACAGAGAGGGCATCGCTCCCTCAAGTCGCGGCAGTATGAAGCGCGGTAGTCTAAATTTTATGGGTGGCCTATGGCCCAAGGCCTTCTTCGCAGCCGCCTCGCTGCAGGCCATAGTGTGTCTGGCCTTCGAATCGTGAGCACGACCGCCCCCCCTCCCCCGTCGCCGCTGCTCAATTGACCCTCTGTCTCACCCGTTCGCATCGCAGGTATACCTTTGCTATGTTCCAGACGCATCTGTTAGAATCCGTATTGAAGGCCGACAACGACACGCGCGCCCAGTACAAGACCATCCCGACCTTCCTCACGCTCTTCATCTTCGGTTTCTTGTATGAGTTGTTGCTGGTGTGGGACGCCCTCCGATTGAAGAACACCATTCAGATCATCGGAATCTGCATCGCGAACCTGGCTCTGCTCGTATACACCGCAATCCAAATCGATCAAATCCACGAGGCTCTAGTCCTTCTGGGCCAGAACAGAGGGCTGGACGGCGGCTACACCAAGCCCACGGGCGAGGTAGTATCGCCGCAGGAAGCACTATGGGACGAAGTGCAGGGCTTCCTCATAGCGATCCCCATCATTCTCGCTGTGGGAACAATCGTCCTGTCATTCATCGCCTGGAAACTGTACCAGGTCTTCGCATGGGACATCCTGAAGCAGATCGGAGCAGACTACAGGATGAAGAAGAGGTTTCTCCACTACCAGGTGAGTCCCGGTCACAATTAACTACACGAGTTATGCCCCTGTCACATGAATCTGACAGTATCCCAGGTTTATATCGCCCTGCTCAAGTTCGACTTTTTCTTCTTCCTCGGCTTCACAGTGCAGTTTATAGTTATTGTCACTGGCTATACCGACGCCGAGATGTACCTGACCATCGCTGCCATCCCGATCACCATCCTCATCCTGCTTGCCGCGGCGTACTTCACCAGGAACGAGAACAAGTTCGGAACCGTGTGCGTTATAATCTGCTACGCGGGCGCTCTTGCCTACTTCATCTTCAAGCTTGTGCGCATCTATCAACCCAGTCACGCGGCGTTCTACATGCCGGTGCGCAAGTCCCTGACGGCATTCGCGGTGCTGGCAATCCTGCTGCTGATATTCACCATCACCAACGCCTTCTACTGCATGAACAACTTCGGCGCAGGCCTCAAGACGCACCTGCTCAAGAAGAAGCCGAGCGAGGAGAAGGGCGACGGAAGCAGCAGCGTCGACACATACGCCATGAAACCAACGGCGCCAACGCGGATGACAATCGACTAAGGAGGGGGCGATTCAACATCTTGCCGCAGCACACGAGGTTCACGAGTTAATGACCGCATTGTCCGGAAGCTACTCAAATCTCTCCCGCTACTGGATCGCTGGCTCGAGAGCGGGCGACAGACAATATGGTCCAGCACGAAACACAGAGACGAAAGCACGAACCGGGCACAATTTACATATAAACCAATTGCGGATACACCATATTTGCCCTTCTACATCTAATGGCGTTCTTGAGGGATTCCCTTTTCTTTTGTTACAATTTCCCAAACCGGATGTTTGGGGAATTTGGTGTTCAGGGTCCTTTTGCTTTGGGGGCTTTAACGGAGGACATTCCAGGAAAGAGATGTCAGCCCCGTGACCTGCTCTCTCTCGGACAGGGGTGTGTGTGAAAACTATAAAGAGGAGGTGGAAAGACCTGGATTGTCTAACCGGACAATGACTGGGTGGGAGAGAGGAGATGAAGGGACACAGGGCTTTTCCCCAAATGACACGAGGGCTACTGAGCATTTACAGCGGGCTATATTTTTTTTATTCTTTTTTTCTCTTTTACTCATCTTTTGATATCCCCGAGAGTGAAAAGGGGGGCGTTTTGATCTGGCCCCCCCAGAACAACCCCACCCTCACCTCACCGGCTGGGAGAGGGATACTACCTGGTTGTTGTTCTTTTTCTCTCTTTTTTTCTATGTCTAGCCTAGTACTTTTACTTGGTCGGTTCCTCGCCCAAGGACGAGTTCGAGGCACCAACCATGCTATGTAGCACAAAACCTGCTCTCGATCCTGAGACGACGAGTGAACGGAGAAATTGTCTGCTTTGATCAGGCCTTCCTTCCCGAGAACTGAGACTTACTTGCCTTGTGTGAATGTGACCTGTTTGGTTGGTGTTCCTGTTGCCCTTCAATCATGCGCATGTGAGTGTGTATGTGTGTGTGTGTATGTACGTATGTACGTGGTGGGCACCGTCTCTGCGCGTTGACATACCTCACATGCTACACACATACATCATCAATCACAACTGCACTTTTGAAACCCGGTGTGCGCTCCGGTGACGAGGGGGGCAGTTGGTGTGCGCCCAGTCGGGGCAAGTGGATTTATTTGCAAAGTCCAGCCCGGGCTTGGGATGCTTATCAGGTCCCCCCTCCCTCCCTGGTCAGCCAGGCCGCTCAGATGAATCGCGACGCGACTCAGCTGGTATCTGAGCTGCCGGAGTGGAGGAGGGGGGAGGGGGCAACGGGGCCGGGAACGCGGTTCCGGGGAACTCGGCGAGGGAGGTTCCGTCGTCGTGGTCAAGCGAGCCCGCGGGTGCTGGGATGCCCGGCGGGAGAGGAGGGGGACCGATTAGGCGCTGATGATTCGAGTTGTTGTGAGCGAGCGAGACGGTTTTCGATGGACGACGGGGGAATGTGATGAAAACGGGATGGATAGATGGGGAGCGCGTCCTTTGTAGATGTTAGGCAGCCCTGCGGTTTCTCCATCGCCTTTCACCTGGATAGGTACTTTTTTTTTTTTAATGAAAAGAAAATAAATTGTGGTTCTACAAGAGGCAACGAGACTCGCCTGTGTACCTGCTATGCAGCCATTGTAACTATTTGCCGTAGCCTCTTATACGGCAATATCCTATCAGACAACAAATGTCCTTCCTATAAGATGACCTGCCGATCTCTTATGGGACAATCTCCTGCTGGACAGCATCCCATGAAACAGCATTTCAAATAGATGTGGCCAGCTTATATTCATAGTTTATGTGCTGACCTTTATTATGGGCTATTGGCATGGAAGGCAAAGTGCAAGGAGGTGCACATCGACACAGTCTGGAAACCATTTCATTCTTAAATAACACATCATGATCGCTTCTTATTTTGACACGCTAATACCTAAGCTGCTACAAGAACATTCCGCGGCACCATGACGAGAGGCTGCGGACGTCTCTTCTCCGGGAAAAAGGGAGGGAGGGGGGGGGGCAAAGGAACCGTGGGCCCCACCACCCATCACAGTATGATCTGCCTGGCATCCCTCAGCAGGCCCTCGACAGGGCAGTAGGGGCACTTGTAGCGCTGGTGGCTCTTGACGAGGTTCTTGAGCGAGTCGCGCGCCAGGACGTGGCCGCAGGGCAGCATCATGGGCGGGTTGCGGTCGGTGGTCTGCTCCTTGGAGACGGGGCACACGAAGATGGAGTGGTAGATCATGGAGCGCGGCAGGGGCGTGTCGAAGGCTAGCTCCGACGCCGTCGTCCACGACGCGCGCGCCTGCGCCCGGACCCCGACGTACATCATCAGCCGCGGCAGGCTGATGGCGCCCGCCGTCGCGGCCACGTACAGCGGGCTCTCGGCGCTCAGGCCCAGCAGGGAGCAGAACTCGCGCGTGAACGAGCTCGCTATCTCGTCGAAGGCGGTCCCGTCCCCCTCCTCGGCCTCGCCCGTGCCGCTGCTGCTCGGGAACAGGTGCGCGTACGGCGACTCGGCCAGGTTCTGCTGGTAGACCAGGGCGGACGCGAGCTGCGAGATCTCCTTCGCGTGGCGGTCGTAAAAGCGCGGGAAGTTAGCCTTGCCGTACTCCATGGCCACGGTGGCGCCGTCGTCGCCGCCCTGCAGGATGAGGTAGATGTACTGGCGCTTGCACAGCTCGAACTCGAGGTCGGAGCCGCGGGCGTCCAGCTCGGCGCTGTTGTCGTGCGCCCACCGTATGGCCGGGAGCAGGTTGTGGTCCCGCAGCTCCTTGAGGATCTGGTACATGGTCGCGAACTTCTCCTGCAGCTCGTGCGACTGCAGCGAGCGGACCTCGCTCATGGGCTCGTCGTCGCCGCCCCCGTAGCCGGCCTCGGCGGCGTCCCGCGCGTCCGCGTTGGGGATGGTGTCGTCGTCGTCTTCGTCCCCGTCGTCGTCTGCCCCGGAGTGGTCGGCGTCCATGTCTGTGTCGTCGCCGGGCTGTTGTACTGGCTCTTGGGCTCTTGTCCCGCGCGGTGGCTCCTGCTCCTGGAACTGGTCCAGGGCCTGGGTCTCTTGTATGAACGTTGAGGCGACGTTGAACTGGCCCTCCCGCAGCAGGTGCATAGCAATGGCGCGGTTGATCAGCTCGGGGTGTTTTGCCATGGCGTCGTCGTCGGTGGGCAGTGGCCTCGGGGGGAAGTACTTGTCGAGGACCTTGCCATAGTTTTTCCGGACCTTGTCGACTTTCCTGAGGTCCTGTTGGATGGTGTCGAAGCCCTCATTTACTGGGTTCTGCAGCCTGGTGAGGGTCAGGCTTGTGGTATGCGGGTCGGGAGCTAGAGGCTGGGGTGTCAGTAGATGGATGATGTGGGTGGTCAACCCGGGCTGGCCACTCACACTGGGCGATCTTCTCACGGGCTTCGGTGAGAATGTCTATTATCTTGTCAACATCGTTGACAGCGGCGCTCAGACGGTCGGTGGTGTTATTCGCTAGCCGATCGAGCTCCTTGAGGAGGGCTGGGATGTCAGTGTCGTCCGGCTTGTAAGCCATGGCGGCGAGGGGGGTCCGGAAGAGGTCAAGGTCAGGCGTGTTGTTGGTGAGGATGGGCTGATTCGTGGTAGGAATATCCAGCTGCTCAGGAGTAAAGGCTATGATTGGGAACTGGGAAGTAGGAAAGTCGCAGCTGGGTTGAGTCTGGAGAAGGTGGATGGGGCGGCTTGTCGAAGCCGACTCGGCAACTGGCGGGAGGAGCTTCAGGTGCAGAGCGACCGCGGCACTCGGAGTGGCATGCAGTCATTATGCATTGAACCGGACACGGCCCACAGGCCAGCCACGAGTGTCCAGAGCCTGGTGAAGCTGTTGCATATCTGGGCACTTCATACGGAACTCATCTGTACATTGTTTTCTTTTTGTTTATTCTGGGGCCTGGGGACTACCAGACACATCCACTGTAGTCTACGGCTTTGCTCGGGTGTCCGTCACGCGGCCACAGCCTCCACGCCCGTGGTGTACGGGATGACTGTCTTGCTTGCATCGCACCTGGACCTGCTGTCGTCACTGCCGAGTAATAACGGCATGAGCACCCACCACTCTCCCCCACACTTAGTCCCATCTGCACAACCGAACAGGGCCCCTGGCCCCTATTTGCTCGTACTAAGTACTACTACTCTGAGTACCACAGTATTCCGTCCATAACATCGTCACCGTCCACCGACCCAGCGCCTGCATCACATGCCAGAAGCACTTCTGCCTTGAGCCTCGCGCTGTTCTCCTTGTGTGCCATAAAGCACGGCACGGCGCATTTCCTCTCTAGCTTCTTGAGGCTTCGCAGCTGCAAGGACATGAGGCTGGCACACCTTTGGTAGAAGTCAACCACCGTCGGCCCTGCAACATGCCCCCCTTCGCTGTCCCGGTGCTCGAGGTCTGCCGGGATTCGTAGGTGGCTGCACCAAAGCCTGTCTCACATGACGGCAGACCACGTATACGGATAACATTGCCCTGGCTCCACTGGCCACCGCTACAAATACCATGTCCTTCAGGATCAATCTCCCCGATGGCCGGGCCCACAGGGAGGAGGATGTCACCCAGGCCAGACTGGCCGCCATGAGGAATTCCGCCCTCGCCGCTGCCACACCACGAGAAGGCACTCCCCTGCCCGGCGACATGAGGCTCGACGGCTCCCTCTCAGTAGATACCTCGTCGCCTGCTCTGTCGCCTGGTCCCGCCCGGAGACATGTCGTCTTTCCCGACCCCGTTGCTTTCAGGTGCGCCCTCCCTTCCGCTCCTGACTCTCACCGCCCCCCTTCCCCCTTCAGTCCACAGTCCACCAACTAATACACGCTTTTCAACTCCAGATATCTTTCTGAAGACCCCTTAGTCCAGATAGTCCAGAGTCGAGGCGAACTTAACGGCTATGAGCTCTACCTTGTCGAACAATGGGCGTGCTCCCGACTGTCTCCCACCCTCGTCATCGTTACATATACCGGCGATCCAAAGTCTTCGGTCGTAGTAGGAGTGCTCTCTGTGCCGGCCGACGAGGATGAATGGTCCCCGAGACTCAAGGTCTACTTCAAGGCCTTGCAGATTTATCATGCCAGGCCGAAAGAGACGGAGCTGGGCGAGCTGATGGTCACCAACCTCAGCAGCTTCCCCTCGGCCCTCACCGTCATATTCGTGCCGGATGGCGATATCAAAAAGCACAGGCAGGCCTTCATCGTGAACGAGGACCTCAAGAGGACCGGTTGCTCGGGTCGATCCGGCATGACCTTGTCAGATCCCACTCCGGCCACCCATGCCAAGTTCTACTCAACTTACAAGATCCACGAGAAGGTCCCCTTATTCGAGGCCGTCATGGAGCTGGTCAAGCTGTGTCAAGTGGCACTGTTCATATTTGGCATGCTGGACCAAGAGTACATTGATGGTCTGCTTTGTGATATCACTGAGACAGCAATTGGGAACTGGTGGACCGAGGTTGGATCCGAGTACTACAACATGGAGCCAACCGATGGCATCCTGGGGCCCACCACAGTAGCCGCACTCCTCGGTATGCTCATAGGCGCGAGAAATCGCCTGAGCTCGTATGGTGTCACCGTGGCCAAGGATGTCTTCGAGATCGAAAGCACCAAGCGTGGCATTGGGCATTTTCAGAAGTCTCACAAGCTGGAGAGGACTAGGAGACTCGACCGCCAGACACTTCTGCAATTGCACAAGTCCACTGCAAAGGCCGCAGCCGGGGAAGAATGGGGTGTGCAGAAAGCAATCGGAGCTACGGTGTCCCAGTTCGGGAAAAGGGGCGAGATCCTCAGTGGGGTCATTGGTACTCGCGAGAAAGCGGGAATTGGTGAGATCGAGACGGTCGACATCGACAAATTCAAAGAGCTCGTGTCTGGTGAGCGCGCCAAATGGCTATGGCAGGGAAAGCCTCGAAGACTAGCCCTGGAGCACTCGGAGCGATCAATGCCAGATATGACCAACATGCTCAATTTCGGCAAAGAAGAAGAGAAGGAGCGTGAGAAAGAAAAGGAGAAACACAAGGACAGGGACAAGGACAGGGAGAAGGAGAAAGATAAAGAGAGGGAGAAAGAACGAGAACGAGAGAAGAAGGAGAAGGAGCTTGAGCTTGAACGCCCAAGTCGCACTACAACCCACTCTCTGGCATACGAAGATCTAAACCCTACCATGCGGCCGAAAGAACTATCGGGTACCATGTACTCGGCACCCACCCCGGGGTCGAGCCTTAGCATGGCAGAAACCCCCGGAGCCGAGTCGGGCCTGCACAAGGCCGTCTTCAGGAGTGTCGCGGATCGAGTTTCCGACGCCCGCTCCAGACTCGGTCGCATTGGAGATGCGGTAGGAGGGAACCGCAAGGGGCATGCGAGCCGCCCGTCCAGAGACGAGACCGCAGAGACCGGATTCACTAGCCCTAGCATAGGAAGCTTGATCCAGTCTACCGGTGCTCTGTCTAGTCCCGTCATGTCGGGCAGGGCTTTCACATGGAAGAACAAGCCAGAGGAATACGCGAACGTGTTCCAAAGAAGACACCCCGATGCTGAACATCCTATGGGCGAAACCACGCCGGGACCCAGGGCCACCTCTGGGATACAATTATCGCCACTCCAAGAGGCGCGAAACTCCGTCTCGGTGGAGGCCCTCGATATCAACAAAGATCTGACCAGCGATCTTTCCATGGCCCCATCGACCGTTGATGAGAATGACTCTCAGAGACTCTTCCAGCTACCTGGAGGCAGCGGGGACGCATGTTCTTCACTTCTGAAAAGGCGGCATAGCCTGGCCGCGGGGACACCTTCCTCAGAGCAGCAGCCACTGAACGAAGACCGCTGGCCACGACGCCTATCTTTCAGCGCCGCCTCGGAAGCTGTGCTGCGCTGGGATGAGATTGTTGACCTGCAGGAGGATCCCAACACGCTCGAAGAACACCTGGCGTCCGCTGAGCTCGCACAAGCCCTCCACGCTCGGATCGCCAACCTCTCCAGGTCCCTCTCGCCGTGGGTGTCGTCCAAGATAGACACCGTCGAGGCCCTCGAGGAGACGTACGCCGCGCAGCAGGAGACGCTCGAGCAGGCGTACTACGCGCTGTCGGACGAGTACCAGAGGGTGAAGCAGAACTCGGCCGAGATGATCGCCGAGGAGAAGGGCAGGGTCACCGAAGCGATTAAGGACGTGGAGGTCCAGGTCGCCAAGCTCGAGTACGAGATCAACGCGCTGGTCTCCAAGGTGCAGGACGTCGAGTACGGGGTGGCGGACTTTGAGGCGAGCGTCGTCGACGTGGAGAAGCGGGCCGAGGAGCTCAAGAGCCAGCTCGAGACGGAGACCTGGGTGCATTGGGCGGTCAGGACGTTGACTGGTATAGGGACGGGGCCGAATATCCTGAGGCAGGGCTGAGGCTAAGGTCCTGCAGATAGATCGGGGCTGGCTGCCCCGACTCTGTCATGCGCTAGGAGGGTGATTAAACGGCTCAATTTCGTTGTTTATCAGCGGTCTTTTATACTCATAAAGGGCGACTAGAGCATGTGCGAGCTTTGGCGTATGGAGTTTAGAAGTTCACGGGCGGGCTGCGTATCCCAGACAGTACTTGGATGATAGTACTTTGATGTCTGGTAGGAATACGAGAGGGGCTCTCAACTGCTTAGAGGTTTCCCGAGAAGGGAGATTTGTCTATATCATCATAATCTTAACACACTGCAGAAGTATCCGAAACCCATACGCTCAGAAACAATGCGCAGTCGCATTCTCGACCCGTCGTAGCACCCCTTTCGGGCATCTGTACAGACGCGGTGCTTCCACCCTCACGTTCTCCAGCATCCGATCCGGTACGCAGACATACCAGGAGTGATCGTCAGCCCAGTAAGTCGAACGGACCTAAGCCCACCCCAGAGAGTATGCCGGGTCTTCTCCTCCAAAAAAAAGGAGCAATCGGTGCGTTCTTGATTATCTAACACCTTCCCTGTCCTGCGGTCGAAACAGACCGGGGCCCGGCTCCTCGGTCTCTCGTGGCCGCTATGGAAGCGGCGGAGAGGGCTTGAATGAGCGACGCCCCCCGTTTACCGACCGAAACCGCCACCGCCCATCTGCTGCTGCTGCTGCTGCTGTAATATGTCCGAGACCTTGAGGTGGACGTCGAAGAACTTGGCGGCGCACCTGTCGAGGCAGACGGCCTCGCCCTTGTTGATGTCGCCCTCGAGGTAGTTGTTGGGGATGCACTTCTTTGCGCAGGCCTTGTTGAGACTGAGGATTTGGGAGTCAGCACCATTTTGGGAACACAAGACAGAGGAATAGGGGAGGTCCCTGGGGGGGGGTAAATGGCGACGGCAACGGCGACCTACCGGTTCATCATGTCGGCCATGAGCTTCATCTCGGCCTCGACGGCGGCGATCTTCTCGGCCGACGAGGGCTGCGGGCGGCCGAATCCGAGGAACGACATGCTGGGCTGTGGGTGGGGTGTGCAGATGCGCGGATGGGTTGGACTGCAGTGGGTTTGGCGCTGGCGGGCTTCGTTGCGAAGATGGTTGTTTGGTATTCCGGCGTGCAAATGGACTTCTGAATCAAGCAAGCTTGAGGTGCGGCCGGGGCCCATGAGAAGGTCGCCCAAAAAATCGGCTCGGCCAGTGACGTTGATCTTGCAGGGTTTGGCGGGGCCTTGCGGCTGATGCGGTGGGCCCTGGGCCTGGGCTCTATTGGTCAATGACACGGCGAGTAGGAGGAGCTTGCTTTCCTTTCTCGCGCCTGCCAAAAATTTCGAGAGCTCTTTCTTGCACACCTCGACGAGCTCTTTCTACCTCGCTTGGCACGAGCTGTGTTTTCTGCAGATTTTTGTGCCCTCAGAACCAGCGCCTTGTCGCGCTCTTGTAAGTCTTATACTCTCTCTTGTACTTCAATCCATTCCTACATGATGAGACCGCATTAAACCTTAGAACCGTTGCGACTGACACGACTTCGGTCGTGCGTGATCAAAAACGCCAACTCTCTGACATCGCTTTTTACAACCCGATTCTCCGTCCTGATCGAACCTCCGTCTCGTTGTCGCAGTTTATCTGACAGGAATCATCATAGGCTTTACACGGGCACTGGCTCAAAATGGCGCCATCTCTGCATTTCCTGCGTCCGTATGCCTTCCAGCCACTGGCGCCAGGGCCGTCGCCTTCCGGCTCTGCGTATCTACGATTCTACGAGCTGGCAAGGCGCAACTCCCGGGCTGTATGCCAGAGGTATAGCTCCAACGCACCGCCCAAGACGATCAGCACCATCAGGTCGAACTCTCCTCGGGTGAAGCGCGATGTAGAAACGTACAACCCCGAGGACCGCGGTGCCCTCACGGCGGCACGGGTCAAGCAGCTCCAAAAGGCGCACGCCCTGTTGTATCCGCGGTTGAAACGCTATGCGAAACCTCTTACGATATCCAACTTTAGAAAGCAATATGAGGATCAGATGATAGGCCCATCGCAAGTTCTTGGTGACATCGTGACGGTTGGCGGTATGCTTGTCTTCTCTTGTAGTAGCTCTCTCCGTGGGACTAATATCTGCCAGGTCGCGTGACCTCGATCAATCAGCTCGGTAACAAGCTGGCCTTTGTCAGGCTCATCGAGGATGGCAAGATGGTTCAGGGTGTCTTGAACATCAACAAGCTAGTAGACGGCACGGAAATGAGGCAGTTCGCCGAACAGGTCCGCCTCATCAAAAGAGGCGACCATGTCTGTTAGTAACTCCTCGTCAAATTGGCCCCAATCCAAGTCGTGTGGACGGCATAGGCTGACAGAATTGCGTGTAGCAATAACCGGACAGCCCACGCGCACGCAGGCAGGGGAGCTTTCCATTGAAGCTATACACCTTCCACAGATCGTCTCGCCTGGCTTAGCACCGCTCCCGTACAATCTTCCTGAGGAAGCCAGGATGAACCAACGGCATCTTGACCTCCTTGTCAACAAGAAAGCTGCAGACACTCTGCGCCTGAGATCGTGTGTGATCAGAGAGCTGCGAAAATGGCTCGAGACCAAGCTGGAGTGCTCCGAGGTCTCAACCCCTATCTTGGCTGCTAATGCCGGTGGGGCCGTGGCCCGGCCATTTACGACCAACGCCACTGAATTTCCAGAGAAGCAGCTGGCGCTGCGCATAGCACCCGAGCTTTGGCTCAAGCGGCTGGTTGTTGCCGGCTTTGACAGGATATACGAGATCGGCCCGGCGTTCAGGAATGAAGGCCTCGACCTGACTCACAACCCGGAGTTCACCATGTGCGAGTTCTATGTCTCAAACATCAACCTCGAGCAGATTATGCAAGAAACCAGGGACATGTTCTTTGATCTTGCCAACGCTGTTGCCAAGTTCAAGGACGAGCACGACCTCTCGACTCTGAGGCCCCTCGATCCGAAATTGTTCTCCAGGGAATGGCTGGTGATCGATTTCATCCCCGCCATCAACATGGCACTTGGGAGCCCACTTCCCAAGTTGGACGATAACCCAAATGCCGTTCAGGAGATCATCAAGCTTCTCGAAGATAAGGGCAAAGACTGGCACAAGTCTCTGCCCCCAAACCCATCCCTTCCGAAACTCCTCGACCGCATTGCAGGTGCAGTCCTCGAGCCGCAGTCCAAGGGCAGGCCAATCTTCATTACAAAACACCCAGCCTGCATGTCGCCACTGGCTAAAACCTTCACCGACCCCTTCACAAAGCAATTCGTCTCCGCCCGAGCCGAAGTCTTCTTCGACGGTAACGAACTGGCCAACATGTACGAGGAGGAGAACAGCCCCTACGTGCAGAGGCTCAAATTCGTCGACCAGGCCAAGGCGAAGCTGGCCCAGCAGCAGAACGCAGCGCCGGGCGAACAGCCGCTCGGCGACGAGGACGACGAGCCAGCGCACTTCATCGACGAGCAGTACATCTCGGTGTTGGAGTCTGGCCTGCCGCCCACGGCCGGCTGGGGGTGTGGCGTGGACCGGCTGGTGATGATGTTCACGGGCGCGGGCAGGATCAGCGAGGTGTTGCCCTTCGGGAACCTGAGGAACGTCGTCGGGCTCGCGTCGACTGGCCCGCAGAACCAAGAGCGCAAGAAGGGAGAGGAGAGCGTCGCGGACCTTGCTCACCCTGACGATGCGGCTGCGACGACCGAACACCCAGCAGGCGCCAAACGTGAGAAGCGTGCCGCGGACGAGGCGTTGAGTTATATCATGGGTGACAGCCCGTAAGGCCGGTTCTGGCACCTGAGCAATTTTGAGGTGTGGGCTCAACAGTAAGGGCGAACCCGCGGCTGATACTGCTCTGCGGAATGAGCATGCTGGGGGGACCTCTTCCCTGATCATCGTTGACTCATGAAGATATGCGACTGCGGCGAATTGACTGGATGCGAAGCATATAGTTAGATATATACCCCCGCTCAACTGTAATGTTTAGATTAAGACATAGATTCGGTTCCTCGAGCACGCAAGTGGCACGCACGCATTTTGTCGGATATCCCTAAAACCTCGGCAAGGAATCCTTTCTTGTCACTTCCAAGTCAGGTCAGGTGGAATGGAAGATCGTCTCCCGTCCCTTCTATCGCCACGATGAACCTCCACGACCCCTTGACCACACCTCGGGCTCGCGCTATATAATTCGGGACAAGCATCAGCCTGCGCCTTGTTCCTGCCCGCCCGCGACGTCCAAGTCGTCTTCGGCATCGGCGTCTATGGCCACGCACGCGCCAGCCACTATTGCCATCACGAAGATACACACCATCGACAGCACATACACGGCGTGGACGCCCAACGGGAGCCCGAGGAGCAGCAGAGTCGAAGCCAGGCACCCGAAAGCCGCATCCGCAGGGTACAGGATGAGCGACAGGAAAAGGCCAGAGCCGTCGGAGATGGCTTTGGAGACGTAGGCGGCCGCGCGCAGACATTCCAGTATGACAGGGGCCAGTACCGCGCCGGCGGCGCCGGCCCCGCCGCCGTACGCCCGGGGCTCCCCGCGGAGGGTGAAGCGGGTGAGGTCGATGTGCCGGCCCCCGGGGAGGACCTGCTCCTCGGCCGCCTCGGCCGCGAACGCTGCGGCCATGACTGCCAACATCGACCAGATCGCAACCGCACAGACGGCTGCGAGGCGCGCCGGCACGTGGCTGTCGCCCTTGCGGTCCGCCTTGGCCTGTAGCGACTTGACTGCGTCCGTCGTCTCTCGGACGAGCGCGGCGGCGGCGGCATTGAGCTCCGCGTCGGTCCTCCGGGCGACGACGCCGCCGCGGAGACCGCCCTCTGGCCCTGACCCGGCCCTGTTCAGCTTCAGGAGGTCCTCCGCGGCAGAGAGGTAGGCGCATATGACGTGGGAGATCTCGGGCGTCGTGTCCCCGCACCGCAGGTCGCGGGCCTGAGCGATCAGGGCGTCCTTCCTGTCGTGGAGGGGCCGCCTTGTGCCCTGGTTGTCGGGCCCTTTCTCCGCCGCCGGTTCTGGTGGTGGTAGCGGCGGTCGTGGCTGGCCGTCTGGGGTGGTATCTGGGTCCCTGCGTGGTTTGTGCGGCTCATCGCCGGATGTCACTCCTGACAATGCCACGGGCCCCTCGGCTCTGGCTTGCCTCTTTCTCTTTCGCAGCTTGTAGATCGCGTCTAGTGCTTGGGCGCAGAGTACGAGGAAGCCGGTGAAGGCGACGGCGGTGGAGGCTTGGAGTAGCCTGTCTACCATGAATTGGCAAGGCATTTTGGACGGTTTGGGATTGTTTTGAAAGATCTGGTATTGTCAAACCATGTTTACCTTGTCGCAAGGGTGGCCGGGAGCATATTTATGACTGGCGAGGCTGCCAAGGGACGGAATGCAGTCTGTTTGGCTGCCCTCACATTCGGCCTTACCTAGGGAGAGGAAGTAAAATGTCTCAAGCGATCTAGGAGGACTGCAAGGCAGCCTGCCACCAGAAAAAGGCCATAATCTCATGCGAAGTCACCTGGGAAGGATTCCTTCATGACCTAAACTGGGGACCATGTTGTGGCTTGTAGCAAGTATGAAATATAGCAATTCTTATGCCCGCGAGCTCCCGATAATTGATCAAGACGGATCATCAGCCCGAACCGTGACAGCCCTCGACTACCCTCTAGCATACCCCCAGCTGAGATCATCAAGTTCATACAATTATCTCTCCTCATCTGAACCCTGTTCATCAACGACTTCCCACCGGCTCGCGATCTCATCATAAGCCGAGGAACCGATCGAGGACACGGCCGCCATGCAGGTTGTGGCAATCAAACCCACAGTTGCCATCAAGCCCGCAGCCAGTGCACCCCGGTGGACCCCGAGGGCCAACAGCGGCACCGCCATGCTGATCGCAACGCCGGCGGGATACGCAAAGGACAGCCTGACCTCCTCGTCGTCGGTGAAGCGGCGCACGAGGGCGGGCACGGCGAGGTTCACGACCCCCGACGCGACAAGGGCCACCACGATCAGGCGGGGCGGCATGGTCCCCGCGTCGGATTCCGGGCTTGCACAGGCGGCGATAAAGGTGACGGCGGCGGTGTCGTCCCCGCGGACGACCGGCGGGTAGGCCAGCGGGCACCTCTCGGCGCTGTACGCCGCGACCGCGGTCCAGGCCGCGGCCAGCGACAGGCTCCCCGTCAGGAAGACCGCGGCGAGCCCCGGGCGCCTGGTCACGTCCCCGAGCGCCCCGAGCGAGGCGGTCTCGGCCGCGGCGTGCTGGACGATCCTCCCGGCGGCGAGGTTGAGCCCTTGGTCGGTCATCCTGACGTTGGTGGTGGTGCTCCCACTGCCGCGCGGCCCGCGGTGCAGCATCAGGAGGTTCCCTGCGGCGGATAGGTAGGCGCACACGGCGCTGGTGATCTCCGGTGTTGTGTCCAGCGGCCTCGCCGCCTGGAACTCAGAGTTCAGGAAGTCCATCAAGTCGTCGAGGAGCCTCGTGGGCGCTTCCCTGCAATCTGCTCCGGGGGGCTCCGGGCCTGGCTCTGCGTCCACGCGTCCGGACGGCTGGCTGGTCGGATGTGTAGGCTCCTGGGCCTCGTCGTCGGTGGTCACTTCTGATAGCTTGACGAGTCTGTCGACAGTGCCATCGGGCTTTCCACGGAGCCGGAAAATGGTTTGTGCAACGAGTGAGAGGAAGCCTACGCACGCGATGGTGCAGCTGGCCCAGAAAACTGTCGAGAGCCCCTCCGGCGACGGCATTTTGAATTGTGTGGGATCATCAGAAAGAGTCTCTACCGCTATTCTTGGCCAGAGGGGTGGTGGTATATTTATGACCGATGAGGCTGTCTAGGGACGGAATGCAGTCAGCCAAATGCCAGTTCAAATCAGCCTCGTCCAGGGAGGAGCTCCTTGTCTCAAAGCCATTTGGGCGCAGCCGCAAGGCAACCTCTCATTAAGGAGAGACATGACAAAAATCCCCAAAGCAGGGAGTCATGGTGCGGCTCGGAGCAAGGCCGCCACCAACACGGCCTATGCCTGCAAGCTACACTCGTGCGTGTGACTTTGCTCGCTTGTAGGTGATGAGAAAGCGTCCATCAAGCAGAAGCATCGACGAGGCCCGGCGGAACGTCTGTCCCAGCCCTTCTCGCCTCGACCCACTGCCCCAGCTCCCTCCAGATCCTCTCCTTCTCAGCCGGCCCCAGCGTCGCCGCAAGCCCGCTCGTAGAGCTCGACACAAACACCCTTGCACCCCTCCAGCAGTCCCGGTACTCGACCCCGTCGATCTTCTCAGCCTCATCCACCTCCCCGACGCCCATATTCTCCCCTTCATCCTGCCACCCATACCGGAACTCATGCTTCGCAACAGCCCGCCCGTGGCGTACCCGCCACACAGACTCCCAGATGCTCTTGCCCACCACGACAACAACCTCGGGCCTCCACCGGCGCACCTTGTCCTCCAGGGCGCCCACGCCGTCGTCCATCTCGGCCTTGCTCAGCTCGGCGCCGTTGCGGCTCGGGCGGGACACGATGTTAGTGAGGCCCAGGCTGAACCGCTCGGGCAAGGAGCGGTCCTCCTCGGCGGTGCAGCGCACGGGGAGGACGCCGGACGAGTACATCAGCTTCCAGAACAGGTTGCTGGGGTGGTTGTAGGCGTGGCCGGTCTGGGCGGTGCGCACGCCCGGGTTCAGGCCGCAGAAGAGGGCGAGGAGGTTGGGCGCCAGGGCGTCGGGGAGGGGTGGGAGGTGGGCGTAGACGCTGGGGGGCTGGTATCCTGATTTTGGCCTCTTCCTCTTCTTGGGCCTGGTGGTTTTGGTGTTGCCGGGCGTGGGTGTTGATGAGGGCGATGAGGAGTCGGCTGCGGCTGCCTCTGCTGCCTCCGCCTCGGTTGAGCCATCTGGGAGGGTTGGGACGAGGGTGGCATTGCCTGATAGGGCGGCAGCCTTGCGCTTCCTGGTTCCGCTCTCTGATTTCACAGGAGTGGATGAGAGACGGGTACTTCGACGGGGTGGTGTTTGTGCTGCCAATGGCGACTGTGGCGACTGCGGCTCTGCCTTGAACCTGAAGTTGTCCATATTGAGTCTGCCGCTGAATGATGACTGAGGGGGCGGGACCGAGATATTGGCCGTCTCATGGACGTGAGATGCCATGCTGCCTGACTTGGTGTGAGTCGGTCCCGGCTATTTACTGGCCGTTCTCAAGTTGGGTTGAGTATTGTGAGCGATGCTCTGTGGACCATGCGTGCACCATGTGAAGTCGAGACACCAAAGGTCCAGCCTGGTGTCAGTGGTCCTTTACATTTCAATTTCAGCTCCTCGATGTGCTACGTGGTTTGGATGAACATTTGTCTGCTAAAATCCTCCGCCATGCCACTAACCACCAGTGACTGGTGTTTTCAGGGCTGACTGACAGATGTCTGCTCGTGTTTGTCGGCGAGCTCTGGTCTCTCACATGCAGCTCCGGGCTCTCAGACGGTCGGTTGGCAGGTCAGGACAGAAATGACTTGGGCATCAACAAATGACAGGCAGACAAAGGCGAGATTCTGTATCCGGCTTCTAGACGTCTGGTAGCTCGTATTCCGTGCGCAGGGTGTTGGACTGTAGCACAAGGCAGTTACGAGCCCAAGCGACGGTCTGGGCGAATAGGAGGTGGCTGATCGGGATCGTGTCGACGTCACTAGCCGGCTGTTGTCAGGCCCAGCTTCCCTACTGGCCTCGCTCCTGCAGCGGATCGGAATCAGGGGTTGGCGGGGCTGAGAAGGCATGACCCTCAGCACCACAGGGGGGAGCTCCAGCTCTCATCCCGGTCGTGCTATTAATACAAAGCAAGCTGACTGCCCCCACCAACCACCACCACCACAGCTGTTTGTTGGCATTACTGCTCTCGCTGTCTGTCCTCTTCTTGTCTGTTTGCTTGTCAAGTCTCGACTGTTTATCCAATTGGACGAAATTCTACTTCATTTGCATCGACTGCACATCCGTATAACAGCCAGATTGCCATCATGGAGACCATCAAGAACGCCCTCAACATTGGCAGCTCTGGTGGTGCCCCTCCACGGTCCCCTTCGGCCGACGAGGTCAAGGCACTCAAGGACAAGTACGAGAAGGCGGGCCAGGAACAGGTCTTCACCTTCTGGGATTCCCTCTCCAAGGAGGAGCAGGCAAATCTCTACCACCAGCTCGCCGGCTTTGACCCCGACTACATCAACACCATCACACAAAAGGCCCTCAACCCACCCGAGGCCGAGTCCCAGAAGGCAGAGCTCGAGCCCCTGCCAGAATCAGCCACTGCCAGTATCTTGGACTCAGACGCTGACCAGCTCAAGAAATGGTACGAGTCTGGTCTGGACCTCACCGCCAAGAACAAGGTCGGCGTGGTCCTCATGGCCGGTGGCCAGGGCACGAGACTCGGTAGCAGCGACCCAAAGGGCTGCTTTGATATTGGCCTGCCCTCCCACAAGTCCCTGTTCCAGATCCAAGCCGAGCGAATCCGGCGGTTGCAGGTGCTGGCACACAAGCATGCTGGTCTCCCCGAGGATCAGGAGGTCGTGGTGCCGTGGTACGTCATGACTAGCGGGCCCACGAGGAAGCCAACTGAGGACTTCTTCGAGGCGAAGGGCTACTTTGGCCTTAAGAAGGAGAACGTCATGATCTTCGAGCAGGGCGTGCTGCCATGCATCTCCAACGACGGCAAGATCATTCTCGACAGCAAGGACAAGGTTGCTGTTGCACCTGACGGGAACGGGGGCATCTACCAGGCCCTGGTCACCTCCCCCGTCCTGAGCGACCTGGGCAAGCGAGGCATTGAGCACGTCCACTCGTACTGCGTCGACAACTGCCTCGTCAGGGTTGCGGACCCGACCTTTACCGGTTTCGCCGCCTCCAAGAACGTCGAGATCGCCACAAAGGTCGTGCGCAAGCGCAACGCCACCGAGTCTGTCGGTCTCATCCTGTCCAAGAATGGCCGTCCAGATGTCGTCGAGTACAGCGAGATCGACAAGGAGACGGCCGAGGCCAAGGACCCCAAGCAGCCTGACGTGCTCAAGTTCCGCGCCGCCAACATCGTCAACCACTACTACAGCATCGGCTTCCTCGAGAAGATCCCCACCTTCTCCCAGAAATTGCCGCACCACGTCGCCAGGAAGAAGATCCCTTATGTCGACCTCAAGTCCGGCGAGAAGGTCAAGCCCGAGAAGCCCAACGGCATCAAGCTGGAGCAGTTCGTCTTCGACGTGTTCCCCCTCCTGCAGCTCGACAAGTTTGCTTGCCTCGAGGTCAAGCGTGAGGACGAGTTCTCGCCGCTCAAGAACGCGCGCGGCACCGGAGAGGATGACCCCGACACGAGCAAGAAGGACATCACAACCCAGGGTAAGAGGTGGCTCGAGGCTGCTGGTGCCATCCTCACCGGTGATGGCGATGCTGGTGTTGAGGTATCCCCTCTGATCAGCTATGGTGGTGAGGGACTTGGTCACCTCAAGGGGAAAGAGTTTGGCCTCCCAGCTGTCGTTGCAGACCCTGCCGAGAAGTAGGTTCTCTGGCATGGGCATAAACTGGAAATAATTATGGTGAAACACTTGCATCCCGGTTATCAGGGTTTGGTGTACCTGCGCATTGTAACCCCGGAGCCATGGGAAGCGCTGATGGCGTCTCTGTATCTGTTGAACTAGCCAGACTAGCAACACGTGCATGACTGATGACTAAAATGACAAGCACTGTACCGAGAGCCTATGGGCTTTGGCAGTAGTTATTTCCTAGAATTTATGGTTATACGGGTGGTAACCCTTTAGCGACAAATGATCACTGGTCTCTGATTAGTTAGCTGAAGAGGCTACCAACAGCTTCAGATGAAAAGTGCTCGAGAAGAAATCTCCAAGGTCCCGTTTTATTCCTCCTCCTCCTCCTCCTCCCTCCCCCCTCCTCAACTTATCCCTCCCTCCTGACCTTCTTCCTCTAAATCTCTTAACCTTTTCCCTCCTGGCCTTCATCGCGGCTAGAGGGCTAATTAGAAGCTAGGGACTATCCGTTGCCGAAGAAAAAACCGTTGCCTCTCAAAGAACTGTTAATTCTAGGACTTTAAATGGCCCCCTACTACAGAGCCTCGGTGCAGTACCCACGCGCCACATAAATTATTACCATAACGCCACTCTATCTTAAGAGACAGCGAAAAATTGTAATCTCACTCGGTAGTCTGCACTACACCGAGACATTGTCTAGACGATGCCGCCACCACACGTCTGGTGCTGCGACTGGGATGGAAAACAGACACACCAAGGGCATATCTGTCGACAACAAGGCCTGAAGCCACCGTACTGGCCCAGTATTGGTTTCCCTCGGTCGTGCACAGAGTACAATAATTTTCCTGATGGATGGATTTAGAATGCAACCTAGAACGCCCCCCTGATGTGTTTTATCCCATCTATGTATCTCCCAGAGGCTGAGGCTGAGCCCATCAATGCCAGATGCCATCAGAATCGAAGTGTTCTAATCAACGCGCAACACATACGGATGAACGCACCGGCGTGTATGTACCTGCCGCTCTCCATAACCTGACCGACCCCCCTTACCCGAGTTCCACCAATGACAGTGCCATTTTCCCCATCATCATGAATCCAACACCCGCAAGCCAGTCCTCGGCCAGATGACCCACTTTCTAAACAGCCCTCAACCCCCCACATGGACAGAGTGGGGGGAGAGAGAAAGGCCGCCCCCCTAGGAGCTGTTGAGGTAGCTGAGGTAGCAGTTCCACCCGATACTAATAACGTTGACGAAGAGCACGCGGTGCTCGAGCGGGACGACCTTGAAGTTGACGGCCTGGGCAAAGGGCCACAGCATGTAGTTGGAGGTCAGGGCGGTCTTGTAGTTCTTGTCGAGCTTCTCCTTGACCGAGTTGCCCTCCATGGTGGCCATGGAGCTCAGGAACACGCCGATGAAGACGGGCGCGAAGACGCCCTGGTCCAGGGCCACGCGCGCCAGGATCGTGCCGTTGGGGGACTTTAGGTTCACGTTCTTGGCCAGGAACTTGTACCATGTTGTCGCGGCTGGGCCGAAGACGGCTGTGGGGGTCCGAGTGTTAGTGGTGTTCTTGTTCTAGGAAGGGAGGGGGGTTGGGGGAGGGGGCCTTCATCTCTCTCTCCTGGTGGTGGTGGTGAGAGGGCAGGCGGTGCGAGGAGAGAGGTGAGCTGGCAAGCAAACAGACAGACAAGACTCACCTCCGCCGTAGAGGACCATGCGGCCGGTGCGGGCCAGGTCATGCTTGTCCAGGCCCTTCTTGTCGACGGCCTGCTGGGCGATGACGTCGCCGGTGCCGAAGAGGATGGCGGTGGTGACGACCTGGGTCAGCAGCGGCCGCTTGACCAGCTTGGCTTGGTACCTTTGGGGGTCGGGGTGTTAGCTTGCGAGCCTGGGTTGAGGATGGGTTGAGGTTCTCACCATCTGAGCATCTTGATTGATTGAGAGGAACAGGGATACGATGTGGGATGCCGCAGTGCGTGTGTTGATGTCCAGGTAGTGAGGCTGTATTGGCTGGGCGGAGATGTCGAGGTAGCAAGCAAGCTAGAAAGCAAGCAAGACTTTGGTAGGCTGGTCCTGTTGGTGTATCACTGATGAGGGTGATGAGGATGAGATAAGAAGCTTGCTGTCCTGAACTCAGTGAGTGTCAGTCAGTCAGTCGGTCTTGGGCTGCTTCCCGCTATGGCTCCTCTTTCCCCGAGTGGCAGCTCCTTTCCCGCCTCGGAGGACAATCACCCTAATTTGCGGAGCAGCGTGGGAGAGCCGCGGTGTACCGTTACATTGGGCCCCAGGACCCTGGGCGCGTCTGTAGTTAGTCTACATACACCTAAAGTAGCCTATCTCAACCCATTCTCCAATCCTATACTTGCATCTTCAGCATCATCTACACACAGCATTGGGCAAAACAACATTTGAACATGACTTGGCCACCGGCATGACAGCTGGCCACAGGGACTGCGTACCGTCTCAGGTTCAGTCAAAGCCCGAATAGGCTCACAGCGGCCCGCTGCGGCGCACAGACTGGCCCTGACAGGTGAGAATCCGGGGTCGGGCCAAACTCAATTTCCCATCGTTATTTTCGGATGCAATTTCTCCTTTTTTCTTCGTATATTGCATGCGCAAAATGGCGTTTGCCCTACCGCATTCGGCCACTGCCACAAACCCGAACGACTCACTGCACAGGTCTTACCTCGCAAGGGGCGGTGCACTACGTGGCCCAGAACCAACGCAGCTAAACATGTGGTTGTAAAACTAAGATACAACTCATTCCCTCTGAGGCGTAAAACTGCCGCCATCTTTCATATAGCAATTTCCACAATTTTCTGTATAAATGGTAAATCCCTCCGAGTCCACTCCCTAGTGAACATCATATGCCCTCGACCGCTTCTTTGATAGCCGTGAATATGGCCTGGCCCTCTGGCAAATGTCTGGAACCATTGCTTCAGATGTCCGCCTATTTTGAAATTCATTTTCTCCCCGTTAGGCCGTAAGAGGTATACCAACTCGTAAATTGAAATCTAAAATGGTGGTTAATTTGAATTGCAGACGTAGTGGTCCTCATCATGGGATAGTCAAGTATCAGGGTACCCAGGTGCCTTCAGTCTTACTGACGAAGTACTTCAACCGCACTAGGTCAGCCTCACAGCCTTGTCTTTGTTAATCAGAGCTACGCCACTACGCAGGTTGGCTGCCGGCCTGCCTTGAAGACGTTGGTGTGCTGCTGTGAGTCACTCACCCTGAGGATTCTGCCCCTCCAAACGCTCAAATATCAAATTCCCTTCGACCGCCACTTGCCAAAGCGGACTATCTGTTGGATTCAGAGCAATCTAAGTTGTCGATCTTTGACGGCCTACTCTACTACTCCCCATCACCAAGATGGCCAAGATATACCTGGAACACTTGGACGCCGAGCACCTCCAGCCCTTCCGTCAGGCTCTTTCGAACATACTCAGTACACCAACCGCAGAATCCACTTATGCCCAGATACTAGACGGCATGCCGCTGTCCTTAACATACAGAAAGAATCATTGGTACTGGAAAAACTTCCCTGTTAGCACCCATAATGATTTATGCGCTGGCGCTCTCGAGAAGGCCATAGCAGCTCGGTCAAATTTCGGTTTCGCTTTGCTGCGGTTTGAATCAAAGGCAAGTTCGACCATTCGCGGTTCGATCGTTGTGTCACCACTCAAAAGTAGCTGTCTAACCCGCCAATACCGGTAGACCGTGCAAGCCTATCAAGACGCTGCCCCCGGATCGATGGCCTGGAAACTTCGGCTCATTGAACTACTTGCAGTCGCAGTTCATGATATTGCCGGTCTGCTCTGGAGTTTAGACGATGGTTTTCATAAGCACGCAGATCTTGAGGCCTGGCTCACAAGCAGACTTGAGAGCGAACCACAAGACAAGTTCGAGCGGGTGAACTTGCCGCCACATACCTGGTTCTGGCACGGTGAATACACAAATTCCGACGAGTATCCCAATGGTGTTGCGGACATCGTGGGGTACTGGGCTGAGACACAGATATTTGGAGGGGTCGTGGTCTTCGACCGTGGTGAAAGTGACGAGGAGGTGAGTTGAGTTAGCTCACACCAGTCCTGGTGTCCAGTTGCAATCAACTGTACTGCATGCTGAGAAAGGTGTCTAGTGCAACGGGGTCTACTTGCACAATGCGCAGATTAACGTACACGGATATACTATTGCACCACCGACCGCCGACCAATTCACAAATCTGGTTGATTTCCTCCTCTCCCCGGACCCGGACGGCACCCAGGCACCACTCCCCATTGCGATCACTCTTGCCAACAGATGGCGCTGGGAGCCGTACGAGGCCATGGCAACGTACCACATATTCCGGGACCGCTACGAGAGGAGGCTACCCCCGCGCGAGGTTTACTGGCGACCGCACGGCACCAAGGGCAAGGATTGGCCAGAGCTTGCTGAAGTGCAGTTGTTAAGGAGAGCAGCCATGGGGTACGAGCGCGTAGCACCGGCCGAGATATCTGCTGCGACGGACCGTCTGATGCAGATCACCCCTTCCTCCCGGTACTGGTATCAGGTGGAGGCCGAGGTGTGCAGGCTCCAGCCGGACAAGAAGAAACAGGGACGGCCGCCGTATTTCTTCGATGAGTGATCTGGCTGTAATTCTGGTATTGTGGGACGATGTTGCCAGTAGTTTCCTCAGAGTGCACAAGCACAGCATCACGACACTGTCGTGTCAAAGTGCGAGCCATAGCCGGCATCTGAGCAGTCACCAGAGGCCTGTTCACACTTGATAAGGGCCTATATGCCCGTCTTCTCCCACTAGGAAGAACAAAACCCACAAGACAAGCAACTCTTGTAAGCCCACACAACCTTCTTGTCGTCCCACAATCTCGCCTCCTGGGCATGTTTGCCCAGCCTGCACAGCCTTCCAGGACGACGAGCTTAAATTCTCGCAGCCGCCTCAAGCAACCGCCCCACCCGCTGGGATCACCCAGGGGGGAGTATATACGGCCGTCACAAACCAACACGTGCCCCCGTCTGCTCTCACCGAGGGGAAGCTGCAGATGCTCGGCGCTCCTGCAGCAGATCGCGCTTGGCCCGCGCGGATCACGCTGCCTTGGCCAGCTGGGCGGGCGGGCAGGGCACGCCGGTGCTCGTGCACGTGTGAGGGAGCAGCAGCGCCTCTCTCAAATAGATCGCAGGTGTCGAGGCCGTTTCAAGGCAGCGAGTGAGTGGTCGCAGACGTCGAGACGAGGAGAGAGGCATTTTCCACTGGCGTCCTGACGTAGCGAGTGTGTTTTGTTCGGTGTAACCCGAGGGCTCTTAGCCAGTATTGTCGGCTGTGTCGCCCTTTCTCTGGGCTACGTCTCGTCCGCGCTTGGCAACCTTGGGTTCCCCGGAGCCATCCCATCAACCCTCGCGGCGAGCAGGTCAAGAGGGGAAGGAAAATGCCGTACTCCGCAGTCGACCAGGCCCGATCCTGGCGATCTCAGGAACAGACAGAGTCCAGGTCAGGCCCGGCATAAGGGATCGAACAAGGTGGAGAAGAAGAAGAAGTGAGGCGGCGATCTGCATCTCCCACAAACTCCCTCGATCTCATCTGTGTATGGGGGATTCTTCATCCCAAGTATTCTTCCAGGCGTCTTCCACCAACGGCCCCACCATCACCACCTAGGTAGTGCGTCCGCCCGTGGTTGCTGGGCGCTGTGTGGGCGGTGGCAGGCATATCCCCATCATCTCGGCCGAGTCCTCGACGCCTGCCCCTGTGCGGTACATGCCGGGCCTTAGAAGGAGGACAGTTGAGGCCCGGGAGCAGCCACTATTATGACACTTGCCAGGAGAAAGGGCCTCTCCCGGACTAGCTGGATGATGAGGTCAGCGAGCAAACAAGCAAGCAAGCAATCAGGCAAAGAAAAACAGGCCGGGGTCCTGTCCGATCTGGAACGGCCCTCGTCTGACGAGGAGGAGTGCACCAGGAGGAGGGGGACGAGGTCAAGCAGGCAGAAGAGCCGCCGGGACGATTGGGGCCCGTGCCCACCCATACCCCTGTCCCCTCTCTCACAGGACATGACAAGCAAATGATCTCCAGGGAGAAGGCGCCCCCAAGGCAGAAAGGTGCAGATCCAGAGTCTCAAGCCGTGTTTTGGGGCCCTGCCACTTTTCCCTGGGCGGGCTATTACAGGCTGGCAAGGCAAGCAAGCAGGCGAGCAACACCGCCGCCCACCACTGACTGCGTCCCGCTCCGCCGCTCCCATTGTGGGACTGGCTTTTGCCCATTCTCTCTTTCCGTTCCGCTCTTCCATTCTGCCTTACCCGCCCGCTGTCACTGCTCCAGAGTAGGATAGTTGGTAGATGCCTATTTTATTCGGGACCAAGACTGATGATAAATTTGCAAATTCTCGCATTGTCTTATGTAGAATGGTAATTGACGAGAAGAAAAAAAAAATAGTAATTGACGAGTTGATTGACAGGAAGAACATTATGGACAAGAGATCCCCTCGACCTTGAAATCCAAGGAAAATCAACTCGCAGATCTCCCCGTCGCCCAAGTTGGGTCGAGACAGACCGTTGATATTTTTGACAAAAAACTGGCAGTGCCACCAGTTCAAAAAACCATCTACTCAAGCCCCACCCGTTCTCCACGTCCAAGTTCGGGCGCTTTGTTGATGCAACCACCACAGATGCTGCCTGTGCCTGTGGTCCGTGTCCATGAGTCTCCCCCGGTCCGCTCTCCTCTGGTGGGTTTCAGCCGTATCGGAAGCCCCCGGTTTCATCCAGCCCATCATGCGTCGTGGTATAATGTTTTGGGAATGCGTGGATTGTGACGACACCCCATAGACATGACATGGTGTTTTTTTCCCTTTTTCTTAAAAAAGAGACAAGCAAAATGGCCCCGTCTAGAAGTGTTCCTTCCAGAAACGGAAGTCGACCTCACGGACAGTGGCGGCCTTACATGCCTTCTTGATATCGCGAGCTGTATGGGTTGTTAGCAGGAAAGTCAGCGTGAAAAGTAGATAATTCGGATGAACTTACCAGCTGCCGAGGGACCACAGAAGTAAACACCGACGGTCGTCCTCATGCTACCCTCAAGACCGTTCAGGTACGAGCGGTCCAGGATTCCGTCCCTCATACCAGTGAACAGCCTGCAGAAATCGGGTCGACCAAAGTTGGTACGGGCCTTGAGCTCGGTAAGAGGGTCCACCTCAGCACCGACAGAGTTCAGCACAATGTTGTTCATGGTGTCCTGGTCCAGCTTCTGCGTCAGGTAGGTGTGGATCTTGAGGAACTCGACGCCCGAGCTGCCCGGGATGCGGGCCGCCTCGGTGGACTGCTGCTCGAGCGACGACAGGAGGGTCTGGAACCACTCGAACGAGTTGGTGTCCTTGCAAATCCACAGGAACTCGACTCGGCGAAGACGTGTGGGCGGGTTCGGGCTGTTGCGCAGGTGCCAGATGTTCTTCAGGATGGCCGCCCAGGGCGTCACACCGATACCCGTGCCGACCAGCACCGCGATCTCGTTGTCGAACACGTCCTCGGCAGGTGCACCGTAAGGTCCATCGATCCGGAGCGCAGGCATCTGCTGTCCGTTCTGCAGCGCCACCTCGTACATTCCCATCGGGTCCACGCCCTCGTACAGCTTGGCCTGTGCGCCACCGGCACCAACAGCGTCACCAAGCGCCCGCGTGAAGTCACCAACCTGGCGGACGTGGACAGAGACATAGGGGTCGTAGGAGCACGAGGTAATGGTGAACGGGTGCCACTGGTACTTGGACACGGAAGGCAGCTGCAGGAAGAGCCACTGTCCGGCCTTGTACTTGAAAGAGGGCTTCGAGAACTGGATCTCGACGACATCTGGAGGGTTGTTAGTGTGGGATCTTCACGTGAGCAGAGGAGATAATTGTCGGCACTCACCATAGGGGTGGCGAACAACACGAGTAATCTTGGTTGAACGGCGGGCCCTGATCTCACGGTACAGACGCTCCATAAGGTAGATTCCACCGCCAAAGGTCTCCCATCTCCAGCCCTGGTATCCGATGCAGTGAGTCCAGAAGATGTCCCCGGCAAAAGGCGAGAACGCGTTGGCGCTGTCACGCACGAAACAGCCGACTGCGTGCGTGTAGAGTCCAAGGATGAAAGGGATGAAGAGGTGGTGGGTGTACCAGAAGGTCTCGAATGACTGCTGTCGGATTCTGTGGTGCGCAGTTGTATACATCAGAAGCATGCAGAGAAGCATGATGTGGCCGGTGATACCGCCAGGCTGGGCATAGTGGATCTGCAGGGCGAGAACCGGTCGGATTTGCGTTACCTCAACGTTGAAGAAGCTAGAAGACCTATCAGTGCATGTTTGCGGGATCGATCCAGGGGAAAGGCCTACTTGACGTAGTGAGCAGTGACGTGTGCAACGGTGAAGAACAGCATTGCATATGCGACCTGACGATGAAACCACAGGTTCTCGTCCAGAGGGATGAACCTGATCTTGGGTCGAAGCCATCTCACCAGTGTCCGACATACTGGAAGCAATATGAACAGACCGTCGAAACTCAATACCAATCCAGCACCACGCGAGATCCAGACGGAGAACTGGAGACCGTTGAGACCGGCGAGTCGAGGGTCGGATGCTTGCTTATACCTGCAGTCCGTCAGTACCTAGAGGCCCATAGCGGCGTGGGAGCAAAGAGGACCACCATACCATCCATAGCCGAACAGAAAAAAGTGAATGCCCCAGAAAATGAAGTAGAAGGACAGTTTCGGAACAGTAAACTGCTTCTTGACCAACGTGCCGTAGCCCATCTTGAATGCCGTCGGGGATCCTCCCTCTTCTTTCCCCAGCAAAAAGCGAATTACTTAGTCGACCGGCGACGTATGGGCAGCTCGTTGTGAATTTGGCTGGTGGTGACCTCGTCGAAAATCGGTGCGCGTCGTGGCAAGAATCCCAAGCGAGTCGGCCTCGGATCCACCTTTCCCTTATTACAATATTCTATACCGGACAAGAGATTCGAACAGACAAGTCGGCTCGATGTTGTTGATGAATTAAAGAGCGATCTGAGCCAGCAGCGACTGAAAGGAAAGAATGCCAAGGAAAAAAAGGCTCGTGGTAAATGGACAGTACTTCAGCCTGGGCCGTCGAGGGGGGAGTAGAGAGGTTAAAGGTTGCCGAGACTTTGATAGTGGGCGGAGGGGGTAGTCATAAAGGCCCGAGGACGAAACACCACGTCCAGTGTGGCCCAGAAGACCAATGAGAGCAGTCTAAGCCCAATCCAGAGAGCGCGCAGAAACGGCCAATTCCCCCTAGATCAGACTCTGGTAGTCTCAATGACCCTGAAATCCAGTGTTCGGATGTCAGTTCGTCCATGAAACGTCTAATCCACTTGCGGATTCCAGCCCTCTTTTGGTCCCATAGATCGAGTCAACGGGAGCAAAGTTGCCCGCCACAGCCGGGTTAACGAGGGTTTTGGGACGAGGTCAGGGCAGAGGCCAGGCCAAGCCCTAGTCTGGGAGGTGTCCCTGCCGAGGAGGTAGATCAGACGTTGGAAAGGGTTTCGCTTAGGGGAGAGCCCGTGTCAGATGGGACCAAGGTCTGGTGCTGTCAGACTGGCAGAGCAATGCGACACACTAGTAGTGGAAGAGTTGAGACGAGCCGCGTTAGAGATGACCAGAACCGGGGGTGCAGCGTGGCCGATCTGGTGTTTCGGCCCGGACCAGGATCTGGTAGCATGCAACTCGAGCAGCGGCGGCGGCGGCGCGTTGATGTTATCTGTCAGCGCGCAAATGCACTTCTTTCATCATATTGTCGTCGAGGTAGATGTAGAGTGCATCGGGGGAGGTTTACGTTCAGACTCAGGAGGAGAGGGCAAGATGTCTTCGACCTCTCCAGTCGAATGGAGGGGCCTGGGCGCCGGGCCACCTAAGAATAGGCATTCGTGTGCAACCTGCAGAGGTGTGACCACCACGAGGCCGGCGCTTAGGATGGAGAAGTGAGAGGCAAGATGGAGAGCTGCATGGCCGCCAGGGACGGCTGGGATTCGCCAGAGGGACTCTTGGGACGACTTGACGGCGAACGCTAAACCCAACCCAGGCGGCCTTCGACCGAGCCTCAACCCAATCAGCACTGCGAACCCCCAATTGTTACAGGGGCCCCTGGCAGCCCCGTGCCGTGATGCGGCTTGTGCCTGCGGAGCAGGGGAGTCCCACATCTTCCCACGACTGGTCGTATCTTGTAGACTACTGGGTATCCGTGCCTGGGTTAGGCTGGGCTGTCCGGCTCAACCGCAAGAAACCTTAGTCAAACCTCTCTTCCCCGTACAAGTCTTCGACCGCCCACTGTTAGCTGTGAGAGATCCATGAGTGCTTGGCGGCCCTATCGTCATCGGAAACCAGGTACGCCAACGTCGTCGGGAGACTTGTGGCTCCAGATCTCAAGGTCGGGCAAGCAGATCGACTGGTCCTTGTACCGGCCGGGGCAGGCTGCTTGGGCACTTGGTAATGATGGACGGCGATCGTCGAATGTGTCTGAAATCCGTCGTGTGTGAGGACAGCAACCAAGCAAATCCTCCGCCTGCCAAGCAGGCTTGGGTGTGAGTTGTCCCTCCTCAAGTGGCATCATCGGTGTGGCCATGTTGTACACAGATCATTCGATAATCATATAAGCCTTGGGTCGTCTCCCTCGGACGGCAGATGCGCCTTCTGCACTCCTCCACTCTTTGGTTGACTTTGTTGACTTGATGCAGGGGCGGGTCCCGGGAAGCGTGCGTCCAGTGCAGCATTCGGCGGTAGGACCCCGGCTCGCCCGCCAGATTTTAAGCGTATTTGGAGCCTCACGCTCCTGTGGAGCGCCATGTCATGCGTGCGAGTTTGAAACGGCTGGAGACAGCCCCCTCGCCGGGTATGCGCGAGCCACCACCGGTAGAGCGTCAAATACAACGTCTCGAGAATAGCAGAGTAGATGACAAAGGCCTATCCTGCCATTGGTCTGCAGATGGCCGCATGGACGCCGCCACCCGCCAGCGCAGGAACCTAGGAGCGGAAAAAACTCGAGGTCAGACAGCAAGTGCCACAGCCCTCCCTGCTTGAAATTGCGTGGCGGTGACAGATTTTCAGAGGCGGCAACATGATGCTTGCTCGAAAGTCGATCTTTCTGCGAGCAGGAGACCAAGATCACCAAGTCTAAGCTTCAGGTTGAAAGTTCCGGCCGGCGTGGGGTGCGTCATTGAGGATGCGGGCCGGTTGATAAACACATCGGCCTTTTAGAGTTGGGTTTTACCAGCTGCGCGCAGTAGCGTTACATCAGCCTCGCCCTAGGCTCATGTCCTGGAGCATATGTAGTAGAACTGCTTCCTAAATAGTCCCAAAGCACGCGGGGCATGTCAGATGTTCTTGTGGATTTTGGGATATGCGAATTGCCATAGTTGCAAGACGACGAAGCCCACAGCCGATACGATATATGCTGCTGGTCTCGTTGTCGTCCACAACAGGGAGACTTTCGCGCCTACGGCGTATGCTGCTGTTTGCAACGAGGAGATTGTGTTCTGCTGCCAGAAGTTACAGATCCGTATCTGGAATGGCTGTGGTTGTGGTTGTGGCTGTCTCCACTTGCACGACACAGCAACAACTGGGACAACGCCTCCCACTCAGGTTAAATATGCTTCTGGTGTTGCATGAAAGCAATTTGGCGTGGTAGGATCTTGCTCGCTGCACCTTTGCACACCAATCCACTAGCTGGCAGGTGGTGGATTAGTTGCTGCTCGCCAATTTCATCCCAGGAGGGCAGAGCCGTGTGTTTGGACACGATGGAGACGTGAAGCTTAATTATTTAAGCTTCACGACGGCGGGGGATCTAGCCGGTGACGTCGGATGGGACCCTCTCCAACGCCAGGTGTCCCTCTTTCAGTGCTGCGGAGTACGGATACTGACTCCAATGCGATACCGAACGAGCGAGTTCCCAACAGCGAGAACGAGCTTTTGCCTGTTCTTGATGGCAAAGCACATTCCGGATGGTCATGGTCGTCGGAGTCAGTCGCACCCTCGCACAGGCACTGCTCGTACAGCTGGTATGCCGAGTACAAACTGATGATGAGAGTTCCATCCAAAGCGGGTATCGGGTGCAGGCCACGATTTGCGCAGTAATTGTTGTGCGAATTGACGGTTGAAATAATGAGATGATTCAATCTAATTCGTAGCAATGTGGATGAGGCGTGGCGAGTAGAGCCCAAGGGCATGATGGGTTGCCGTGGGCGTCGCTTCTTTGTCGCATGAGGCATTATTCATGGACATCCAGATCCAGGCAGGCTTCAATGTGGCCCAGCCCCCTCTGGTGAGCTGTCGGTCAGCGACGAGGCAAAATCCTTGCGCGGCCGGGTGAGGCGCAGTGACTTGGTGGTGACTATTGGGCCTTGCTTGGGCAGGCAGGTGTGGCAGGAGTTACGTCAGCGGATCCGCCCATTCATATCGCGTGCGTACTGGCGTGCCGTCTCGCAGCGCAGAAGGAGTCCTCATTTGATTGCGGTACTCCGTAGAGCCTGACAGCCTGATCAGTGATCAGTGAGGGTGGAGGGGCAGAGGGGGCCGGTCCCTTTTTAGCAGCCCTGGAGAGTAGGTACACTTGGCCATGACTGGCAGCAAGGCGTGCAGCTTCGTCACTGCACACGCTGCCGTACAGTCAGGCTGTCTTTTGCCAAGCAACTTGTTTCCTCTCGGTCGAGGGCTTGTACATGGGCTTGTAGGCTGCACCGGCAACCCTCCTTACCGTTGGCACGGGCTACCCGGGTGCATCATCTGTTAGCTGTTAGTCCGTAATCCGTGTTGCGAAACTCGAAACATCCTCTCCCCGTCCGCCATCCCCCGTCCTTACGCGGCAATCCCCCACTACCGAAATCCCTCGTGCCGCCGATCAACGACGCCGACGACGTCCACGATAGACCACCCTCCTCCCCTCCTCGAATTGTGCGCCTTTGCTGGCCCATCGTCGACCTGCCATCCTCGCAGGCGCAGATCACAATACACCCATTGCTGCGAGGGCTGTCCTGCCCCTATGTCCGCCCCTGACTGAGTCGCCCTTCACAACAACAGCATCTCACCACTCTGTCCACCGCCACATCGTCACGGTCCCTTCCACATATTAGCCGCCCGTCATGGTAAGCGTCGCCCGATCCCTCCGTCGTTCTCGCCCAACATGCGCACCCGGTCTCGGGTCTCCTCCTGCTTACACTCACGTCGCAGGGTATCACCAACCGCCGAAAGGATAAGGGGGCCAAGCAGGGCGGAGCCGTCGCAGCAGGCGGTGGCCATGCCGGAGGAGGAGCGAAGCCCAAGAAGGCCACCTTCGAGACCACAAAGAAGAAGGAAATCGGTGTCTCAGACCTGACCCTCCTCAGCAAGGTCTCCAACGAGGCCATCAACGATAACTTGAAGAAGAGGTTCGAGGGCGCCGAGATCTACACCTACATCGGCCACGTGCTGGTTTCCGTCAACCCCTTCCGCGACCTCGGCATCTACACCGACCAGGTTCTCGAGAGCTACAAGGGCAAGAACCGACTCGAGGTCCCCCCACACGTCTTCGCCATCGCCGAGTCCGCATACTACAACCTCAAGGCCTACCATGACAACCAATGCGTCATCATCTCGGGCGAGTCCGGTGCCGGCAAGACAGAAGCTGCGAAGCGCATCATGCAGTACATCGCCAACGTCTCGGGGGGCGAGTCGGGCGACGTCAAGCAGATCAAGGACATGGTGCTGGCAACCAACCCCCTGCTCGAGTCCTTCGGAAATGCCAAAACACTGCGGAATAACAACTCCTCACGTTTCGGCAAGTACCTGCAGATGCACTTCAACGCTCAGGGAGAGCCCGTCGGTGCCGACATCACAAACTACCTGCTCGAGAAGTCCAGAGTAGTCGGCCAGATCCAGAACGAGCGGAACTTCCACATCTTTTACCAGTTCGCCAAGGGCGCATCCCAACAACACAGGGAGATCTTCGGAATACAAAAGCCCGAGACATATCTCTACACAAGCAAGTCAAAATGCCTGGATGTTGACGGGATCGACGATCTCGCCGAGTTCCAGGACACGCTGAATGCGATGAACCTGATCGGTCTGTCCCAGGCGGAGCAGGACAACATCTTCAGGATGCTGTCTGCAATCTTGTGGACTGGTAATCTTGTTTTCAAGGAGGACGACGATGGTTATGCCGCGGTGTCTGACTCATCCGTTGTCGACTTTCTGGCATACCTGCTCGAGGTCGACGCGCAGTCCCTCATCAAGGCCATCACCATCCGTATCTTGACGCCGAGGAACGGCGAAGTCATCGAGTCTCCCGCCAACATTGCGCAAGCAACGGCCACTCGCGACGCGCTGGCAAAGGCCATCTATTACAACCTGTTCGACTGGATTGTGGAGAGAGTCAACCAGTCGCTCAAGGCCAGGCAACCCACCACAAACTCAATCGGAATTCTCGATATCTATGGATTTGAGATTTTTGAGAAGAACAGTTTTGAGCAACTGTGCATCAACTATGTCAATGAGAAACTGCAGCAGATCTTCATCCAGTTGACGCTCAAGGCCGAGCAGGAGGAATACGCCCGAGAACAGATCAAGTGGACACCCATCTCATACTTCGACAACAAGGTTGTGTGTGACTTGATCGAGCAGACCCGCCCTGTCGGCATCTTTTCTGCCATGAAAGATGCCACCAAGACTGCGCACGCTGACCCGGCTGCTTGCGACCGGACGTTCATGCAGAGCATCAACGGCATGTCAAATGCCCATCTGACGCCGCGTCAAGGAAGCTTCATCATTAGGCATTATGCTGGTGACGTGAGCTACACGGTTGATGGCATCACGGACAAGTGCAAGGATCAGCTGCTCAAGGGCGTCCAGAACCTCTTCCAGCTCAGCCAGAACGCATTCATCCACACGCTGTTCCCCCACCAGGTCGACACCGATAACAGGAAACAACCGCCATCTGCCGGTGACAGGATTCGAACTTCGGCGAATGCGCTTGTCGAGACGCTTATGAAGTGTCAGCCATCATACATTCGCACGATCAAGCCAAACGAGAACAAGTCACCGACTGAGTACAATGTACCAAACGTGCTTCATCAAATCAAATACCTTGGTCTACAGGAGAACGTCAGAATTCGTCGGGCTGGTTTTGCATACCGTCAGTCTTTCGAGAAGTTCGTCGATCGATTCTTCCTGCTGTCGCCTGCGACGTCGTATGCGGGAGAGTACACATGGACTGGCTCTTATGATGCGGCTGTAAAGCAAATTCTCAAGGACACAAGTATCCCGCAGGAAGAGTGGCAACTTGGTGTGACGAAAGCCTTTGTCAAGTCTCCTGAAACCCTCTTCGCTCTTGAGCATATGAGGGATCGGTACTGGCACAACATGGCAACTCGTATCCAGCGAATGTGGCGAGCATACCTCGCATACAGGGCTGAGTCGGCAACGCGTATCCAACGATTCTGGCGCAAGAAGCGCACAGGTGCTGAGTACTTGCAGCTAAGGGATGACGGCCACCGCGTGCTTCAGGGCCGCAAGGAAAGACGACGCATGAGTCTGCTGGGTTCTCGACGATTCCTTGGAGACTATCTGGGTATCAACGCGACCACTGGGCCTGGGAGTCAAGTGCGCAACGCCATCGGACTGGGGAGCAACGAGAAGGCGGTCTTCTCGTGTCGCGGTGAGCTTCTGGAGGCCAAGTTCGGCCGCTCCAGTAAGCCGAGTCCCAGGATCATTATTGTGACGGGCAGCAAATTCTACACCGTCTCTCAGATGCTCGCGAACAACCAGGTTCAGATCGTCGTCGAACGAGCTGTCCCCTTGGGAGCCATCAAATTCGTCGGCGCCTCGACCGCCCGCGATGATTGGTTCTCGCTCGGAATCGGCTCTCAACAGGAAGCAGATCCGCTCCTGAACTGTGTTTTCAAGACGGAGATGTTCACCCAGATGCAAAGGGTCATGCCGGCTGGTTTCAACCTGAAAATAGGGGAGACAATCGAGTACGCCAAGAAGCCCGGGAAGTTGCAGCAGGTCAAGGTCCTCAAGGATTCTCCTTCGCCGGCCGATTTCTACAAGAGTGGTGCGGTGCACACGCAGCCCGGCGAGCCACCAAACTCGGGCTCAAGACCTATGCCCAAAGCCAAGCCCGTGCCGCCGAGGCCCATCACGAAGGGCAAGCTGATCAAGCCTGGCGGACCCAACGGCCGGCCGTCAAGAGCCACAGGAAATAGAACGCCCCAACCCAGGCCCGGAGCTGCAGGGGCCGCGGCCCCGCGTGCTGTACCCAACCCTACCCCAAGGCCCACCCCGAAACCAATACCTGCCCCTGTCACCATCCCTTCACATAACCGAAACCAGTCAGCCGCTTCCGCAACTCGTGTACCGCCTCCACCGCCGCCGCCTGCCGCGCCCCCGGCCAAGGCGAAGATCATGGCCAAGGTCCTGTATGATTTCGCCGGCCAGAGGGAGAACGAGTTGACCATCAAGGCCGGCGACTTGATCGAGGTTGTCCAGAAAGAGACAAATGGTAAGTCACTCCTGTTCATAGCAACCCCCCCCCACCCCCCAAACTCAGTCTTCACCTCAGGCGAGCGCACGGCTAACCCTGATTAGGTTGGTGGCTCGCAAAGAATGCGGACGGCCAGGCATGGGTGCCCGCAGCATACGTGGAGGAACAAGCACCCGCGCCAGCACCGAGGGCCCCGCCACCGCCCCCGGTCGCAAACGGAAGGGCGAAACCAGCAGCGCCCCAGCCCCCGGCGAAGCGACCCGCGGCGGGGCGCAAGCCGGCGCCGCCCCCGCAGCCGCGCGACTCGGGCATGAGTCTCAACGGCAGTGCTGACGGCAGCCGGAGCAACACACCGACGCCGAGCCTGGGGGGCAGTCTGGCGGACGCGCTCCTGGCGAGGAAGCAGGCGATGGCTAAGAAGGACGACGATGACGACTGGTAGTGGCGCCTATGCAGTGGAAGACGAGGAGCAGAGTCGGGTCTAAGTTTGCGTGTGGTCTACCTGCTCCGACGTGGTTAGAATGAGCAAAGGGTCGCGTGCGTGGTGGTTGTGGTTCGTTTCGGTGCTGCATAGCCCTTGTTATTTTTGCTCTCGCCTTGTATGGCGAGCCATAGAATGGCGAGGATGGGAAAAGGGAAAAGAAGAGAAAGGTGCTCTTGTTTGTTCGATAGACGGGCGGGCTGGCTTGACCAGGCCCTGCTCGGTGTTTTGAAGTATCAAGAGTTGTCAGTATTGAACATAGTACATATTTCAGAAAGATATCATTTAAGCATCTCTGGAGATTGGCTTGGTGATCTCGGGGTCCGGGGTAATCATGTAGCTTTAAGACCTGTTCTCGTGTCTTTTGTCAACGATTATGAATGCCGCGTGTTGGCCGCATTGATTACGGCCAGTCAAATTCTCATTGGGTCACCCTGCTAGCACGAACGGACTGTGGCTACGGTTCATTGGATCTGACCTCGACTATCTATCCTTTCCGTAGGCCTTCCTTCGACGTAGCAGCTCGCCAAGGGGCACATCCTCATCGTCATCCTCCACATCCTCATCCACGCCAAAGTCTCGCAGGCGGTCGCCCTCTGAGTTCGTCCACCCGGGCTCGCCGTCGAACCCCCTCTCGTAGTAGCCCTGGCCGGGTATCACGGGGACCGCCCTGTCCGAGGCGCCCCCTTCCCCTAACCCGTCCTCCTCGTCTTCATCATAATAACCACCGCTGCCACCGCTCTCGTTGTCGTCGACATAGTCATACCCCTCCTCGATATCCTCGATCCCCTCGTCCTCGCCCAGCTCGGCGATGACGCCCGACGTGCCCCGCCGCCGCCGCAGGTCCATCTCCTGCCGCGCGCGGAACGCCGCCATCTCCTCCTGCGGGCTGGCCCACCTCCTGTCGACGAGCTCTGCCTCCTGCCGCCGCGAGGCCTCGGACCCGGGCCAGCCCTTGCCGCCGCCCGCCGCAGCCCGCCGCAGCTTCTCCGGGTCCGCGGGCGGCCACATGCCCTCGCGGTCGTTGAACCCGTTCTCCTCCCACTCCCACCCCGTGCCCTTGCCGGCGGCCGCCCCCTCCCCGCTCGAGACCTTTGGCCCGCCGCCTATCAGGGGGTCGAGCCACGTCAGGACGTTCCTGGTGCCCATCGCCTGTGCCATGTTGGCGAAGAAGCCGATGTCGTAGGGGAACTCGACCCGCTCGATCTTGACCTTGCCGCCGGCGCCGGGCCCGGTCCACCACCCGGCCCGCCTGGACCTGAGGAGCACCGCCTCGTGCCTCTCCTGCTCCCAGCCCTCGATCATGGTGATGTTGAGCACCCACCCCCTAGCAGTAGTAGCCAGGAGTATGACCAGCGCGAACGAGACCAGGAACCCGGCGATCGCCAGCAGGACCAGGTGGATCAGCACGGGGACGCTGGGGCCCAGGTACGAGGGCAGGGCCGAGTTGTCCCAGAAGATGAGGCGCAGGCGCGGGTACAGCAGCCACCAGAGGAGGTAGCCCAGGGCGAGGTTGGTGTAGACCAGGAAGCGCAGGAAGTAGGGGAAGGTCTGCAGCGAGACGCAGTTGTTGGTCCAGGGGCAGTGGTGGTCCATCTTGGGGATGCAGGTCTTGCAGAGGCGGCAGTGGTGCGCGCGGAGGGGCTTGGGGGCGTCGCATTTCTTGCACCAGCGGGTTGTTGCCGAGGTGGTGGTGGTGGTGATCGTCGTCGTCGTCGTCGGCTTGCTTTTGGGCTCGGGGTGGGGTGTGGGTGTGTCGGCTGGCTTGTCTGAAGGGGTCTCGCCGTCTTTGCTAGTCGGTGGGGGGTCGTCGGACTTGTTGGATGTTGCTGGCGGTTGTTTTGGGAGGAAGTCGTAGCGGCCTGGGGGCACGGTGCATGCCTTGTAGTATGTGATCCATAGGCAGGCGAGGAGGATGTTGAATATGGCCGTCTCCCTCTGGGTCATGGGCCCGGGCTCGAGGTTCTCAGCGACGTTGAAGAGCCATTGCGACGTGTAGCCCAGGAAGACGATCAGGAGGCAGACGGCCGGTACGAAGAGGGACTGGTAGTCGGTGGATGCTGGCCCGGTGAGTAGGCCAGCCATGTCTGGAGTTTGAGAGTCAGGGCGGGAGGTGAGTGTCGGCTGCTTGTCGTCAACTCGTCAACAGGTCAACATGGCAGTTGCAAGCGAGGCGCTCGCAGTCAGTAGCCTGGTGTTGAAGGTTCTGATCAGTAGTAAATCCCTCGGTGTAGGGTTGAGAACAATAATAAACAAAGAGAGCACGAGCACAGCACACCCAGTTGTGCGGCTCGTTGTATCACGAGGTTGGCATGTTGAGGGCAGGTGGTACAGCCGACTTGTCAGCCGTGCATTGTGGTCGCAAATCAGCCAGCCTTCCGCGCAGCCCGTATTCAGGGGACGCGACGTCAGTCTTTGGGAGGTCAAGGGACCCCTGCTCAGAAGCAGGGGCACCTCGTGTGGCCTGGCCAGGTGCTCGAGTACTGCGACCTCACAATGGCAAGCTCCACGTCGATATTATACAAATGCCCACGTCACGTATGGGAATCTGATATTTTCTGGAAGGAGTTTGACGGAAGCCAAGTCTGGCTGAAAAGTCGCAGATCTTTCAGATTGATTGTTGCATCACTACATAGATCAAGGCGTGGTTAAGAGCAAAAGTATCTCGCCCTACAGGTCGCAGATACATGAATGTCGGGTTGGCTGACATAACCAGCTGGACTGTCCAGATGCAAGTCAGTCAGTCTCCAACATCGACCCCTTCCCGAGACCTGCAGCGCCCCTGACCAGTCTTCCTTTCCGCAGAATTGGTCTGCAGGCTCATTAATACTGAGGTTGATATGGCATCAGCCCATGCCTACTTTTGACACTCGTTTGCCTGTCTGTGCCAGCCCACAACGCGCCGGATGTGACGGCCGCACCATTTGTAGCTACCCCTTTCTTTCTCCAGGGTTAGCGTCAGCGACATCACTCTCCATCCCGGAGCACACCTCGTTGCCTTTGCTAGATGGACCATCACGTGCATCATGGCCGAACCTTCTCAGCTTGCGCTTCTATGGTCAGTGCCTTGCGCCGCAGTCAACATACCTAAACACACAGCACATTTCCATCTGACACCAATACAGCGCTCTCACATCTTTCTTCTACCTTTATGAAAATATAGGCCGCCATCCACTGCTTGGTATGGTCTTGTAGCCGTAGCATTCCAACATCATTGATATCTTTCTTACTCTTCTTACAGAGCGACCACGGATTTCCGAGGTACTGATATGCCTGATATCTGGTCTGGTCATATTTGCTGTCGGCCTTGCCTCTAAATGGCTGCCCGTGACCAGTGGCCGGTTTGGTACGCAATGTCTATCATCCATGTAAAGCCTGTAAATATGTTTACCCTCGCTAACTACTTGTTCAGACAGGAATGCTGGCTACTCCAAGCTTGGTGAGCCAGAACAGTCGGGAAATCCCAGCAGGCCTCGCAGATACTTCTGGCCGCTCTTGCTCGTTCTCATTGTCATCCGTCTCGAGTTGTCCCGCTGGCTTCAATTTCGTCTTTTGTGTAATAAGCCAGGCGTTGAAGTAGGTATCTATCTATCACCTGCTGGATCTTGGGCTAATTTTCCCAGTGTCTGTTGCCTGTCTTGCTTGCCTTCTACGATGCATGCACCGCCAGGAAAAGAAGGCCGGTGAATGATCACGGCGATGATGACTACGACATGATGGGGAACGACGTCTTCGAAGACATTGCCTTTTGGTGGATGAACTCAAAGATTGTCCTACTCACGGGCACGTCACTGCTCAGCTACGGTGCATACTTGCTGCTCCAACCGAGTGTGCAGTTGACTACCTTCTGCCCGGAGTCGCAAAACAAAACGACGATTCTCGCTCTGCAGTACCTGGGGGTCTTCCTTGATGCCGCCATTCTCATCCTTGCCTGGCGGATACTCACTTCCAGCCGCACAACGGCCACCAGACTTAGAAGCCTCAGTGCAATCCTGGTCTCGGCTTCAGTACTCATTTCTCTGGTCGTCCTCATCCCCAGTCTTATCAGTTATCGGCTCAGGGGTTACTTTCACTTTGCCGAAATGTACGGCGTGGATTCCCTATACTTCTTTGATGTCTTCAATGACTCCATGGTTCTCTCCCTGCTATTCGTTTGCTTTTCTCTCTATACGTGCCAATCCTCCCCACTGGCATCAACCGGCATTGTTGTCTTCCTTTGCGGAGCCCTGGCTACTTATGACAAGCTGGTGCTGCTCGGCACCTGGGAGCACCTCTCTCGATGGGGCATTGTGCTTCCACTCTACGCGTTATGCTTTGGCTGTACCATATTTATGTTCCGGAACCAAGTCCGCATGTTTGTTTCCCGCTGGTTTCTCACCTTCCTCCTCTTCGCTGCAATGGTTGGCGTTTCGTTCTACTGTCTTCTAGCAGCGGACATTATGACCAGGCACCCCTTGGACACGCTCATTTACAAGTCTAGAACTAGTGCAGATCACTGGGCTAAAAAGGCTTCTGTAAGTCAAAGTGTGAGGGTTGCTGTCGACGAGTACCGCGAGCGTCACCCAGGTCGCAGCCCCCCACCCGGCTTCGAGATATGGTACGAGTTTGCTAAATCGAGGGGGTCTTTGGTCATCGATGAGTTCCAGCAAATTGAGGAAGATCTTATGCCGTTCTGGGCCCTCAGTCCTGGCCATATTCGAGAGATTATCACCCAGCTTGGGACAAACAGAGATATTGGGCTCGTCAGTATACGGAAAGGCGCCGTCACCCACCAGCCTGCAGTCGACTCGTCCCATAATGCCATGTTGGATGACCTGGTCGACCTCATCAAGCCATTTGCGCAGCACCTGCAGGACATGGAACTGCCTGTCAATCTGCTAGACCGTCCGAGAGTACTTGCGACGTGGTCGGAAAGGAACAGGTTCCGAGCTGGCGGGAAGATGAAGAAATGGTTTGCACCCGTTTTGGCGAAAAGAGAGGACCGCCAGCAGTCTCCCGGCGAAGACGGTTCAGAGCAAGAAATAAAAAACGACGCACATGACCTGCAGAACATGTTGAAAGACAGGCAATTCTCGACTGCCTGGGAACACCAGCGAAACCTCGGACAGGCCTGTCCTCCTGGTTCGCTATCGAGGTCGGGGTTCTACTCGAACAACCGAGACTTTTGCTCTCACTGTGTCGACATCTACTCAAAAGAGCAGTTCCTCGAAAACTGGAACTCGGCTCAGGATATCTGCCATCAGCCCGACATATTCAACCTGCACGGATTCTACATGAGCGAACTGCCCCTGAAGCCATTCACGGAGCTCGTGCCCATGTTCAGCCGGTCCAAGACGGACCGGTTCAGCGACATACTCATCCCCCTCAGCAGGGGACCCGACACATACAGCACCGACAGCAACGAAAAGTCCCTTGTGAACAAAGAGGCGCGGCTGTTCTGGCGCGGCGACGTCGGCACCGACTTCGGCATGGTCCCAACCCGCCTGCTCAGCGGCGGCCACCAGGAGCGCCTGAGCCACCTGGCCAACAATGGCACTGTGGAGGACCACATCACGATGTGTCTCGCCATCCCCGGAGACAAGGATAAGTTCTGGTACGAGCGGGTGCCGCTGAAAGAGATCCAGTCCGCGCTGAATCTCGACGCCGGCATCAGTGACTACTCCATGTGCCAGAGCCCCGAGTGTGCCGCGGCGAGGGAGGAGTTCGGCTACAAGCCCGCAGATGAGGGCGACAAGGAGAAGATGAACAGCCGGTACATCATGGTCATGGACAGCGACGAGGGCCCGCCGCGGGACTTTTTGAAGATCCTGAGGTCGGAGAGCGTCCCGTTCGTGGCCTCGGTGTTCAAGGTGAATAAGTCCTCCCATTCCCCATTGACTCTTCTCCGCTGACAAAAAGTTTCCCTCCCCCTCAGGAATGGTACAGCGAGCGCCTGATGCCGTGGCTGCACTTCGTCCCCATCGACATCCGCTTCCAGGCGCTGCACAGCACCCTCGCCTACTTCAACGGTATGCAGGGCAAGGGGCTGGTCAACGGGCGCGATGTGCCGATGCAGTCGCGCGCCGACAACGCCAAGTGGATCGCGCAGGAGGGCAGGAAGTGGGCGGCTAAGGTCCTCCGCAGGGAGGACGCGGAGGTCTACTTGTTCCGGCTGCTGCTTGAGTGGGGGAGACTGGTCAACGATAAGAGGGATGAGATGGGGTTTGATCTTGCTGGGAAGAGTGCGAAGGCTCCGGGTGCAGGTGTGAGTTGACCGGCCGCGAGAGTTCGGTATGGAGCTATGGTGAGAGAGATATCCCGCTCTCGCTGGGAGAAAGAGGTTTTCTTGCCGTTGCTGGAGATTGTGGCTTCGGTCTGCTTCAGCTTCGGGGATCAGGGTATATAGTGACGATGTACGGGAGGATATAGAAATCATCCTCCATGTAGCAATATTATGATGATGGCGCTTGGTTAATAGAATGAGCAGGGTATTCTTAACGTCACGGATGAATGTGATGGGTATGTCTCTGGAGGCAACGGATGGAGTTCTTGTATAATTGTATGGTGCTGCTTTTGAAGGTTCATAAGTCTGCCAAAGACCAAAAATTCCGCTTCCGATTCGAGAGCTTATAACGTAGCATTTTGCTTTACTGGAGGTTTTCCGGCTGCTGCGCGTGATATTTGCATCATCCCATTAAAGTTGATGTTGAATGGTGTCAGCTACGAAAACTATCTCTTAGTACCTGGAAGTTACAAATGCTCACAAGACTCTGATAGCGTGGGACGACAAAGGTGTTTCCCGCCTACAAACACCAGTAGTGAGAGCATTCATCCATTCCATTTGACGCTCTGAACTCCGTTTCAGCAAACCTTGTACAAAGGTGAAAACCAACACATCTTCTGGATTCCAGAGGATCTTGAACCTGGTGCCAGGGAGACTCAAGGAACCAGACGCTGTGCAGTACCCGTGTCCCACAATGCGAATTGGCGGACTTACGGCCTCCTCGATGTCTCTAAGCACAAGGAAGAGCCTCGACTGGCGCTGGGGAGACTCCTCCATCTGTACGACCCAGTCACCTTCTCGTGTCCAGTAGGGGAGGCGCACTTCGAAGTCTGGATGACCAAGCGGGGTCCAGTACTTGACAAGTTCATCACCAACCTGGCTAAGATCATGAAGCAAGACACGACGGCGGACTGCCCTGCTCAGTGCCCGTGGCAACGAATCTCTTGATACCATCCCTGCTCCTTCCAGCATCCGTTCCGGAGGGCCGTCACGGGCGATCAGTGCTTCCGTGATGCAGGAAGAGCTTCTGCCGTGCAGATCCAAATTGAGGATGGCGTTGTTGCACACATTTACTACTCGTAATTCGATCGAATCTTTCTGCTTACGAACAGACTCGGTGTTCCAGATTGCGTGAAGCAAGTCAAGCGCGACTTCGAATTCGGATTTCGCATAATCTGGGGTGACATGGCCAAAACCTCCAGAGTCGAGTAGCAAGATGATTCCATACACTTTGTCCTTCGAAATTGTGCATTGCAACCCGCGTACCTGTCGAAGCAGCGCGAGGGGTTCGATATATTTAGCCAGGAGGAAGGACCTGTTGGAGATCGATGGCTCGTTTTGCCTGAACTTCTCTACTAATGTCTTCATTCGACTGAGTCGCTCAAATGTGCTCCACTCCTCTTCTCTGTAGATAGGTGTTGTACGTGGTCTGGTCATGGCCGGGCCGGGCCCCCGTGTTGGCTTCTGGGATGTTCTCCGGAGGTGTAGTATGAGAAGGAAAAACACTGTTTCAAACTCGTCCCTTGGCATGACACTCTGTCCACATAGGAGACTGGCCTGCCTGGCATTCTTCATTTCCTGCAGGACCCATAGTCGGCCGAAATACGGGCGTTTCGCGAAATCCACACAGGCACATACGAATCGCTGGGTTGTGCGAGACCCAAACTTCCAGTACAACCCCAAGATGAATAAATTGTGGCCAACCCATGACTTCCAGTCGCTCACGCAAAGTGCAAATCGCTCAACATTCTCGAAGAGAAAAAGGCTGTCCTCGGCGTGGTCGCCAATGCATGCCAAGACGTGCTCTGCTCCCTTGTAGATCGTCCCCATCATTGCTACTTGCTTGTTCTTCTCGTCGACACATTCTTGATCGATACAGATGGCATCGACCCAGTGGTAGCGACTCTTTGCATGCCAACGCGCCTGCTTCAGCACGAATTCGCAATTTTTCCGGACTGAGAAAGGCTTATCATTAATAAGGATGGTTGTGTTGGATTCTGGATCCCCCCATGTGTAGGAAATTGCGTGATACGGCAGTATGCTCTCGACTGGCCACGCCGTCATCTTGCAGCGTATCTTGATGCTATCGGAGTAGTTATCATCAAGTACTTCTAGAAGCCTTATGTGCTTCGCAGCATCAGGCAGAGCTTCGTGTTTAAAGGCGGTGACGGTAGATTCCGGAAGGCTGTCCATCTTGGTTTCCCAACGGCTGCGAGATTTGGGATGTGATAGTACCAAGCCCAGGCAATACGTGTAGGCCAGCAAGGTAACAGCGACGGAGTGAGATTTTCAGTCACACAGAATCAGGAAAGACGTGAGTGCATGTAGGCCCAGGTGACGAAAACTCGAGGAGTCGCTGTCAACCAGTCTGCGAGAAGCGCTCGAACGTATAGTCAGGACCCAGATGAAAAGGAAATGGGGGGAAAGCTACCCAGGAAGAGGATGTGTGGGTCTTCGAAAGCCTCAACCCTGGCCACAGGAAATGCCGCATAACCGATCTGGGCGGGTGCTCAACCTTGGGAGTCAGCCCGGTCTGGGCAGGAAGCTGGCTATTGGTTGTTCATATGATGATACCTAGGTAGGTGTGTGGTACAACATGATCCCACCAAGGTTGTTGATTTTCAGTCGATAATACAATTCCAAGGTTGTTTAGAGGACCATGGAACAATTTGTCACTTAAATACATCGATGTGGAATAAGAGGCAAGACATAGTAGATGAGCAGCTCAACGAGTAGCAAGGCAGGGGAATCGATCAGAAGTTGACAGAGGCATGGTAATTGACTAGCCCCCGAAAATGCCATTGAATCAGCCCTGAACAGCCTCTCTGTGCTTCTGTGCCGTCGCGGCGCTCTGCACCACTACCTACCTGAGTATCTTCTAAGTAGGTATCCCAGAGGACTATGCTCTGAAGGATTCTTGGAGGACACCTTGTAGGAGGCTAGGCTATGAGGAGTCATCTCAAATGGAGTCTATTTTATAAGAGCCCTGGAGGCTGTGTTATGGGTTATTATTCTATATAGGCTTTATTCACAAGAGAGGCCCTCCTAGATCACGAAATCTTTGGTAGAAAACGGCTCCAGGAGACGTCCTGATATAGACTTACCGGAGCAGCCCGGAGAGAGGTGAATATGACAATAAGAATCCAGACGCGTGCAGTTAAATAAAAAGAGATGTAGATGATGATGAATGCCCGATAAAGGAATTTAATTGATAAGATTTTAGCCCACCTCCTAAACATCGTCGCCTGGGCCAAGAACTCCTCCACGACATTCAGTATTTCTTGGACGTAAGTAGTGGCGCGGCCGTCGTCGACATCACGCCCCAAGTGCGGGTATTTTGTCCTCAAAAAGTTTTCGTATTCGAGCCAAAATTCTTGCATCTCCGGATTCTCTAGCATTCTCTTGCAGCGTGCAGTTCCTAAGACCAGCGAGTATGAGCCGAACTTGACACGGTCTGTGAAGCTTCCTGTCCCCTGCCACCATTATTGTCAACAAATCTTGTACCCTATCCAGTTGCGAAGTAAGTTCAGGCAGCATGCCGTTAGTCCCCCAGTGCTCAATGGCATCTGCTGTCGGTCTCACCTCATGTAGCCATCACGGCAAAGGCTATGGTGGCGATTTCAAGCTGAGAAATAGCTAGCCGTGCGAAATGGCATGCGATGACATTGGCTATGATCCATGCAACCTGCAAGACAGCAAGGCTTTTCAGGAGCCAGTCTGCCTTACTCTTGTCTAAAATATCCCGTTCTTCCAGGACGAGGTGCATAATAGGATGAGTAGTGACTTGCGTGTCTTCGTTCCACCTAAATCGCTCAGTCAAATGGGATGCAGTCATGGTGCTTATCTCTCCCTTGTACATCCCAGGAAATACAAGGCCACCCATTTGAGCATAGTATGAATGCGAGATCGTCCACTTGAGTCTTATTCGGCTGATATCATTAGTCCGGGATCCTAGATCTTGCCCGGCCGATGGGGCATTCGCTGAGCCTGTATTTGTGTCGTGGCCGGTATCCGGAGCCCCAGCTGGGTCCGACAACCCTCCATCGTGCCGAGCCTGATCATCTCTCTGTATTTCGTCAAGAACGTCTTGGGCGTGCGAGTTCTGTAGATATGCTTCGGAGAACGAATTTCGATGAATGGTTTCCGTGTGTGGCTGTTCCGCGGACGATCGCCGATCGCCCTCAGCTACGAGCCCATGTATCGGTTCCAGTTCAAAACCCGCTCCCTCAAGGTCTGTTGGCGTTGGATGAGATCCAAGTGAAGACCTACTAAGGGAACCCCTCAATGGGACATGACCTCTGGCGAGCCTCGGTGGTCGGTCCAGTCCTAGCACATCATAAAGTAGGCCAGGCCATCTACCCGGGTACTGGATCTCCCAGGTCCACTTTTGATCATAGCTCCCATAATGGGTAGTCCACTCGATGGTCTTGCCGGTACGCTGCAGCTCCTCATCGAAGTCCCGTAGTTCTTGAAGAGCCAAGCGGAGGTCGCAAACAGCCTTTGAGACCACGAATTCGGGAAAGAGGATGTTGATGGTCATCCACTTGGCCTTTCGCAGTGCGATAGTCGACGGCGTGTCATTGGGGCCGGGCACATTGAGGTGCAGCACTGTCCAAGTACAGGCAAAGATCGTGATCACGCAGCTCCAAACGAGTGACAGCGTGCCACGCTCTGTTGGTCCTGGTACCCAACCTACCAGGTCGTCCATGGCGTCTTTCCACAACACTCGACCTCCTACAGGATCACTTCGTATAGAGTGACCTCCTGTGAGATAATCTCCTGTGAGATATAATAACCTCCTGTGGGCTATTTATGCGTGAAGGTATTTAAGTACCTAGGTAAATATTGATGACGTTATAGGGTGTAGTGCAATGATGTGTTGAGATATTGGAACATATGGCGATCTCGCTGTAATAATGTGCGCGAACATTTGAGGATTGCCATGGAAGGCTAGCGACAGTAAGCGACGAGAACAGGCAAAGTGTTTAATAAACAGCAAAGGACTCGCGCATGCTCTGTATTTGAACTCACCAGGCATTTAGCAACATACTACTGTGCTGTTGCTGCAAGAAATCGATAGATCATTTGCGTAATCTGCCTGAGAGCACCGCTACGGGTGTCCAAGGGGGTCATCTTGAAAAGATTAACCAATTAGCCGCTAATAAAAAACATTCTAATATTTCTTCGTCGGCTGCTATTAGCTCAACATCTAAGGCTAGAAGCAGTAGAGGCTCCAGTTAATCAGAATTTCTACTAGCCAACTAAGAAAACAAGAGGACCGAGGACCCCCTCAGGCACAGGCCTCTTCTATCCAGCTGTTTATTCATACTTCTACTGTATGAAGGCGCCATGTATGTCCTCGGACGTATGCGGCATAGAAGCGAAACCAGTCAGGGGATGATGTACCCAGGTGTGTAAGGAGTACTGATAGTCTAGCGAATCAGCTAGCCAACCGCACGCCTAGTTTATCAACACGGCCGCGACCGTGCAACATACATACTTAAGTATCCACTCAAGATGGAGCTCACGAGCTTGAAGGACCAAATATACCAACATTTTCTGAAGCACCACTACCAGCCATGGAACCACTACTCATTCTATATCGTCTTACCTTCCTTGCGGCACTCGCAGAAATCACCTCTGGCCTGCCGCGAGACGCCAGCGGAGGTCCAGGCCGCCAGCAGGTCCCTGTCAGCCAGCATACGCGAGCTGTTCAGGGGCCTCCAATCCCTCCAATTCTACATCGACTGGCAGCAACGAAGAGAGAAAGGACGCAACCCGCTGATTGACCCGGATGGCCTGCACCTAACCATCCACATACCCGCACAGGACATCTCGACCCCCTATGAGGAGTCCCTCCCATGCCCGCACCGGATATACCCCTCGCACCGCCTCCACCTCATCCCAAGCATCACGGCCACGCTGCCACACATACCATGGATCACCAAGCTCACCATAGACCAGGTGATCACGTACGACGACGAGGCGAGCACGCACTTCGCCGGGGCCCGGCCCCTCTCCCTCCGCACACCCCTGGAGCTCGCGGCGCGCCTCCCCGCCCTGCAGGAGCTGACCTGCCCCTGGCTCTGGGAGCGCCTCCCCACCGCCTTCGCAGCGGGCCCCGAGCCGGACACGCGGGCGCTCCCGCCCCCGATGGCCCACTACGCCCGCGTGTGGGAAGGGCCGTGGCGCGAGTCGCGCCACGAGCTGGGCAGCCCGGCGTCCGCGGCGCTGGCCGCGGCGCTGCCGGCGCCGCTCAGGACGGCGCGCCTGTGGTTCTGGCGGGCCGACGGCCTCCCGGACCACGACCAGGCCGCGCGGCTGCCGGACCTCGTGCGCCCTGCCGCGGTGGATCCCCTCTCGGCCGGCGTGCGGCACCTCGCGGCGCGGCTCGAGGTGCTGGACCTGCGCGCGTTTGTGATGCCGGATCTGTTCTCTGCCAGTGCTGGCCACGCCCCGTGGTCGGGCGGCATGAGGCGCCTGCGCGTCGAGTTCCACCCCTTCAGGCCCGATGGGAGCTGGTATTTCGTCGGGCCGCGCGGGGAGGACCCGCATCCTGGAGGTTTCGCGGTCGGGGAGGAGCACTACCCGCCTGCTGTGCGGACGAGGGAGGATGAGGAGGTTGATGAGGACTATGGGGAGGACCAGGCTGGGCATGGTAGAGGGTATGAGCACGATGCCCGCAGCTACGACCTTTTTCAGGTCGAGCCGTCGGCTGAGAGGGTCGAGCCGCTCCTGGAGGCGTTTGGGGAGGCACTGGGAGGTATGCCTAGCCTGGAGGAGGCGGAGCTGTTTGCATGGCTCACCTGGCAGCCGTCGGATGAGAGAGAGCGAGAGTACGGGGGCGATGGCTCAGGCGATGAGTCTTTTCGTAGCTGGAGGTGGGGGATCAGATATGTTTCTGCAAAGGATGGCATGAAGGGGCGGGTGGAGTGGCAGGTTGGGGATTGGAGACCGCGAGAGGAGATTGTCAAGTTGTTTGAGTCCCTGGGAGGTGGTGACGGGGTTGAGGTCGAATGGAAACCCTTGGAGAAGCATCATGGTAGGGCAACTTGGAAAGATGATGAATCGTGGTAGGTTCTCAAAGCTGTGATGAAGCTGGATCTACTGCTCAAAGGAGTCAAGTGAGTGTATGGCCCTGGCATCGATGTCGAAGCGATCCACCGCATTGTTGACTCTCAGCACCCCCTGGTCAGGTCAGGCCAACTCACCTTTCGTCCCAAGGTAGATAGTCCATGAAAACCAGCATTTTCCCAACGAAAAAGGCAAGCTGGCGCAACGGCAAAGGCGAGCGACTTTATAAGTCCTGGTAAGACCAGCTTACAACAAGGCCCCAAGTTCAGATACAGTGCCCACCGTAAAAGTCAATAAACACACAGGCAGGTGGGGGAAACAAACACTGCAAAGAAATATCCCGCAACCCCTGCCCAAACATGGCAGGGAACACCGAAAGGAGGGACGCGCTGTAGCACCTTGTAGGGGTGGCAGCGCGTGAGGAGAGTGTCGGCGATAACCTCTCTTTTTGCAGTCTTTTTGCAGTCTTGTCATGCACATAGCAATCAACAAACGGCCTGGATCTCACCAACATCTTTAGTAGAGAGTATCTGCTAGCTACTCAGATACTAACAAAAAGCCGTGACCCTTCCAGCCCATCCTGGAAACCTGAATCTTGGCAGACCACAGCACCCTCGCCTTGATCTTTTCGTCCTCGATGTCCTGCCCCATGAACGCCCCATGCGTGCTGCGGAACTCATGCTGTCCCAGCACGTTCCACATGCCCCAGATCTCCTCGGGCGACAGGGGGATCATGTTGGGTATGCTCCACATGAAGGCGAACGAGTTTGCACCCTGGGGACGGCCAAGGTGGCCCTCCCGCTTGTTGCCCACCGCATCAGCCTCCCAGCTTCCCAAGCCAGCGGGCGTTGTCAGGAGTGTGTCGGCGACAAAGAGGCGGCCGTCGAACAGCAGCACCAGGCTGCCGGGGAAGTGGCCGCCCAGCTTGAGGATGGTGGCCCCCGAGTCCCGACCGTCCACCGCGACCTGCTGCTCCGTCGTGCCAGCCTCCAAGAACACCTGGCGCTCAGGGTCCGTCTGGGCCAGCCACTGCTTGTCCTCGGCGGCGAGATACACGGGACAGCCGAACGCCCTGGCCCACTGCAGGTGGTTGGTGTAGTAGTGCGGGTGGGAGATGACAATGGCCTTGAGCCCGCCCAGCCTGTTGATCTCCTGGACGGTGGCGTGGTCCAGGAGTGTGATGCAGTCCCAGAGGATGTTGCCGGCGGGGGTCCTGATGAGGATGGCGCGCTGGCCGATGGCGAACTTTGGCGCGGTGTAGATGAAGGTCAGGCGGTCGTCCTTGTCGTAGCGGTGGAAGACGTTCTTGTAGCCGGCGAGGGAGGACACGACACTGCCGAGGGTTGTGAAGCTCTGGCCTGAGGGTGGGGTGAACTGCCTGGGGTCGTCGCATATGAAGCAGCGTGTCTGTTGCTGGCGGTCTGCAGTGGGATATTGGGTCCCGCAGGCCGTGCATATGAGCCAGTCCTCGTTTTCTGAGGCCATCTTGTATGATCGATACCTAAGTACTTATTCCGGTGCTGGTTGAGACGCAGCGTGCGTAGCAGGTCGGTTGAGCGTGTAAGAACTACTTGGCCTTAGCACGTCTTATAAGTCAGGACTGAGCCACTCTCGTAAGTGGGGGTTTGCATCTGCTTACAGTACGATGAGATATTCGATATGCAGCCCTGTGTTTACTGATGGTCCAGCCGCTGGCGTGGTCCAGAATGGACTACATGGTCATATAACGACCATGTTATCCGGCCCAGCCAAGTAGGTGAGGTTGATTTGTACCTTCCCACAGCACCTAGACAAGAGATGTCGTCCTTTCCAGAAGTCAGTGCTGAATCACGGTTGGGGTAACAAACGGCCTGTGTGGATCCACAAGCGGAAGGTGGGTCTGCCGATCAGCGGCCCGCCAGCGTTTGCTTGACCTTGGCGAGCTCTCCTTCCCTGTCAGCTGTGTCTCACTCTTTTTCACCGTCGGGTCGAGCTTCCCACCACTCCTACCATCAGCAAACCCAAGCCCAGCCAGCCAGCCAGCCCAGCCTGACTTGCTCTGCTGCAGGGCACCCAATCGCCACAACAGATGGGACAATAATCGAGCTGACGGCACCAGACATCCATACGACGGTCCAGATTTCCCGCCGTCCATCTCGTTGGCCACCTCCACCAACATGCTCGCCGGCCAGCCGCCATGGATGTGTCAAGCTCTTCCGCCGCGACTTTGACGCGACCAAGGGTTGTAATACAGGTCCTTGCTGGAGTGACTGGTGTCTTCATTGCCTGGCAGTTCTGGCAACAGTTCCGCCTGCAGCCTGCGACCTCATCCTCCACCTCGACCTCCGCCTCTGGCTTCGACAGTGGCCTGCGCAGGAGCAACGCTGTTCGGAGGACTGAGCGCAGCACAAGACGGCAAATCCAGGCCGCTTTGGAAGACGTCGAACACCAGCTCGGCTCCGACCAGAGGGAACACATCGAGCCAATCCTCAACCATCATTTTGGTAGGCAACTCGCCGACCACACTGGCGCAGCCCCCACCGCCGACGACTCAGAATCCCCCGACCACGATACACATCAAGATGAAAATGCCGAGAACACTGATTCTCGCCCACCAGCAACCGCCGGCGGCGTTGCAGGCGAAGCCGACACCGTCGCTGGCGAGGAACGTACAATGGAGGATGACTGGGCCCATGACGATGCATGGAACATCCCACCGCCAAGGGCAGGGCATAACATTGTCGGCCTCCTCTTTAGGGTCTCCGAGGATAACGCTAGGCGCAACGCTTATGTCCACCGCGGCTGTATGTGCAACGCGTGCGGTCTCCTGCCCATCCGCGGGATCCGCTACCGGTGTGCGAACTGCTCCGACTTCGACCTCTGCGAGACATGCGAGTCACAGGGCCTGCACAACAAGACGCACGTCTTCTACAAAGTTAAAGTCCCGGCCCCGCCTTTCGGTCCCAAGTCTATGCAACCTGTCTGGTACCCCGGCGACCCCGACACTGCTTTGAGGAACCTACCCGGTGCTCTGATCAGGCAACTGGCAAAGGAGACGGGCTTCGAGCGTCCAGAGCTGGAGGCATTGTGGGAGCAGTGGACATTCATTGCAAACACTGAATGGAGGGACGACCCGGATGAGCTGTTCCTAGCAGCTGACAGGAAGACCTTTGAGAGATATCTCGTACCATCCAGCGGAAATCGACGAACTGCCCCGAATCTCATCCACGACCGCATGTTTGCCTTCTATGACACCAACGGCGATGATCTCATCAGCTTCCCTGAGTTCCTGATGGGCTTGTCCTACAAAAAGGGCAAGCAGAGACTCGAGCGCATCTTCAAAGGCTACGACATCGATGGAGACGGATACATATCTCGAAGAGATTGCTTGCGCATATTCAGAACCTATTACGTCCTCTACAAGCACATGCACGGCGACGTCCTGGAAGGCCTGGACCAGCAGGTTATGAACAACACCGAGACCCAGCAGCTGGTGACTGGCAGGCAGCCACTGAGCAGCCACTTTGGCCGCGAGGGTCGGGTTCCCGAAGCTGATCATGGCCGACCCATGGAGGGCAAGATTTTCCACGGCAATGGAGACGTCTGGGTCAGCGACGACATGAACGGCGTGGTGAATGAGACACGGCCAGACGTTGGCGATCGCGGCGAGATTCTATCAAGTCTTTTCAACCACGCTGGCCCGAGCGATGGCGCATATGGCCGCAGATACTTCACCGCCACTTCTGAACACGTTACCTCGCCGACTGGTGATGAAGACGTATCGCGCATCTACCACGAGGCATTGCTGAACCCTCCAACCCAAGTCGAAGAGCTCGTGTCTCTCTTGCAAGGCGAACCGCGAAACATACAGCCAAGCGAACTGGCCCCGGTCGACCGATACGAGCGGGAAGGCGAAGAAGCCGACGAGGAAAACGTGGCTAGTGAGGAAGAGACATCAGCAGAGGAGGAGGAGGAGGAGTCTGCAGTTGAAGATGTCAACCGCCCCGCTGACTACTTTCCATCTTTCACGGACGCCTCTCGCGGTAGCTCCTCCGCCCCGCAAGTGGTCAGAGATGTGAGCAGCGAGCGGTGGACCAACCGGCCACCCACTGATAGCCAGCTACGTGCATCGCATCTCCGTTTGGAGGCTCATAAGAAGAGGACGATGGACCGGAAACTCAGGGCAACAGTGAGGAAAAAGCTGTTTGACCGGTGGAAGAAACGCAATTTCTACCTGACTGAAGAGGAGGGAACCACTCCGCCCGAGGGCTGGAATGCAGAGGACGATGTCCTCGCGGACATGAACGGAACCGAGGTAGCCGGGAGCTCAAAGGATGGACAGCCCCCGCTGTCTGCTCGGTCACGGTCATCATCCAAGGTTCGCTTTGCCGAAGACACGGACGACTACGAAATCAGATCCAACCCATCGACATCCTCTAGGAGCGTTCCTGAGCGATGGGGCGGCATGGAAATACCTGATGCTGAGAGAGACATGGGCAAGGAGATCCTTTACGTCGTTACGCAGCAAGCTTTCAACGAACTTTTGGATGTTTTGTTCAAGGAAAAGGAAGACCTCGCCGTCAAAGCCGCGGAGACGAAGGAATACCGAGAGGCCTATCGCGATTTGCTCGACTCCCTCGAACAGGACAGGAGCAAGGACTCGGAGCAGCATCAGGACGAGAACCGCAATGGAAGTGAGGAGAACAGGGAGAATGCAAACGGCAATGGGAAAGCCATCCTCATCGAAGTCGACGAGAAGAAGCCGATCCAAGATAGAAACCTGGACGAGCTGCTCGCCACCTCAGGATACACCATTGACGAGGCCCTGGCTTCCAAGACCGAACAGAACGAGGAGGAAACAACCTCCGAGGAAGAAGATTTCACTGAGGAGTCATCGATGGCCGATGAACAAGAGACTGTTCCGAGCGACGCTTCCTACCGCGACCCAACCATGCCTCAATTCCGACCCAACAGCGACGCAGACGTCCCACCCGCTGCCGCAGCAACGACCTCAGCCCACCACCCCAAGCCAGCTCTCAGGAGCCGGCGCCCAGGCAAGCTGAGGATCGTCAACGGCAGCGCCGGCAGGAAGCCATCCAAGCCGCTGACCCGGCCGCCCGAGGCGGCGCTGCAGGAGTGGCGCAAGCACGACGCGGCCGAGAAGGAGGCCAAGGCGCGTGGCGGCTGGGGCCGGCTGGACCTGGCCGAGTTCAAGGACATCTGGCACCGCGAGGAGAGCGGGCCGCACCGACTGGACTACATGGGGACGTGGATCGACTTTTGTATACCCTAGAAGGGTTTCGCGTGGTTGTTCAAGGATCGGCCCAGCATTAGTGATAGTGACAGCGATGAGGATTACACCAGCGCCGATGCGGATTCGGATGCGGACGGGGAGGAAGATGGCGAGGATTCCGAAGCTGACGATGGCCTGAGCTCCGCGTCGGGCGTCGGCTCGGACATCACGATCACGGGGTTGGAGGGGAGCAGATGGGCCATCTAGGGCATGATGGTGATGCCGATTGCGTCTAGGCAAAGTGGGAGGATTTGTCTGCGTCGATAATGATGTCTTGGACATCCATAATCTCCTACATGCATGACAGGCGGAGTTTTGTTAAACAATCACAATTGAATTGTACATTTCCCAAAAGACAGAAATGCTGGAAGTATTCACATTCCACGATGCGGCTGTTACGTGCTCTTGGAGTTGGGTATCAATGCCTCGGTACATTCTGCTGCACCTTAACGTCGAACATCTACCTGCTGCGCCTGTCTGCCTGCCGATCCTGGAGACCTCATCTATCCCGCCGCTCAACGACCACATGATACGTTCTACTTTTTCCCCCGTCAACTCCGTTCCCTATTTTACTTGTGCACACAACCAAGGTCCGTTCCATCCTCACCCTCACCCACTCATATCCCAAACAGCGCCCCAGCTGCCCCAAACAGCTGCCGCCTCGGCATCTCCCACCGATACACCGCGGCCCCGAGGGGCGGCATGTGCCGGTACAGCAGCGCGCTGCCCAGGATCCCAACCACGGCGGCGCCGCTTCCCAGGGCGGCCAGGGCGGACGATGCTGATGACGAAGACTTGGACGAGGCACCAGCAGCATCGGCATCGCGGATCGTCCAGGCCCGCGGCACAGAGGACGCGACGACGCCCCTGACGAAGCGCGTCAGCGCCCACGGCTGCCGGTCGTGCGCACCGCCAGGCGACGAGGGGTCCGCCCACGGCAGGGCGGAGGAGGAGGCGCCGTCCCCCCCGGAGAAGCAGCGGGGCGCCTCGAAGGGGTCCCCGCCGAAGACGGCCTCGCGCGTGGCGTCCACGAAGGCGGCGAGGGCCTCGTGGCGCCGGCGGACCAGGTCCCTGAGCCAGGGGCGCGGGACGTCGGGCGCGAGCATGAGGGCCAGGTAGCCGAAGGCGAGGCAGTCGAGGGAGGTTGTTGCGGGGGCCGGGGACGGAGAGGGGGAGGAGGAGGAGGAGAAGAAGAAGGAGCGGTCGCCGGCGCCGTCCAGCTCCGCGGCGGTCTTGAGGTCCGACAGCACGGCGAGGCAGCCGTTGGCCGCGGCCTCGAGCCGGAAGAGGGCCGTCTGCTCCGGCGACAGGGCGGCCTTGACGCCGCGGCGGAGGGGCCGCAGGCGCTCCGGGACCTTGAGGAAGCCATCCGTTGCCTCGCCCGTGGCGGCGGACGACGGCTGCTGCTGCCGCTGGGCCTGGGTGCCGTCGTCGTCGACGTTGAGGTCCGACAGGCCCAGGTGGTCGGCCAGCTCGCACATGCGCGCCCGGACGGCCAGCGGCTCGGACCAGGTCAGGGGGAAGGGCAGGATCCCCGTGCCGTAGGCGGGGCGGGTGGTGCCGGCCCAGTTGGCGGAGGAGACGTACAGCGAGAGGGCGACGAGGGGCGCGGCGGCGGACCGCAGGAAGCTGGCGTAGGCGGCGGCGTCGGCGCGCTGGGCCGGGCCCAGCGCCCTGTCGAGGTCCCAGTCGCCGTCTGGGCGGAGGGCCCGGAGCCGGGCGGTGATGGCGGTGAAGCCCGGGGTCCAGACGCCGGGGCCGGGCTCGTGGAGGGCCGGGAGGGAGTCTTGGCCGGCGTGAGACGTGGTTAGTATGTGTATGTGTGTACCGTACGTACTTCAGACAACAGCAGGGACGCTGATTAGACTTTCGGCTGATCGTAGCCGGGGTCGTGGGGTTGGTCGTGGTGGCAAGCATAAGTGGGACACGGACACGGACACACACGCTCGACACCACGGCAAGAGCTGGTGCCGGGCGCCGGGCCGAGGGTTTGATGTGCCCAACGTCCTGACACACCACCGGACGGGGCAGCACATGTTCGGACGAGATGACGGCTGACGGACGGCCCTGGCAGCCCTGGCTTGACAGACGGCCGGCCGGACGGACACTTGGGGGCGAAGGGGGGCGCCAAAAGGGTTTGTTGCTTCAACGGCTGGCGCGGTTTCGAAAACACCACAATGACGCCAAGGCCTGGAAAACTGGACTGGACTGAACTCACGGGTTGGGACCCCTGAGGGGCTAGTCGCGACAATCTCCCACTGGTGGCCCTGCAGGGCGCTGGCGAGGTAGGTGATTGTGGCGAGACACTCGGCATCGATGCTGGCGAGCCCGAAGGCTGGCCCCCAGACGTGGAGACGGAAGAGTACCATGGTGACGGGTACCCCGTGGATCGTGGGAAGGGAGGGGCTGCCTGCCTGGGGTACGAGGTACAAGCACGGATCGCGGCAGGCCTGTATAGCAGATCGTGTTCGTAATGCGGAAATGTCGTGGCCAAAACCACCAGAGCTCGAACGAGTGACTTGTACAGGCCGTACAGGCGGTATTGCCGGGGGGGGGGGCGGCGGCGGTGGATTGGAAACGAAATGAGGCCAGGAGGAGGGACTGCTGTTGCAGGGCGCCCTATTTTTCTCCGCAAAACCCTATCGGGCGGTGGGTTGCGACAGAGAGATTGTCGAAATTCGCTGCCAACCCTGCAGCCTTGCCGGCTCGTTGGGCTGACGTTGCGCCGTTGGCGATGACGATGACGATGATGATGTGATGTTGCTGTCCGACCCCGCGAAAAGAGAGGCGTCGACCCGGTCCACGGCGTGTTGATGAAACGGCCAACGGCCCCAAAAAGATTGTGATGTGTGATGGCGGCGTCGGCAGCCGCTGGGCCTCTGCTCCGATAGGAATGGATAGTCGGTGCTGGTGGCCGCTCTGCCCTCTCTGTGGCGGTTGGGCGGTGAAAAGGGGGGGGGGAGGGAACAAGGGGACCCACACGGCGATCGGCCGTCTATTTTCTTGTTGTGTCTCTCCCACTGTCTCCGCCTCCGCGTCCGCACCGGGCGGCAGGACCCCTGCTACAACATGCACTCCTGGCACTGTACCCGGTACAGTCGTGCGTTTCCTTGGACCCTTTCCCGGCCATGACGAGCCCTGAGCCCGCAGCGTCGAATTCGACTGGACAGCACGGCTCGATGGCTGCGACACGCCGGTACAGCACAGTATATGCAACACGCAAAGATCACGGCGGCGGCAGACAAGGTTCGCCGGCAGTGGAGGTTATTTCCAACCCAACGTTCCAGGAGGGTGTTGATCAGGCACGGCGCGAGGTATTGGACGATGATGCGCGTCTCATTGAACTCTCTTTCGCCTTGCCTGCCAACCTGCTTGCTGCCCCTCCCCACCGAATGCCAATCGTAACACGTCTCGAAAGCTTCGAAAGGAAGGTTCGCATGTTCGACAGCAGGATTGCCCGGCCCTGGTTTCACGGCTGCACGATCTGGATCGACGCAGGGGGCCTGTCAGTGCAAGGCCTGCGACCGGATCTGGCTGTCTGGCCGTCTGGATCTTGCACATGCTGATTTGATTAGATGTGGTTTGCATTGATTTGGTATCTGGTTGATGACTGATCCAATCCCGCGGCTGTGCAGGGCCAGGGCAGCGCGTCGGCCGAGAAGATGGAGATGGCACCGTAAAATGATGGGCCCCCAAATTCAGGGTCCAACTCTCTGTCCTCGGGCCCCACCGCCGAATGCGGAAAGGGGACCATAGACAGAAAGACGGGCCGGGCTGGTAGGTACTTGGCAGCTTGTATTGTTCGGAGTACCGATGTGCGGACGAGGCTAGTACACAGTATGGAACGAATTGGAAGCATGACGACAAGGCTGTGCCGCATCCTGAGTCCTCATGCGGACGGGCTGGTGAGCCTGGAATGGACCAAATTGGCCCGAGATGGACGGTGTCTCGTTTCATGTTGGGGGAGGAAAGACAGTCCGCGTACCTCGGCGGGTCGAAACAACTCGGGTTGCCTCACTGCCTCACTGGCGCGTTGTTTCGACTTCATTGTTAAATCCGTCCTCATGGCCGGTGCAGGCATTGGCCTGGCGGAGGGGAAAGGGATGTGAGGGATGTGAGGGATGTAAGGGATAGGGTACCAGATTTGGATAGCGATGTGGGAAATTGGAGGCAGGCAGGGCTGGCAGGACTGGGAAACCGGTACTCCGTAGGCTGTAGCTACTACTGACGATGTGACGGACTTGGACTGGGTGCGTGTTTGGCACGTGGCAGTCCCATGGGCACGGCAAGCAGGCTGCCAGGCTGGAATGCCAATCCAATCGCAGGGCCGTAGATGACCGAGACGATAGCGCGGTGGCGAAAAAGAAAAGAAGGAGCAGAAGAAAAAAAAAAGGCTGCGCCTGCAGTAAGAAGCTTGACTGCTCGATCCCTTTTCCCTACATAGGCCTACATGCCTATGCAGCACCACTGCATCACCCTCCAGCCCCAGCCTCCTTTCGGTCAAGCCCCAGGGGTACTCTGCAGTATGTCATCTCGCGTGGCCCGTCGTCACAGAAAGACTCGACGACCACCGCCGCCACATAACAACAAACACGACGCACATACATAGTACAGTGCACAGTACAGCGCACAGCGCAGCAGCATGCCAGCATGCACAGCAACAGCAGACGGACTACAACAAACAAGGTTTGATGGGGGTGGTGATGCTCCCAGCCCCCCAGAGCTTGCATCGCTGCCGCTCCATAGTACTATTGCAATTTTATCAGGTTTCGTGAAATTAGACAGCCCGTCACAGAGTAACCTTCTGGAATGTATCTGAGCACTCGTGCACCTGGGCACCTGTGCACCAGGTTCAAACGCCCCACAGTCATACAAGCGGGCAAGGTATCTTTTTTTTCGCCCTTCCCTCTCGCTCTCTCTTTTTGTGTGCATGTGTAGGTCTGCTATGTTATTTCTCGACGCGGTCTTACAACAGCCTACCCTGTCTCTCTCTTGCCTTGTTCGGTCTTGTCGGTCGGTCGCTCTCGGCAGCTAGCGGTTTCAGGGTGATGGAGTATCACCCACGTCTGTGAGGTTTTAGCATCGGACGAAATCTCCCTCAGAAATACCCAGGCATGGCTGGCATGACCCCGTAAGGAAAGAGAGCTCCAGCTGCTGCTGCTGCTGGCTGCCTGGACTCGCGTGTATGGGGTTACGGCCTGTCTCGCATGCTAGATGTGGCGTGATGGCGTGCATGGAGGAGACGGAGACGGCGACAGGGCCATACCCACTCGCTCAACCTCCCTCCCCTACACACAAACACAGTATCATCCTCCTCCCGGGTTGCGGGTTTGGGCAGAAACCCTCTTTTTGCCTTTCCCATACAGTCCGCACACGACTTCTGAGACGGCGCAGAGGGTCCCTTCATCTCGTCTTCGTCTATTTTCGTGTAGACCAGTCCTTGCTTGCCCTCCAGGGCTGCTTCTCGGCCCTCTGGCCCGACTTTCCCACCGCGCAAGGGCCGAGGAAGGCGACAGGCTAGGCCAGCCCAGCCCTACGGACACCACACGATGATGATCCTGACGTTGACGACACAGGCTGGCAGGGAAAGACGCCTCCCTGCCTCCTCAACCCCATCCATGTACACTACATAAGAACATCTCAAACGCGGGCTCCATCGCGCGCCCGCTCTTTTCACATCAGGCACATCTGCTGCCGCACTGCAATATCATTTGTGCCGCTCGCGCCCGTGACCTCTTCCTGGGGTGGCCCGACACGTTGATCCGCACGAGGATCACAGGACAAACCCCAGCAAAGCACCATTGGCATTCCTTGGGCAAATGCAACACTTGCCACCCGCTCCCACCCCTGCACACACATGCCTCGCTCGGTTCCCCGTACTGTACCACCCTCAGCCTGCTCCCGTCTCGTGGGGAAACAGAGACGGGCAAGCTTGGCAAGGCAACGGAGGGAGGGCCCGCCTGCTGCAGATAATCATGAGATGAGACCTGCGAGATTGAGGAGAAACCACCCCCAGGGCGGATACTGACTGGCTGGGCCGTGGCGGCCGAACGAACCACCAGCAGCGCATCGCATCGCGGGTTTTTGCTTCTTCCCAACTCGCCCGCTGGCCCGCTCTCGCTGCAGAGGCCGGCCGGGCGCATTACACATACATACATAACAGCATCGCACACATGTAACACACGCGCATACATATGCACCCACACACGCACACACGTGTCTAGCCTGCAGCCGGGCGCGCCGCAAATCGCGCAACGTTCGTTCCTGCCGCTCCTCCTGCTTAACCGAGCCCATGTGGTGTGTGTTTGTGTGTGTGTGTGTGTGTGTGTGTGTGTGTGTGTGCACCCAATCGGTGGGTTTGTGTCTCAGCCACACGCAGCAGAGGAAAAGAGAGAAGGACCCGAAACCAATGCATGCATCAATGCACTTACATTTGCGGATTATCTCATCTTGCCAATATCGTATGGTCAGACTTATTATTTACTACCCCCCCGCCGACAAACACACGCGCGCGCACATTCGTTCGCTCGCTCGCTTAGGCTGGACCACCACGGCACAGCATAATGTCACAATGGTGGTGGCACTTGAGCCTGTGTCCTGCGCCAAGTGGGCCGTCCACATTGAATGAACCCTCTCGTCAGTCAGTCAGCCAGCGAGCAGCAGCAGAGGAAAAAAAGGTCAGCCATGTCTGCCCCGCCAGACGGGCGCAGCAGGGGAGGGGATGGGGGGGGGCTCTCATCTGTCGTTGAGAGTCCGTCCGTGGTGTAGATAGATATGGGGTTTTTACTCATGGTTCTATGTACACTAGTCGATAGCATCAGTTGGTCCCCTTGGCCCTCTCGCTTGTGACTGAGGCTAGTACGAGGCTGGCGCCCGCCCGGCTACTGCCGCCCACTAATAAATTATCGTGGGCAAAAAGGGAAGAAGGGACGACGACAAAAGAGCCCTGTCACTGGGTAACATATCCACCGCTCCCCATCATCTTAACCGAGTTGTGGGGTTTTACTGATCTTTCGTTCTGCCCCCCTGCCTGTCCACATGTCACGATGGGGGGGGTGGTATCCTCCCTCCCCCCCCCCTCTCCTCAACTCCATCCAGCTCACGGCGACTGCCCGGCGCTGGCCCTGGGTGGTCGTGTTGGGGTTGGCTGCTCTGGCATGATACCATCTCGCTGGCCCCAGCCGGGTGGTTCCGTGTCCTACGTGTATGGGGCTAAGAAGCAGAAAGAGGGACGAAAATGACCAGGTGGCCCTGCATGCCTTGCATGCATCGAGTACTGTTACGCGAACCTGCAGAGACGAGAGAGGGAGAGAGGGGGGTGGGAACACCTTGTTCCCACCTCTGCTGCCACCTCGGGACCCGGTGACATGCCAGACGGAAGAAGGAAATCCCAAAAAGAGGGTACCCCAGGGCCCAGGTAAACAAAACCTATCCTGTTTGCTAGGTATGTTGCGAGGGCAAAGGGAAAAGTTGTCCGAGGAAGCGCGCCTGGGCAGGGGTCCGGCGGGCGGGCGAGCGGGCGGGCGGTCGTCTTGTGTGTGGTCGTCTGTCTGTCGCCCGTGGAGTTTCCCCGTCTCGGGGCGGACCTATGTTACAGTCGGGTGCCGAGATGCTGTATGCCATGACGAGACGAGACGGGGGGCAGGGAGGGACATGTCGGGAAGAAGATGGGCATTGGAAAATTTTCATCCATTTTTCTATCGAGTTCCCTCGTGCTCTGTCCGTCCCGAGGCACGTAAATCTCTCTCCCACACACTTGCGATGGCGCATTAACCGCGACGGAACCTTGCCGTCGAGCCCTGGGGTATGGGCTTCACCAGGACCTCGCGAGGGAGACAAAATGATTGGGTCGGCAATACTAAGGTGCAGTCGGCGTGTTTGAGTGGGCTGAGGGAAAAGCGTGTGGGTGGGTGTCTGAATGTTGTGCATATACTCTCTCCCAGAACCCCCGTGCGCGCGCATCATATCAGATCGCGGCGTCTGATATCACAGCGGTTTCCGACGCGGGGAGGGAACAATAGAATTCATCGTTTTGGTGGTTGGTTGGTTGGGTTGTCGCCGCCGGGGCTCAGTGTGTGAGATGAAGGAATCGGGTGCGCCTCCCGAACTTTTGTTTTACTTTTCTTCCCTCCTCGCCCTACGGACCCTGCCATGCCCCCGTGCCCATCATATCCGGCCCTTCCCATTTATCAAACGCGCGCACGGCGGATGCGACCCTGCACGTACGTGTACATTATTAGTCCAAAGTTTCGATGGGAATCGAATTTTGAATTTTTATTTCCGCTCGGGAATGAAGAACGGCTTGTCTTTTTCGCTTTTTTGGATTTGTCTGGTGTGCACCATCGTGTTTCTAGATTGTGTGCGTGGTAGGCTGCAATGCATGCATGCTCCGGCGCTCGGCGCGCATTCCTTACCTAGGAACTTTACCTACTTGCCTACCTCGGGCTGAACTCTCGAAATCCCGTCCAGCCCGGCTTAGGTGCAGATCAGGGTCACCCCCAACGTGGCCAAGTCAGACAACATGGTCACGGATCTGCGGGACGTGGGCTGTCTGTCATACCTTTGTCTGTGTTGTGGTCGTTAGCCCAGCCTCGGGGGAGAACGCAATGCACTTGCTGACTGCAGCGGCTGCCACTCCGTTTATCTGTGTGTGTCAGTGTGGAGGGGCATTATGTTGTGGGCTGGCTGGGTGGCGAACTGCACGGTCGCATCAGTCAGTCAGTCAGTTTGGGGGCCATCAGTCAGCACCCCTTGCTTATTATTAGAAAGTCGGGGTATCCTCAGTTCGTCTCAACTCCCAGGGGGGAAAGGAAGGACACGGACAAGGCTGAGCCCTCATGTTTGATCATGAAAACTGTTGCAAGCCACCGGAAATTACCCACAGTTGAGGTGGGGTTACAAGTTTGGGCACCAAGAGGTCAAAGTGGAAGGTGTTTGTCAGAAAGTTCGAACAATTAATTGAGGTTTGTATGTTTGTCCACTCTAATGATGTGAATTGTTCTGTGTCCTGCCAGATGCTGTTTGGCCCCAGATATTCCGGTCCTTTGTCTCGTACTCGCTCGTGAAATATTCCCCCGTTCTCATGACTGTATCCCCGTTGATCCAAAAAATGCTAACCCGTCCCCCTAAAAAAAGATCCCATTCTCTCATCAGACAAGGGCGTTTCGCCTCTTGTTCCGTCCCTCGGGGGTATCATCAACGGGCATCCTCCCTTCTCTTTTTTGTGTTGAAAAAAGTTGACTCCGTGAATGCTGGTGTTGTTGTTGTAGTGGTACATGAGAAAAGAAACCTAGGAAATTCATGTTCCTTGCCCTCCCTGTCTAGACCCGAAAATGTTGAAAAGCCGAATGGA